ATTTGTTTTAAGAAGTACCGAAAAGGAACATATTATTTCTAAGTGAATTAATTGATAACTTCACTCTATTCTATAGACCGTTAAAATGGCATTTCCTGCAAACACATTCCATTTGTGAAAATTTCCAACCGACATACCTACTTACCTACCACTAGTTATATCTTGCGCGAACATACCGGTTGCGAAATTTGCATTATACGGTCTTCCATTTCATATAGAGGTAGGTAATGCGATTATACCAATGGGTTTTGGTTTGTGTCAGCTACATTTCTAAATACATGAATCAACTTATTTACTGCATTTACCGGAATATAGGACAATAACTCAGCAGAGAGAATAAATGGTGAACACTTGCACAATCAGTTGCGTCATACACTTTCATAACTCGTCTCATGTATCATACCGAAGGCTGCTGATTCTCTTACTTAGTATAATTATTTATTTATTTATTTATTACATCAACTGGGTAAGCCTTACGGTCTTCCAATACACTCACCCAGGAAAGCACGAGTACAATAACATATAAAAAATCAATAATAATATAAAAAGATTTAACTCAAACAAAAAACGTCTGAATACAAATAAGTTGTATAAGTTGTTATATAAAATTATATGATATATGATATCGCCGCCTCGTCCGCGTGTATCAGTAAGTATATAAAGTTTCTTTATGAGCAAAAATGCATTGGTAACCCTACCTTCGCTATTGGTATATATTGGTGTGGTACCAATGAAGGATAATATGTGAGGATGAATACAGGTCATCCTCCTAGCATCTTAGCGGCTTAAACAATCACTATTAATTATGGTATACAGGAATACGTATATAAAAAGACATATACATTTTTATACAAGTCAGCGAAGATATTCTGCTTACGTCGACAAAATCGCGGATAAAGGCTAATTAGGGATATTTAAAAGAAAATAGTTATAGTTTATAGTTTTAATAATATTACAGATATTTTTATAAAATTGTATTGAGCATTGATAATGTGTTGTCCTTATCAAATGATGTTGTATAGAATGAGTAATTCTTTACAGAATGTTGTGACGGAAATCTGATAAATTTAGCGAATCATGCTTACTAGATTACATATACACATACTGCGAAGATTATAAGCTGCAATCGTCATATGCTTAAGATACTTTCTTTATCAAAACAATAGTACCAAATTAGATATGTCTTTATGATATTTTTCACTACGATAGACAGTACGTACGTAAATACCTTATTCTATTGCAATATTTAGATAAAAAATTTAATATTGTTCTTATATGAGTTTGTCTCATACGCCTTAACATACAGATAAGTCTTTTTTTAATGGATGATAATGCAATAGTAATCCCACCTGTGCCAACGGTATACGTTGGTGGGGCACCAGTGAGGGATAATGGGTGAGAATGAAAAGGCAGGTCAGTTAGCCCATTGTGATGAATACACCTGAAAATGAGCATGATGGTTTCCAGAACAGACCACATGGAGGTTAACCTGCCAGGGTTTATTGCTAGCGATAGGACTGTTAATCTGTATTACCTATTAACAATCCCCTCCAAGGGTACAGATAGATTATCCGCGCCATTTAGTCTATATCTACATTCAAGTATTAGTTTATTTAATAGCTTAGCGATTATATACAATTTTAATACTTATCTTACCGTAGAATTAATTTGCTATTATAGATTACCTACGTATAGATTTCCTACATTATTAGAAATAGATATACGCTGCTTTTTAAAAAATCAAATGGTTTTTTTCGCTTCCTCGGTAAAATATTATGACATTTAAAAAAAATACGTCGACAATATTGTTGTGTTTTGTTTTATTCCACCAAGTAGGTCATTTACGTATACTGATATGTTCTATGCATTATACATATTTTTTGTGAAATTCATAAGTGTATTGAATATAAAAACATGATATGCCTTCTTTAAGAGGCCAGCCCTCCACTGTAAAATAATTTTAAATACTTAAATAAGAGAAGAATAAAAAATTAAATTTGCAATGGTTTTCATTGTAAATTTAATGTTTGAAACAAATTTTCTCAATTAGTTAAAGGAGAATAAAATTTCACGAGGGATCTTTAAAAATATATTAATTTTTGTATTGTAATTATAATTAATGTTGGAAAAGCCGCGGATTACAGTTAGCTTAGCATAATGTAAAATTTGCGCAATTGTATGGCGATTATCGAAGCGTAAAGTCGGTCGGTTGGCCGGTTAACCACCTAACCAACAGTTCGACGTTACCTCACGGTTTACCTTACGGTCTGCCTTACTTTTCGTAGAGTTGCGATGTCACATTTCACAGTCGATAATCGATATTATCGACATTTTTATCTCAGATTTTTATATTCCCTAAAATCTAATGTAAGCTCGACGAGATTTCTCATCAGCAATTTTATATAAACTTTTATAACCTAATAATATCATAAAAGAGAACCTCGGGGCTAACTAAGGGTTAGCCCAGAGGTAATCAAAGCAGGTTCTATTATGCTCACCTATCATTTACTAATGGTGCTTTACTAGTATATTGATAGAACAGGAGGGGTTATTATTTTATAATCGTCCATAAAAAACCTGCACTATTGCTAGCTATATACCCTATCAGGTAGACCTCATGAAACTATCGTGGTTAATAATTGTTAAATTCTTCATGAGGGGGGGAGAAGAGATTGTTAGTAATAGGGACTAACAACCCATTGTTAGCAATAGCAATACCATTTTAGATCGACCTCCTCACGGTTCCTCCTGGAAATCATAGTGAATCAATTCACTATTCAATTTGTCATGTTGGACTAACTAACCTGCTTCGTCACCTATCATCTTTTATTAGTGCCCTGCCAGTGCATACCGTTTGAGCAGGTGGAGTTACCATTCCATTATCATCCATTAAAAAAATCTAATAATATCTCAGAGAGAAGTGATAATGATCGTGTGATGTATAAGGACAATTGTGTAGGGAAAATGATAAAGATAGTTATATAGAAAGATAAAACATAGACTTCGTGAGAGATGATGTAGCATGAAGAGGAGTGAATACATATACCTATTGAGATGGAAAATAGATATAAATGGGAGAAAAAAAAAACATCATCACAAATCATAAGGATAATAAAGTGAATTCTTTACGTACTTAAGTGTAGTGTTAATGTTGATAAATTGAATTATACTGTTATTTAAATCAATATTTATTAAAGTATCTTAGCATTGTTTGTTATTGAATTAAGTATCTAACCATACACATAAATAGAACGTCAATAGGTTAATGATAATGATGATACACGTAATGGTAGGTTTTTGAGGTAAGTATGAAGTCAGATCAGTTGCGATATGGTCACGAATCTAAATCAAATTAAAACCACAATTTAATCTAAATGGTTATCAGGGAGAACTACATGAAGGTAGATCTGTAACGCTACATTGCTAGCAATAGGGCTATTAGTCCTCATTAGTAATAATTCATAACAACTCATTAGTAAATTGCCTATTGGTTATTATAATGAAAAACTAAAGTTATTACTTTTATTTGTTTGTTCAGAACTATGAAAATATAACCTTAAGAAAATTATTATTGTTCTAAGTATTAAATGCGATGGTGGCCAATACAGATAAATTCAAATGTTTTTAATCAGTCAAAAGCATGTAAACAATTAATGTTGATAACGTATAAATCTGTTTACATTATACGTTTATGTTAGCTTCACGTGATTAATACTGATTTATTTGTTTATTCAAGAAGAGAAAAAAAAATCCTCGTTAAATATGTAGAATTAAAAAAATAAGTAACAGCCGGATAAGAGCGAGAAGAACTTGCGTTCTGAAAATTCCTTATTATTTTGTTAATTACTTAAAATGCCCGTATTACAAGTTAAATTGCTAAATGCTATTATTAGGTTATAATACTATTATTAAATTATTATTAAATATTTATATGCTACAGGTATCAATATATAAGAATAACTGGAAGTACTCTATAGACTTTGATTATATGTTAGTTTTTAGGAAATAGATATAAGCATATATGACAGATAACTTCTTATTGAATATTGTAAAAAACTTGAATTTTCAGAACAGTAGATCTCAGTATTTAATATATTGATATTAAATTCAGGACAAATGTGTAAACAAAGTGACCCCTCTAAATTTTAAACAGTAAAAACATGCTCCAATCCCCCATTGAATTAATTCTCGAAGTGTATATTCGATACAAACATAAATAAAACAATCATATTAATAAATGAATGAAACCTTTTTATTGTTTTTTCAAAGAAAGACACCTACTTATACATCTATTTATAAAACTATTTATGAAAAAATAACTATGCACTATACTCCGTTATTTATTTCCTGTGTACCATTGGACAGGCAAAAAAGGCGATGAAAAGGCAACTGTTATTGTACCTATAGACATAAACATTACAGAATATACCGGTCCTGCTGATAATATACATAATAGTTTTGTACCATCTATAACACCCCTAATGTCTTCTAGAGTTTACTTTGTCTGATACTGACTATCTTAACCTTCAAATCTGTTTTATAAGAGGGAGATTTTGTACAAGTCTACTCTACTAGTGTTTTTATTGCCAAATAACTCAGTTTACGTGATTTCGTCTGAAGGGTGTAATATTAAAATATAATCTATGGAATTGCAAGACACGGAAGCACAATATTTTGAAATTATAATGTATGAAGGATGCCATGGGCATCACAGTGCATGTAAGGTAACGGTTATCACTTTTTATGAGTTAAACCGCCAAACAGTTTGCCATTTTAAAGTACATAAAGAAATATTCTGTTATTAAAAATTTCTTAGTACTCATATGTAGTAATATTTTCACAAATAAGTCGTGGGGCATTTTCGTCCACATTTGATGTGTGAAATGACTAAAAATGTTCGCAATCATAGTTTCATTTAGCGTTATCAATAACATATCTTATCGCATTATTGTCGGTCTGTAGGACTATGAGATGGTTAATTCGCTAATAGTAAGTAGAGATATTATCAAGCTTTCGCAGTGCAGTCATATTTAACCTATTCCAAATTTAAACCGTGTGTTTTAATTAATATTATAGTGTTAAAACAACACTAGACAACAAAAATTTAATTGCATAGACCACAAAATGTCGAAAGAAAGTGAACGCAACCAACACACCGCGATGACTCTTGCCGACAGTGTAGTTCGGTACCCTTACTTCAACGCTCGCCTCGCGCGAATTTTAAATTCTGAACAGACTGCATTCGATATTTGAAATGTGTTTATATTCTTTTTTTATTATTTAGAACTACTACTCAAGTGAAATAAATAGTGATCTATCTGATAACATTTAAAAAGAAACTAAAATGGATTTACTTGGTGAGGCAAGCAGTGAAACCCGAATTTTAACTGCTCGGCATATAAGTGCTGAGAAGGCACTACCTGACACAAACAATGCTGTAAATACCACGTTATTGTGTTATAGTTACAGCATGCAGCCAGACTTCGGGTCATATTTAGCAGGTAGCAAAAATATTTTTTCTGTAACCGTACGGGAAATATTTATAAGGACCGTATACTAAGCTAACTTATAACTCGTGTTGAGGTCAAGGACGGCTGGTAACTTTCTCCGTTAAATCGTTGATTTCAATCAAATTCAACTGTTATGAAATCACGACGCTTATGTATGAAGCATGCTGTACATATGAATATTAATGGGTAAACAAATATAAAACAGTAAACACTAACAATCCATTAAAGTAATATTTCTGCGACAATGGTCTCTCTCCATAAGAAAATTTTACGTACCGATGCAATGTTGGCCAGATGGTTTGGTTATATTTCGCGGTTTTCTTCTTTTACGCTGGTCTTTTGGGATGAATGTAGTGCTAACAAACTATTCAATAGGTATTTACCATCATACTATTTTTTTTAAACTTGATGCTAAATTTATAAAATTTCTAGTTCTATATCGCGGTTTTGTTCGCGTGAATTATAATAAAATTATGCCATTAATGCGTACTAAATTAAAGTACTTACCAAATTTTATTTAAATGCGCTTAACCATGTAAAAGAATGTTTGAGTACCAAATAAACATCTTAAAGCCAAACATTTTTATAAATATTCATTTGGTCGAGTTAATGTTGTAAGAGACCTAGTGGTCTATCTGCTACTCTAATTTTGACCGTCGGTGATCGTGGATTCTAAATTGGTTGAAACTGCGTGTAAATTTGTCTTCGCGGGATTTTAAATACCTATCCAATGGTTGAACGCTTGCCTTGTATCTAAACCTAAAAATAATAGGACGAGCTGTATGCTTATTTGTCACCTTAATGGTATAAAAAACATAAGTCGAAAATACCATATGCCTAGCCATCAAAATAGACTCATTTAAATTAATAAAATTTAGACGAACTCAATTTAGAAAGCTTACAATAATAACGCCGTTTTTATCCATAGGCGTATTTATGGGATGGGGAGCAGTCCACCGCACAAAATATTCTGATGCCCATTCCAGGATCCGAGTAGAGTTTTCAGCTATGAGCAAAAGACTCGTCTGAGGATACACTATACGCTTTTTTTAAAAGTCCAGATCTTGTAATTTGAAATACGCTAAAGTTTTTATCATAACGGCGCGTTATTATTGTAAATTAAAAAAGTTTGTTACTTAGTTATATTTCAAATACGACGTTAAGTACGACCAACATATCTTTATAAAATAATACATTTTTATTATTCTATTCTATAGTAGTTTCGTGTATATTCGCCATGTAGATACCGGCATAAAATGGGTCACCTCTTCTTTTCCCGTAGGTGGCGTAAGAAGTGACTAAGGGAACTTACTGGTAGAGGTATGGGCAGCAGCGTCCCTTTTAAAATATCACTAAAAGCCTAACTGCGGTTGCCGACCCACGGTCAAGCGTGACAACTACTGGTAAAACTCTCCTTTTGGGGTAGGCTTATGTTCAGCTCACAAAGCTTATGAACAGTTAAAAGCTGATATAATGATAATAGTAGTTTCTTGTACCGACCTAACAATATTATAACCACAGATAATATAATACTATACTAGTTATTACTTTTGCGCTTTGATCCCACTTTATAACGATACACTTTATACGACACTAAAACTTTATAATGATGTTAAAATGGCATAAAGGCTTCATAAATTTATTTAGCTATGATCCTAGATATTAAACAGTATAATATACAACGTATTACTAAGAATAAAGTATTACTACGAATATACCATTGTACCTGCTGTTTATAGGTACATTACAGTCAATTAGAACGTATTCTGTTATGTTCATGGTACTATTCAAGTCACAAGCAACGGTTACTGACCACTTCCCATCAAGTGGTCTGTCAATTTGATTGGCATTCTAATTAGTATAAAAAAAAATTGTCAATACCAGTCACTTTGTCTCGTCAATGTTTTTATGACGTACCTGGTACAATTATGTATAATTCGTTTTAGTTAAACTATTTCTAACGCAAAGCCCGGATACGTGCGTTGTATTTTAGTTTGAAGGTTTCGGTTCGACGACAAAAGTCGGCGGCTATTTATTGCATTATGTTTAAATCTGTTCACACCAAAGTGTAGCAGTGAAGTAATATATGCATTAGGTAGTTACCTGTTTATTTAAAAAAAATATTATGTAATGTATTATTGCTATAAATGGGAAAATGAGTTTGATACCTTTTAGTGTCTTAACGATAAAACCAATAATACATATTTGGAATAGACGTAGAACGAAGGTTTTTATCCCAGCTATGCGTACGAAGTCGCGGGTAAAAATTATTTTGTTTCTTTGGAACACTTTATTGTACAGTAAAGCCTTAAATTATAGGATACAGATATTTTAAGAAAAGAATAAGTAAAATTGCGGACTTATACCATAAAATTAGTTTACAATATTTTTTGTTTTGCAAGTATTTATATAGTATTTATAGTATTTTAAATAAACGTAAATTATGCAGTAAAAAAAAAAAAATAAACTATCCAAATTTATATTTGAAAACTTCAAAAGCAAATATTTTCAACAGTTTGTGGTAGATTTGTGTGCAATTAGTAATGTGATTAAACCGTTAATTCGCTAATAAAAATACTAATTAAATAATCATTTAAAAATATTGCAAAATAATATAATTTTAAAAACTGACGTTACCACACATCTGTATAAACGTTCTATAGTTTGGTCATTGAAAATTAATTGCGTTCATTTATGTGTTCTATTTATATGTCTCTATTTTTTGTTTTCACGGCCAAATACTAAACAAATATTTAAACTTTGACACTGAACGAATTTAAATAAAACTCATGGAAACTTACGGAAATAAGTCTATACCAGACTAAAGCACGTGGAAGTTTATGGTTCTTTGAATTTACAGATTTAGCTGTCTTTCTATATAGTTATATGTATAAATACAGTATATGTATGTCACATATTGTAAAAATATAAAACAAATTATCTACTGTGGCATTTCCTAATAGATTCGACGTGGGGACGTCCAAAAAAATAATTTATACTCGTACCTTTTTAAAAGGCCGCCAACGTATTGGCGGCTTTCTGGTGTTATTAGTGTTCATGGGCTGCGGTAATCACTTACCATCAGGTGAACCACATGCTCGTTTACCGCCCTTTCACATAAGAGTTATTACTATAAAAACTCGTGCAAGTTTACGATATACACCACAAATTGTGTGTGCATAACACAGAACAGAATTGTTTTAATATATCTGTTGCTACCATCATAAATTATCTGAAATGAATAAAATTGAAGCTGCGACAAGGTTGACTTGACGAAAGTTAACCTTATTGTTTACATTGAATTCGGGGTAAACAACTTGGTCATTTATTGGAAACGCTTTCATTGTTGTTGGTATTTCTGTTAAAAAAAATTACCGTAATATACAATCACAAATTCATTCACATTATACTAATCTTTTAGAAAATAATGGATACATATAACACAAAAGAATTATCGGTAAATCTTTACAAAGGGAAATTTTTGAATGAGATAAAATAACATGCTTAGTTATTATCTAATGGTCGCTTTGTTATTTTCTCTATTCATCTTACCGCTATTACCACACAAAACAGTATTCAAGGTTTTGTTTTGCTAGTCTATTGAATATTATTTGCCTGGAAAGTGATCCTTCCTCTTGTCTCTTGCTTTTAATATGTAGTTATCAGAAAAATGTAGGCAATAGGTTTATCTACCTATAGACCTATTGCTTTTTTATTACCACGTAAAATAATTTCGGATAGGTAATTATTAGAATTAAATAGATAATTGTACATAATCAACAATATGAAGGTGATATAAATTATAAATATTAATCTAACATAAAACAGAGAAATGTATTCACAATTGGCAACGCTGCAAAATTGAATTATCCGAATAAAATTTGTTTTAGAAATTACAAAAAAAAATCTGTTTAATTGCATATGAATAATGATATAAATCATTGTGAATGCTATAAGGTAGCAAGCATAATATAAAAATAAAATTGTAAAATAGTCAAGTAATTTTATATTTAATAAAAAACTTAAAATTTCATTAAATGGCAAAAGTTAATACTACCAACAATTGTAGGCATATCCTTGATTCAAATATATATTAATCAAAATAAAAAAACAGATAGATAACAATATATTTATAAATTAAGTATTAATGTTTTTCGAGATAAATCGATACAGTGCATTAATATAGTTGCAACGGATATCGAGACCAGTCGGTGGTATTTAATTTCTTAATGCCCTTGTGGCAATAACCGACGAGAAGGCCATTTGTAAATGACCAATGTGCCTTAAAACAGTCATAACTGCATTAAATTTGAAGATAATTAATTAATTATATTTAAAAATAAACAATATTTTATACTGAAGTCTTACTTAAATCATTTATAATACTATCTAGATTAACTAATGAATACTGATTTTTATTTAGGGAGTCACATTTTATGAAGTAAATATTTTGTTCATTAATTAGATATACGGTGCCATGAAAACCGTACTTTTGTTTCTGTATCAAAATACTTTCATGTTATTAACGTAGCTAATATTAAAAAAAGTAGACAGTTAATACCTATATAATTAACAAGGGTTGTTACTGGACACTACAGACTAAACAAGCACAAGTCTGTAGCACTTAATTTGTGTCTGTAGTCTACTCATATATAAATGATATATTTCCTTTGGAAAACACACTTTATATCCTGAGGAGATAAAAAACGTTGCTACAGAAAACATCTTAAAATTCCTATCCTTGATAGGAATTAGCACCGAACTTTAAAAAGGACGAACACAAAAGATCACGGAAAGGTCACAGTGTCACAGGTTTTTCTGCCTGAAAAAGCCCGTCTTTCAATAATAATATTATAGTTATAGTATTGTACACTTATTTTCTAGTATATGTGATTGTAGGATACTATCTAATAAATCTTTATTCTAATAACCTTTTTCTTTTCTTGTATTAAAATTTATTATGTGCTCTAAACATTCTACTTAGCGATTATATAACTCTCGAGGATGCAATGTTGAAGTATAATTAATGGTTTAAGAAACTTATCTTGTGACATTTGACAATAATTATATGAGATGTTACATTCGAAGAGCGTTATAACCTTATCCTTAGTCAAATTCTGTGTCATGATTGCAAAGTTTTACCTATAAATCAGACATTACGAAATTTCACTCTAAGGTAATAATAAAGCGACAGTGTGAGAGTGCGCCCTCTGTAGTATAATTAAGAATGTCATTTAAATACTTATTTTTTTTTAATTGACTCTAAAATTGTGCTTGATGCCTATTACATAGAAAACTATCTAGTGATTATATAAATCTCTTAAGATGCAAATTCTCACATAATTATGGTCAAACGTTACAACGTAAGTTAGTTTAACCATTAATTATTCGTTGTGTTTGTATTTCTGTAAGTAAAGGAAGGGTTATTATCTTGTTCAATGTTTTAGTTAAGTACAAGTAAATATTGATTGTAATTTTATGAATATAAACACAATCTGTTTTTGTATGACACATAACTGTTTGTTTTTGTTCATTTTTAGAATTACGAATGTTGATAAAATTTACAATAATAACAAATATTCTGTTTACTTTATTTAATCTTGATTACCGCCTATTGCGTGGACTTAAATAGGATAGGTAAGTCAATAGATAACATTGGTTTAGGCTGAATACATATTATTTATAATAAATATTAGATAACATGTAAACATGACAATTTACTAAAAAATAAAAATCTTATTTTTTAGGGTAAAAATAACAAATTGACGAAAACTTTTTCTAAAATAGAGTTTTATAAAATCTAGGTTGGTTTTATTCTATGACTTTCAATACGAACACTAAAACCCATTCTTATTGTTGTAGTATCAATAAATTTGATGATTTAATTTATATTATTTTTTCAATAAAAAATCTGCATTATTTCTATTAATTCTAGTAAGAAATGCCGTTATAAGGAAGTTTTGTAACGGTACAAGATTTTTTTACAATATGACTGTCAAGACCGTTACAAATTTCTATGAGCTGTCATCGCTACGCAAAAAAAGTAACGTAAGACTTGAAGTAACTTTATTAGATATATGTTAGTGGCTTAGATTATATAGACAGAGCTTCGAGCCTCAAAATAGGATCAACTTTTTGTCAGCTAATTGTCAAATTAGCTAATTCTTTTCTTATTAATTTTCTATATACTAACACACATAACATATCTTGGCCTATTTATATTTAATAAATAAAATGAGTTTTTGCGCATTAAAAAGGTCCAGAATTTATAAGATAAAATAAATATAGAAGTTAGAAAGGAATCACTCAGAACTATGTATTATATTTATGACGCAAAATTATATGAAAAAGTTTTACCCGCTTTTCTCGATGCATTTGTATGAAGACATTTTATTTATATAGGTATAAAAACTATATATGTAATTATATCATATTTTCAATGGTATCACCTTTTTTGCGTTACTATGCGTAGGTAAATTAGGTTCTAGAATCTACTTTGGAAATGATGGTTTTCTCTAGAATGTTTCAGATAGTGTACTCAGACACAGATAGGTTCGATGTCTTGAGGACCAAGTAATTACCTAATTATTTAAAAATAAGTATTTGTATATTATAGACTTATTTTTTATTTTCTAGCAATACAACCCTACGCATGCTTATTTTGGTCCTGCGGTGCCGTAGTGTTGCTTGTGATATGCGCACTATACTTCTTGACGATTCGCTCCGCATCTCAATTTTGGCGCGAAAGCATCAACAACGTAGCTATCGTTTTAACAGTATACCCGGTAAGTAAAACTAGTTCTAAAAATGAATCTATAAAAACTATTTAGAAATTTTAAAGTAATTTAAATATATAGTAGGTATATATTTTGTTGCCTAAATTATTAGAATTGTCTGTCATTTTTATTAATACACATATAATTATTACTTAATCAATTTGTCTACACATAGAATAAACCTCCCAATAAGGAGTGGCCTATATTCAGCAGTGGTCAGTTAATGGGCAAAATGATGAGTCCTGGTTTTATGAAATGAATTATCTACTTGAGACGTAAAGTTCTTTTTTTTTTATTCAGAGTATTTAAATGTTAATTGAATATGAAAGAATTCCTATTATTGTGATAAATAAAAAAAAAGGACTGTTTATACGATCAAATCACCAATTAAAAAAATTAGGACGTTTTTGTTGACAAATTATTTGGCGATTTACTATCTAAAATTTATTATCTGTAGAAACATATAGCGAAGTCTCCAGTACCAGCTAGCGTAGATGAAAAGACTTATGAAAGAGTTATACGAGTCAAGGGCATTACCATATTATGGTACATTCTCTCTGCCTACACCATAATTACCTCGTAAATTACATAGTGTGAAGATAGATAAAATTTATTCAGACTAATGAAAATAAACTCTACCTGTATAAAAAAAAAAAACATTGAAATAAATATATATTTGTTATTACTCAACATTAGTGTTACTCATTCTTGCTCTTTTATAGTATGCGTCAGCAACTAGATGCGATTATAGTAAAAACAAACCAATACTAAATAAAGTATAGTTATAACTAGCTACTAGATAACACTTAGATAATTCCTTCATAGAAACTTCACACGTTTTTTTATCATTCATTTCTATAATCAATTATATCATCCAAAGAAGGCTTTTTATGCATAATATTGTATAGATACATATGTTATATAATGTTCAGGTATATAACTTTCCTACAGATATTTTGTGGTGTTGATTAATAAAATTGATCAGTAAATTAGCTAATGGAATATATAAAAATCTATAAGGAATTGTGCTTATATTCCTGTTTTAATTGAAATATAAAGGCATTGAAATAGGTTTGCTTTTTGTTTGTTTACAACATTAAGATAGAAATATTGGTAATATTAATTAATAAATGTTCTAATGTAATATATAAAAATCTCTAGGCAACAGTATGTCTGTTTATGTTGAAATTAAAAAGATAGCGAAATTACATGGTACGGAGTCATAAAAGTATAGTTTTAGAAATGTGAACGCATGAGGGGTACACGGAATCACAGTATATCTGTGATTCTATTGTGTAAAAAAGTGCTTTTGTTTTTTTTTTTAATTAAAAGAAAAGGCAAAAGAAACTGTTACACTTTTAATTTTATAACAGGAAAAGAAGGTGTGCCTTTAATCTGCTAAGTAAACTGTGCTTACGTCATATGACCTCAGTAGTAAGCTTTAATTATTTAATTATGACGTTTAAAATAATTTCGTTTTAACACTCCTTACATTGTAGAATGTAAATTACACATAAATACATTGCTGACAATATTTGTTTTTGTAATTACACAATTGTTTTTTACCTATCTACAATTAAAACATACAGAGCATTGACAATTAAAGTATGGTGTACAAATAAGAAATGTGTGTAAGTAGGTTATCTCTTTAAATACGAGAGCTGTTTGAGCCACTACGTGGTTGTGGGTCATTATTGCATAAGCCGCGCTGGTACAGTGTCGTAATTCGAAACATGTTGCTGAATACTACTACGTAGGTGCCTTTGTTTAGTCAGCAAAATTATTTAATTGTACAATATCTGAACCTTAACACAACCTCATAGAGTATAATGTTCAACCTAAATATTTAAGTAATGTAGTTATATGATAGTCTGATTTTATTCGCCATCGTAAATATGTAACATCATGAAATTTTTGCTTCTTTTTAAGTAATAGTAATCAATAATATCGTTGCCTTGTGCTAATAGAAATTCAGAGATTTTATTAAATAGTATATTATTTTGGTATATAAGTACCTATAGATAAAGACAAAATATACAGTAAAACAAATAATACATTGTTAGGTAATTCTAAAAATATACTCGAAAAAGAATATAAGATGTTTTTAAAGAAAATTTTGCAGCGCACTATGTGTTTTAAAATGAGGACGACCGTTCAAGAATGTAGATAAAATTATTTCCCATTATAGCGTGGAATAAATGGCAATTAGATAATGACAAATTAAGGGCATTATGTCACGGCTCTTTAACGTAATGTCTTTGTAGGTTAACTATCAATAAATTGTCGCATTGACAATAATTTGCAGTACTTTTAAGTTATTTTGTTTAATTCCATTACCATTATTATGTAAGTAACTTCCAACATTTGAGGATTAACTATTAGTAAAGGCTCTATGCTACCTTCCATATGAGTCATCAATCTCTGGGCATTATTCATAAGATATTTTTGCAAAGTGACAAGCTGATAGCCTACATTATTGATCACATAGATCAAGCATAGTACCTGCAATTGATAAAAATAAAAAAGATAACTGTCGTTTTAGGATATAAAAAAAGTTTTTCTTGTTTATGGTATAACAGAATATCTAGCAACCACGCGCAACATGCACGTATCAAATCTCAAATGTGTTCCTATTTCTAACTACACTAAATAGATATATAGAGCTTGGCTAGATCCTTCAAGACAAAATAATAACAGCATATATAATTTGAAATATAATAACAGTGATGTGGTACTCGAATGTATCCAAGCATGACACTTTCTTTTATCGGTATGAATTGGGATTTTATACCGTTACATCAAAATATATCGAATCCTCTGTTCATTTCCTTATAACTTATATATAACTTATAACTTATAAATAGAAATATTTATCGTTGTTCTATTTTATAATTTCTACATTAATAAATATTTAAATATATAAATTAATAACACAAGTAGGTAAGCACCAATGCGTAGAACATCTTCTATCGTCCTTAAGTTTATGTTAATTGTGATTGTTTTAAGCAACCTGGATGTGCTATTTGTATGCCGTGGGAGAAATTTTTGCGACACGTTATACACGTAACTAACTACAAACACAACAAGGACAAAATAATGAATGAATATTCATTATTTATAGTAATAATTTCTTGCCGTAGACTTCCCCTTTTTCTTTTTATTTATTCATATGTTTAATTGTTCATTACTTTCCTTCAATTGCTCTATCTCAGACTATAATAGCCTTAGCTTTCATAGGATAACGTAGTTATAATCTAAGTATCATATACGACATAACACCTAACTGTTGACTCGTATAATATTTTTCCTTGTATTCCAATATTCTGTTTTCTTATGTACTGTCTTTATTTTTATCTAAGTTTAGATTTTCATCCATTTAACAGTTATAATATTTTTAAGAACCTCAAAGATTCTTAAAAATATTATAGCTTTTTAGGAGTCTACAGATGCAATTGTGAATGACAGATTGAATATGATTATGTAATGATAAATGATTATATTTTAAAAATATTTTTTTCGTATTAATTAACTTTTAATGTATCCAATATAAATTATGTACAATAAAGATTTTACAATACAATACAATATTAAGTAATAGAAAGTTGCCACCATTCAGAACGCTAAGACGCCATTGTCTTCCTGTTTATTTGTTTGTCTTCACGATAAAGATAATGAATTTGAATGATCATTTAGGTCGAACAACGCTACAGTACCTTAGTAAACATAATAATCGTAATAATATAATAGCAACCACATTCTGCTAACATCATTAATTTATTGTTACATATTTAAAATGATAATGTTAATTAGTTTCTCATTGTTAAAGTAATTTAGTTAATGTTAAATGATTATTGATAATGTAGTACTATTAGCAAATGGCGTTAATACTGTTGATATATTTGTAATTACTTATTTTGTAATTTATAATATGTATAATCTTTTTGAATACTTCATCTTCATCATACATGCCAAATAACAATATTGTTCATAAACAATACCAAATTTAAAATTGTTATCAAAAGATGTGTAAACAATCTAAAAGTTTAAAATAAATAATACCAAGTATAGAACAACAAATTTTACTATACATTTGCCTACACATTCATTTTATGAATGAAAACTACTTGAGTAAGTGCTTATACTTATTCAGCTAATACAATAAGTGAAAACAATAATGACAAGCGTACTTTGGTACATCGTAGATACAGTCCTTTGTTTATACATTTTACCCGTTTCCTTTTTTCTAATTTTAAAATTAGCTATACTTGCTTTTACCTGGGCTTTTGTTCACATATTTCTATTAATAATAGGTAACTAACTAATCGGTATTATTCTTAAAACTCTTAATTGAATTCTATGTGCTTTCAACTTGTACCAACTTATTTTTTTACTATATATATATATATATATATATATTATAGTATATTACTATAAAATTTTATAAAACCTACCAATGAATAATTATGTACCAAATTATTAAAATATAGCATTTTAAGTGCCTATATGAATACCAAACTTCTTTAAATCGGTTTAGCAATTTAATTGAAGAAATCAATGACAAAGTATAATGAACAAATGTTCATAAAAATGACAAAAACCAAATGTAGTGCATAGAAAACATTTTTTTATAAAAATGTTTATAGATATTTGCCGTTATCTAATTTTTGTTAGCGCCCTCAAATAAACAAATTAATAATCGTGATAAGAATCTGTCACTTACACGTGTTAAAACCAAGTAACTATTATATTTAATATCTCACGTGATCTTACCATCATTTAGGTCAACACACCTATATATTAATCTATTTTTCTTTTTTGAGTACCAATATTAGGTATCAATTTCTATCCATATTAAGCTGTATATATATATATATATATATATATATATATAAGCTGACGGCTCACCTGACAGAAAGTGGTAAGCGTCGCCTATAGACATGAGCAGTATCATGGATATAACGGAGTTTATTGTTTCGTCCATGATACCCCCCATGCGTTGCCATTTCTGAGGATTCAGGTTTTATTTCTCTGTACCCCGTGAATTCACTGCCATATTCCATCCTTCAAACCGAAACACAATTATGCAAAAACAACTGCTTCACGGTAGAAATGGGACAGAGGTGCCCAAGCAAACGACTTTTGTACAAAGTCTCCCTCTCGTCAATATATAATATAATAAGTTATATTACTGTTATCAAAATACAATATTTTAAACATTTGTTACATTCGTTAACATATATTCATATTAAAAAAATTTATAGAATATGACTTCAACATTTCGCATTTGTTATTTCAGGTGGTGACAGCTTCGGCATTAGTTGCTATCATAATTCCAAGATCTCTGATACTATGCGAGGCTATAGCTCAAGAAGTCGTTATGATAGCGATGTACCACTACTTCCGTATGCTTATAGCTGAATGTGGAGGCGTTGATATGCTTATCAGGTATGGTAAACAAATATATAGTTCCACTCTTGGTACTTATTTAAACTAATGTAGGAACTACTTAACAAATGTAAATCATTTGTTAAATATAGTTAAATACTATAAGTATTTTTCAACTACCTAGTCATAATTTAATTGGTGATTGCTCTAAATTTTTCAATTTCTCTTTGTATGTATAAATGAATAATGTCGCCATCTAGAATGTGCGTTTTTCAAAGGTTCTTAAGATAACATTTGAGGCCTCATATACAAAACGGGTCAAAGAACTCTTGATACATATTTTTGATCCTCCCACATTACCCTCCTACACTATTAACATGATCAGTATTCACTACGTCAATATGTAGTATCATGATGGAACAACGCGACTTTATTTTTTTAAGTTAAACATGAAATAGTGATTCCGCCTGACTTACAGATAAAACGCTGGCGGAATTGAGTACCATCACTTTGAAATTACATAAAAAATAAAAGGAATAGAGTCCTTATAGATTCAGTTGCAGCTATTATTACAGAAGGAAATACATAATTAAGAATATCGACGATAAATAGCAGGAAATAAATTTTCAATACTAAAAATTGATATTCTAATCGATTACCTCATCTCACTGATAACACATAGGTAGGTATGAATAATGCCACCTGTATAAGCAGCTGAAATAGATGATTTCATACATGTTAATCTTATATTGTCTCTTGAATTATGTGGAGGCCTTGCAGTAGGTTAATGACATGATAAAAAATATTTTGAAATGAAATCAATATAAAATTATATTTTTCATACAGATCCATACGAGACACTTATGACACGTCATTTTTTGTTTTTTGCATTTCAGGAAATAGTTTTATGTGGTTCTTTTTATAGCGATAAAAATGGGTTATTTATAAATAAAATTATATATTGTTTTATATATGATGGCTTTATCAGTAATGCAAAATAGCGTAAATGAAAGATTGTAGAAAATTAAGTTTTGTTTACATTACACTGTGTTATTTTTTAGGCGCGCAGGCGCATCTGAACATCGTTTAGATACCAGAGTCCTACCATGTTGTTGCTGGCCATGTTGTGTTATCCCACGACCACGAATACAAAAGTAAGTTTTTTTTAAGCTTGCATATTTTAATTTTAAGACTGTAACTTAACCAACTGTGCGGTCTTAGCATAAAATAGGCCACCCCTTCCTTTCCCGTAGGTGTCTTAAGAGTCGACTAAGAAGGCCAAGGGATGGACAGCAGCATTCCTTTTAAAACATCTCTAAAGCCATCTGTCTGCTAAGCGTGGCGACTATTGACAAAATCCTCTTATTTACTAGGGATTTCGTCCGCGTAACTGCGTTGTATTGATTGATTTTTATTGGTGAATTAATATGGAGTACATGAATTCATGTCATGGTTACGGGTTAAGACTAGTCAATAGATATATAAATTGTTTTAAAAAACTATATATACATATTATATACGTTATAAAAACTATATATATTATAATTCTGAAGACATAACTCAAAATATAAATCTCGCCCTCGAAATATTTAAAAAAAATTTTTTGTATACATCCGATTGAGAATCGAACCTAGGCAGTTTACACGCAAAGTAACGTACCACTGCGCCATGAACACTTTAATATAACTATAATAATAATACAACGATATTTCAAAATTTCAGAATATTGTAGTTATTATTGAATAATTTCTTAAAAAAATTTTGGAAGTTGATAAATGTTGCTGAAAACAATTAGGTACTTGTTTGTAAACAAAGACATTAGTCGTTATGGTATTTGGGCGAGGCTTTTAATTGAATGCTTTTAATTTGATGGGCCTAATGGAATTCGTATTGACAATAACAAATCTTTCTAATGTTGTGTGTACCTGCTTAAAAAGTAAAAATGACATCGAATTTTCCCTTTGTTTACAAAACATTTACGTTAGCTATTTTTTAAATTTACCATTTTCGGTTCTGTTCGTATCAAAATGGCAAAAATTATCTGACATTGTTGAAAACTGACTGATAAAGTGAAAAAATACTAATCTCCTTATCTCCGAAGTTTGTGAACCAAAAACAATTATAAATTATTACCGTTAATATAAAGGTATATAGGTATAGGTATATGTCCTAGACGTAATTGAAAATTATAAAACTAGGAATATTTATAACTACCACTATTTTAAAAAAATAAAAAAAAAACTTTGGTATTTATCATAATGCAAAGTGTTATCGGTCACTTATAGGTGTTGTTTACATGGTCGTCACAGAATAAACTGTGACACTCAATAACCTAATCACCGTTATTGATAAAAATAACTGCCACAAAGATGTTACGTTATAAATACTTTGTGTGAATCTGTTTTTTAAGACATGTGGGGCAATAAAATACTTGAAATATTCAGAAATAACTTTATATATTTACAGAACGAGTTCATTTGTGCAAAACTGTAGATGTATGATTTTTGAAAACGGGTAGAAGAATAAAAGAAGTAGGACATCTACTGCAAGTTTTAAGTCCATCAAAAAACAACGTTCTATATTGCTATTTCTATTATATCAGGCTTTAAGAAAATCGTTAGATAATATTAACACTAATATTAACATTGTATAACATACTGTGTTAATAATAGTGTGTTATTCTTAACTATAGTATACTCAATACTGATATATTATATATATTTACAGAAAAAGTTCATACGTGCAAAACTATAGATGTATGATTTTTGAAAACGAATAGAAGAATTAAAAAAGTAGGACGTCAACTGCAAGTTTTAAGTCCATCAAAAAACAACGTTCTATATTGCTATTTCTATTATATCAGGCTTTAACAAAATCGTTAGATAATATTAATACTAATATTAACATTGTATAACATACTGTGTTAATAATATTGTGTTATTCTTAACTATAGTGTACCCAATACTGACATGTCTACTTGTATCTGATTCCAGACAACATTTGACTTCGCTACGTTATTTGATACTGCAGATGCCTGTGATTCAAGGAATAATCTACTTTATTATCTTAATACTATGGGCGGAAGATATGGTAAGTGTATTTTATTCCTCCTCGATTTTATTATAACAATAATCATAATTATTCCACAGCGGAGATTAATTACTGTATTCTAAAATGTATTTTATTTTTAATCTTAGATAAATAAAAAATAAATTACAATCATTTATTTTTTATGTATCCATCATTTTTATTAGCGACTCGGTAAGATCTAATAATAGTTATTCTTCTTGGTGTCAGTACATGACAGGACAGAAATATGCAATCCTCATCAAGAGGCTTACCATCTTGGTTCACAAAAATGGTGACACAACATTCTGCCATGTGTTATTCTACTCGTTTTATTTTAGTAATAGTGTATTTTCATCAGGTGGGCTGTTAGTTTTATTATTTTTTCCAAATCGATAAAGTACGTATATAGTCAAGTTTACTGCACTATTTATTTATTACCATTATATCTAGTTAGAAAGAATAATATAATTTATTATGCTTTCTAGATACATGATATATGAGATATATTTACTTAACAACTTGTGACAAAAGAATTTGTACCTATCAATTTACACCTTTTATGTTTCACATGAAATATTTGTTACGACAAACCGTAATAAAAACTCCGTTTTGAAAGTTTGTTAGGTATAATCGACAAAAAAATATGATTGAAATAGAGAAAAATTACGTAAAAATATTACGTGAGATATTATTATGTGAGAGAATTTATAATGTAAGATAGTAAGGGATTTATATAATACACATCCGTAGGTATTACCATCTTATTTACGAGTATGTCTGCCATGGTGGATCAATTTTTGAGAAGCTTTAATTCAGTTTAAAGGTTAGTGTAGAAATCTCTGATATGAGAAACTTTAACGACTTCTCAGGAGCTACATATTTATTAGGGGTGCTATAAGCGGTAATAAACATATTCCTTGAGATCCTTGGTACTGTTCATACCTAAAGACGATTTTCAGTTCTTTCAATTTGTATAAAAAAATATATATATTTTATATACTTAGGTAAATTTTTTACGTTTTACATTTTTAAGAAATGGGTGGTTTTCAATTCTACTGTATTTTTTGTTCGTATCTATATTATGTGACACCTACTCTTGATTTGATAATTATTAATTGTGATAATATTAATTTTATATATTTGTATGCATAATAAAGTATTAAGATATAACGTTATAATATGTCTTGTGAAATAGAATGTAACCATAGAAATTACAGTACTTAGTTTAATGAAAACCTTGGATATCTATCTAAATGAAGAAGATTTTATTGCCAGCTATAATATCTTGATTAATTATTAACTCATAACGGGGACATGACCTCGGTTATCCTGTATAATTGTCGATCGTTAGTCACAAGTATTGTGTTGAAGTCATAAATGAAGGGTTAATTAATTTTGAAGTTGATATTTTTTATTTAACATTCTGTTGTAAATTTTTAACTATCCTTAAATTCAATATTACAATTTTTGTTCGTTCATCTCTGGTTAAAGTATATTCTTTGTTCTCAATAATTTTTATTCCGATAACAGAAAATGGAATGATAATGGAATGGTAACTTCGCCTGCGTTAACAGTATACGCTGGCGGCTTGACTCCAAACGGGCAAACGCAGTGCAGGAACCCCCCCCCCACTCCTCCCACTAGATAGTGACGATCTCAAATGCACTGTAGGAAGTCAGTGGATACAGGTGGCTCAGGACCGTTTCTTATGGCAGTCTATGGGGAGGACTATGTTCAATAATGGACAGATAACGGTTGCAATGAAGATGATGATGATGATGATATTGTTTTTTTTAATGGATGATAATGGAATGGTAATCCCACCTGCGCTAACGGTATACGCCGGCGGGGCACCAGTGAGGGATGATAAGAGAAATGAAAGAGCAGGGCAGTTAGTCATACACCTGGAATTCAGCATGATGGTTTCCAGGGGGACCACGTGGAGATCGATCTGTCAAGGTATATTGCTAACAATGCGAGTGGTAGTTCGCATTACTAACAATCCCTTCCCCTCAATGATGATGTAGTAAGAGTAGTAACAACTTACTATTGTAATTATATAATTAAATATTCATTATTTTATATATATTCTTTCAGACACTACAGATGCAGGCCACGAAATACATCCAAGTGTTTATCGCGGCATCTATACTGTCTGGTATGTGGGGGATAATAATGTGCGTGCGATTGGCCGAGTCTTTGGGCCTGAGGCCAAGGGCGAGGTTATTGTCACTCCAGTTGGTGCTCCTGATTGTGAAACTGCAGTGTGGAACCGCTAGATCTCTGCCGGGACTGTTCAACTTGCCATGTGTCATGTCTCTCCATCCATTTGTGTTTGTTAACCGTGAGTATATTATCCTCGCTAATGTTTCTTTGATAAAAGGTTGTTAACTGATTACCTTAATTTGGATTTATTTTTCTATATGTATAAATTTAAATGTCATATTAATATGACATTTAAATTTGAGTGCATTTTTTTTATACAACTTAGAATGGCAAACAAGCTGACAGCCTACCTGATGGAAAGTGGTAACCGTCGCCTATAGACATGAGCAGTACCATGGACATAACAGAGTATATTGTTTCGCCCATGATACCTCCCATGCGTTGCCATTCCTGAGGACTCAGGTGTACCCAGAGTACCTCTGTACCCAGTAAATTCACGCCATATCCTACCCTTCAAACCGAAACACAGCCATGCAAACACAACTGCGTCACGAATGGGACAGAGGTACCCAAGCAATCGACTTTTGTACAAAGTCTCCCTCTGGTAAAATAATAAATTAAAATAATCTCGTCTAAGGTACAAACAAATCAAATATTTTATATAATAAGGTTAGGTGAAATTTAGGAGTTGGTTCCATTATTACATTTAATAAAATTTATTGGTTAAATTTAAATAAGTGTTTTTAATTATAAGACTAATTGAATTTACACAAGCAGTGAAATTACAGAGTATAGAAGCATAAGATCATAGTTATCAGGAATAGCAGAATTTGATGGGGCGTGGGCGATCATGGTCAATTTGTTTTTCAATATAAATATTAAAAAAAACCATTTTCGCTGAGTTTATACGAATGTAATTTAGTAATACGAGCCTACTATCGTAATCTCAATTATTACGAAGATTTGATTTTAAGTAAATTCAAACTCTTTTTTTTAACGTGTGGAAAATCTTCAAAAGAACGTTCCAACTGCCGGACTGAGGGCAGAATTGTTGTGTGGGACTCTTATCCACTAAAAACCACACGAAATACCTCGAGGAGCGTTGTCAGGTCTTCGGGTTCCTAATGTAGACTATTGGAAAGGATTCAAACATTAAGCCAACTACTGGGTCTTTTGAATTGACTTGTTATAGAGATTTAGTGATTTACTACTTCACTTTGCAAAAATTATATTTTTTTTTTCAGTCGTTCAAAACTGTGTAACAATTATGCAAATGTTACTACTCTCCATATGGGCTTGGAGACTATACAGCGTACCGCCAGGGAAAGTGGTCGATAAAGTGCAACACGCGGTGGTTTCTATTGTGGAAGATATATCCGGAGTATTTGATGTTAAGGCTGTCAAGAGTGGTATTGACAACAAATCGTTTAAAGATAACGGTGATATATAAAACAACCCAACCGATTAGTTCTAGATTCAATTTTTATAGTACAAACTCATTTGAAAAATGGAAGGTTTGTTAAAAAGGTTATTTGAACAGAATTTTGGATGGCATAAAGTCTTTGCAAAAACCACTGATAGACGCTTCCAAAAATTATTCTTGGTTTATTTTTTAATTTAAATTAAAAACTAGGAGGTTTTTATGATTCGCTTTACATTTATCAGAATAGGATTAACTTAGTATAAACCGCTATTAAAATTACTAGTCCATTAGTATTAAGTCCTCGGTGCTGGAGGCTTATTAAACTTGGTGAGTTATACGAAATGAATCCTATTATGATTCATATAGAATTTTTAGTCTGCCTACTAGGTCAATAGGTAATTGAAGGATAAATTTGGTTACATCACATAGGATAGTAATTTGTTAACATCGACGACATTATTGTGTAAGCCCTGATTATATAATAGTGCTTGCCACCTTAAACTGAGAATGTGATAGGTAGATACTTATGTAAATTCTTATACAAGAGGCATAACATTCCTTAGGAATGACAACGAATGTATGAATGGAGTGTACATTTATGGGCGTCACAATATATTATGTGATTTCAATAATTAATATTCCTATGTATAAGAGATGCTTATCATTTGAGGCGTTAGCATGTTGTTTGACATTTCTAGTTGATACCTAGTAATATAAAAATATGTTATATAAAAATTTTGATCATTTAAAAAGAGTTGATTACGTTTATGCTAATTAAATAGATTTAAAGAACAAAATAAATAGTAATCGTATCTATGTACCATTAATTCAGATTTTAAGTAAATGGTACGATATGTAAAAACATTTTGGTTGAAGCTTGTTGAATTTATGACAACAACAATAATAGCTAAACTGCAAATAAACAATTATCTAATATTGGTAAATAAAGTATTCGTCCTAAAATAAGTACATATAAAATACGTACATACGTGTTTCCTTCATTTATAATCTCGGATCTTTTAAACATAGCGTGAAAAAGCTTTTAGTGAGACATAGTGCGGTCAATTGTAAAAAGTATTCTCTTTTCGGTTGATCATATTCATGGATAATATTCTTTCCGTGTTCGCTCAGGAGGTCACATGTCGTATTTTAATAAAAGTATTGCAAGAAATGGATTAATATGCTCCAAATTACCTACCTACTAGTAATGGCATGTTAGGTTTAGAAATTACTCATACTACACGTAAGTTCTCTTTAGAAAACAAAACAGCTTCAACCAAAAAGACGTCGATTTTTGGTTGTATAGAAAAAGTGACCTTTCATAACTATTTAGATATCTTTAGAAATTTTCGATAATATGTATTTTTTCATAATGTCACGATAGATGTAAAAAGTAACTGATTTATCTTTTGTTATTATATCACATTACATTTATGGCCTGCGTAAACGACGGATAAACCATAGTGTTTATTTTTGTGTCATAATAGAGTATATTCAATTGATGTTATTATATACACGCGCTCATGCAAGAGAACATACCTTCGCGTTGAACACACAGGTAACTTTTATTCTCCTGGACGAAGTAACAAATATCTTTCATTTATGCAGGCTCTAGATCTTGGTACTTACATAGTTGTAATCATTGTCATCAACGTTATATATGGTATGGTCATTATAAAAAAATTTGTGATATTAATTTGTGATTTCATAAATTTCGAATATTGGATTAAGTTGTAATAAATTAAGGTCATAACTTTCCTTTAAGTTATGGAGGTATTGTTTTTTTTTTTATAAAGTTGAGGGCAAACGAGTATGCAGCTCACCCGATGAAAAGTAATTACCACCGTCCAATGTTAGAGAAATTGTAGGTGTGTTGCTGACTTTTTATGAAAGAATATGCTTCTTTCTTAAGAGTTACAATATCATATCTGTTCGGAAATACTGCTGTGATAAAATTCAGCACCTGGCAATAATCAGAATAATTATTCGGAAAACTTCCTATGATATACGCGATTAAAGACGTAGAAAATACGCAATAATATGCCAGTGGTTCGAGTTGATCGACAAATCGTTGGTCATTAATAATCCGAGTCACCCAGCATTGTATACAGTCCAATGGAAGAAGCTAATATTGCAGTGCTTTCAGCTCAGACGTAAGAACAGTATTCCATGTGTGTATGGATTTGAATTGTATATAATTATAAGAGATGAGCTGGCGTGAAATAGCGTCTCACTTTACTGATTACCTAACTTTTTTTATTGTTATTTTAGCTTTTTCTTTCAAATGATCGCATAACTGGACGCTGTTGGATATATTAATGCCAAGGATCCTCCGATTTAGCTTAATATCAAGGGGAGTGTTCTTAAATTGAAGAGATATGACAAATGGAGTCTTTTTTTGCTGTGAACACGCAGACTTGTGTTTTCTTGGTTAAATACAAGATTTTCTTTGCCTCAGATCGAAATCTGATAAAGTGAAGTTTCAATTTCAGACACAAGCCTGTTCCGCCACTCGCCAATGTGTACCGGCGAGACGTTTGCTTGGCCGGTATAAGTGGCATCTCCTGTGCTATTATTCGCATATTATCGCAAATGTTATTATTCGGCAACATGACGTTGACGTGCAGAAAAAACAGTGTTAGTGATAGCAGACAGTCTTGCGGGATACTAACATTCACGTGTTTAGAGTCTGAGCATGCACCGTTGTTAATGCTTCGCTCTATGAGAAATATTTGCATAGTTTCAGTCATATGCAGCCAGAAGAATGGTAGTTTTGAAAGCACTTGATGTACCTGATTATGATTTTAATATATTTTTTACTTTGATGTGTTTTAAATGATCATTAAAATTGAATTTTCAATACATTTATTGTAAATTAAAAATATAGTTTTATTTTTACATTAATAGATACCAATTAATTAATCATAATTAAAATATGCTAAATAATATTCATTTTACAATAATTAGTAACATATTAAACGTCAGAGGCATTTTCGTCATTCTGAACATTGTCTTCGTTCTCTTCAGACGGTGTCCCAGAACGTGAGCTTTCAGAACCATAAATGTTGTGTAATTCTTCCAATTTGTAATGTATTTTTACACCTTTAGTGGTTGTTTTGTTTACTTTATTAACAAGTGATTTTGTTTGTTCTTCTAATCTTTTTAAACGTATGTCTCTTGCAGCAAATCTTGCCTCATGGTTTATCTCACTAGATGTTGAAGGCTCGGCATTATCATTAGTTAGTTTTGGGATGTCTGGTTGGTTTTCTCTCTGAATAGACTGAAGTATATCAAGCTTTTCTTTATTTAGGACTTCATCATCAGTAAGATTGCTAGAGGTACTATTTAAAACTTCACGACAATCGCATTCTGAATTCTGAAGGTTCGGACTATCATTTCTTATTTTAGAGTCAATAACCGTATGGTCATTACTTACAGCACATACGCTTGTTGTAGGTCGATTGATAAGTTCATCCAATGTGTTGTTTATTTGTTCACTAAATTTGGCCGTATCTTGTGTTTTCTTTACTAATTTTGCACTGTTTTTCTCTAAACTTTCCAACCTTTCATCTTTTTTAGCAAGTCTTTCATTTTGTAATTTTATATTTTTCAAAATTTCCTTGGGATCTATTAATGTTGATATATTAGACGGGTCTATTTGTGAGGATCGTCCAATATTCTCTTCAATATTATTAGAAGCAACATCTATACAACTAGTCGTACTATTATGAGATGTTTCTTCAATACATGAATCGTTTATGTCACCTATTTCATCTTCAGTCTCTTCGCAAGTTTTACTTGCTTCACTTTTAAACACATCTTCACTGTGACTATCATCTTGATTATCCAAAGGTAAATCGGCAACATCAAGCATATCACTAACTGGATCCTCTCTTTCAGCTGCTGGATTGAAATCTGTGCTGGAATCCAATATAGTTTCAAAAGATTTCTTATTTTTCTTACATCTTAATAGAGATTCTGTTATATATTCACTTTCATCATTGGATTCAGATGAGTCATCTGAAGGTCTTTCGTCACTATAGCCACTTTCAGCGGAATTATTAAGTGAAGGAGAACCTGATTTAGTTTTTCTGCTTGAAAATTCAGCTCTAAGTTTTCTCCAGTCTCTTTCTGATTGAGAATTCTTTTCACGAGCCTGAATCCATTTTTCACGACAATATTCTAGTTCTTCTTTCAATTCATTAAGTAGTTTTCTTTTTTGTTGTAATTCATATTTTAGAATTTTTTCATGTGTATGCAATTGATGATGATGTCGGCGTAGTCTCCCAACGACATGCCAAGTTTTACTTAGTTCAGCTGTGACAAGACACAGTCTTCGTTCTTGTTCTTCTAGACGGGTCTCTAAATGTACATTAAGTTGTTTCATTCTATTAACTTCTTTGACCAGTCCTAACTTTTCAATTATTAAATCCTGTAAATTGAATAAAAATATTTATATTTGCATTTATGATTCCGTATACTAATGGACTAGTGACTAAAAGTCGTCAATATATTTTTTTACAAATTCTGCGTACGAATTTGGCACTTGATCAAAATATTCCAACGATGTGTTATTGTACTCTCAAAAAGTTGTTGTGAGTTTTTTAATATATCAAAAATTTAATCGTAATACAAAAAATCCTTAACTATTTACAAATAAGTACACGCAGTTATACAAAAGGATTTAAATACGGTTACTTACTTTTAGTCTGATATAAGTTTGACTAACACTTGGTACTAATACAGAGCCTGATTTTGTTTCTACTGATTTATAACATGTTGTGACCTTTTCTGAAGGGTTAGCATCAGTAACGTTTTGATGACTCAAGAGCTCCATTAATACTCTCCAAACTTTTGGAAGATTTTGTACAATCTCTTCTGGTGTTGTATTCGATGTATTTACAGATTCTGTAAGAAATTAATTGTATTATTATTGTGTAATACATATGCCAAGTTGTTTGTTTGTTTGTTACACATTGACGACTAAATTGCTTAGTTGATTATGATTGGTTTTGATGAATTTTGATATACTGATAGATGTGACCCTAGAGATGTTTATAGGCTGCTTTTTCTTGCGAAAAACCTATAGTGGTGGGGTAAGGAAGGAACAATTTTTATATGAACTTTTTTCTTTTTGTAATTATTTTATATCTCTTTCTACAAAACTAATTAGAAATGTTGAACAAAATATTAACGTAAATAAAGCCGCGGGTAAAAACTAGTATTGAATAAATACCTGTATCTTCAGTAGATATCTCTGGTGATTCTTTTATTTCTATTTCTTCATTGACTATTTTTTGTTCCCCTTCATCGACCTGACTTACTAGTTCCAAAAGAAGTTTTGGTAAGGCTGTAGATGCTTCAGAACCGTTTTCTTTTTCTGCCATATGAGTCAACAATCCGTGATTTTCTTCAAGACGATGAACTAATTTATCCAAGTCCTGTTTGGTTTTATAACCAAGTAACACTTGGGAGAATAACTGCAATTAAGGTACAAAATTTTATTTGATATTAAACTTTATAGTAGACTCTCTCCGGTATTTTTAATAGCACGAATATATAGTTTCTATAGAACATATTTCTAAAGTTTCGAAGTCTTTAGTTTTTTTTTTTTATATTTATTTACATATTATTGATGATAATTTAATGATCTATAATATTTTTTGGTAATGAGGTAACAGAGTTTTTAAAGATGTTAGAATAACATATATATAAAAAAATAAATACAATTAGTATGATTTCGTTTGTAGACGGTATACGAGTATATCATCTGATATACATATATACTAACATATAAAAAGGAAAAGATATATTAGTAAATTTTAAACTTTATTGTTGTTTACTTATATATTATTTTCCTGCAAAAAATTTTCATGGCGTTAAGTCCCGATAGTGTATATATATAAGAGTTTTTTTGTTTGTCTGAACGTTTGTCTGAAATTAACAATCGAATTTGAAAAAAATATGTTTGCATTTGATAGCTCAATTCTTGAGGAAGAGTATAAGCTATTGAACATTACATTACGACCACAGGTGAGGCCTCGAGACACAGCTGGTCTATCATAAATTTTATAGTATAACTTCGATAACATGTTACAGGAAAATGTAAGTAAGCAAGTAAAGTAGTTTATAATTTAGTCTTGCTCGCAACTGACGCTTCTATTGTAACTGTTAGGTAAGACGTATCATTTTGCAGATTGCTACTTGTGTAGCATGAAAAGTAGAATTGTAAAACTCTTTATTTGTTAAAAGTCTTATCATAATTACCTTATTTACAACGGACATTTCAGCCTTTAGCCCACGTGTTTCGTCTTGCAAAGTAGTTATTTGAACGTTTTTATTATCGATTTTTTCATGTAGTGAATCCACAGTTGTTTCTAGTTCTTCCACTTTGGCAGCAAGATTTTTACATCTGTAAAGAATTTTATATTACATATTACAAGTAATTTATTTACAATAAAAATTTATTTTAAACCACCATACTTACTTATTTGATTCCGCTTGATGTAGTATTTTCTGCTCTTCGAGTTCACGGACTAAGCCCAGTCTTGTAACTTCCGACAATCTAGCACGTTCTTCATATAAACCACGCAAGGTTCGAATATTTTGCAATTGGCGTTCATATTCTTGTCTTAAATCGGTGGACAACATATTTGTTTCTCTATCAGCTAGTGACCGCTCTATTTCTTTTAGTTTATCTTTTAACTATAAAAAAAAATCAAGAAAAATGGTTTTAATATTTATTAACAATAAAAGAATTTAGAAAGTAATATCTGTCATTTGTAGATAGTATAATTAAGACCCCTTTTTTATTGGAACTTTTAAGGTCTATTAGAGTAGGTATCATGGGCTATACAGTATATTCTGTTATGTCAGTTAGTACTGTTGTAGATGTTTATAGGCGACAGTTACCACTTTCTATCATCCGGAGTGTAAGCTTGTTTGCCATTTAAAGTTACATAAAAAAGTATTTATTATTTACTATGTGTCTGGATATGTATTTTTTATAACAGACCGAACCACAATAATATACGCATTGGTGCTAAAATAATGTCTATTCATGCAGCTACTTATTAGAAATAATAAGCAAAATAACAATTTAATTTGAAATTTGGTTGTGGCGTATATAAAAATGGCATCACAATTACACGATTTGTGCACTTGATTAAATAAATATGAGTGAGTTTGTGTTTAAATTTGGCAAATTGTCAAGATCTAATGCCAATAAAATAAACGACCATGTAGACGGAACTGTACATACGTCGTTCCAGCGTCAGCGGTCCCTGACCGCTATGGCACATGTTTTACAGGTCGTTGTCATATTATTACATGGTATTTAAATATCAAATAATATATTTCAAGCTGTCTTGATATTGATGCTTGTTGAAATTTGGAATCAATTTTGATAAAATGCGTTTTTGTACAAATTATTGCGCATAATATAAATCCATGTAAAAAAATATATTGTGTTTATTTGTTGTTATGTCCAAAAATTAGGTATGATTTGACTTGATTGATATAATTTGTGAAAGAATGGTTTTTGTATATAATATTGATATAAATGCTTATTCTTCCTTTACGAGAAGAGGATCGTGATTGGTAGTGGGAAGCTTGTAGTAGCATGTAAACACAATACCTCGTTTAACTGTTGTTCACGAAGATTTATCATTGTTTTGCTAACTGTTACAACTTCTTTTAATGCATTAATATGTTTAATTGACTCTGTATTTTGTGAATTTAAATCTGCAATATCAGAAAATGCGCTTTGTAGTGCACTATTCGATTCCGCTAAATTTTTTCTTAAATTATTATTATTGGATCTTAATTTTTCGAATTCATTTTTCATTTGGAGTATCGTATTTGTTAATTCTGAATTATCTTGACTCTCTTGAAGTTGTTCAGGTATTTCAATATTATTTTTAATCAGAATCTCACGAAGCTGTTTATTACTTTCATATAAATCCAACTTAGATTTTCTCTCATTTTCTAAACATTTTTCTAATTCTTCTTTTTCAGTTCTATGCCGAGCCAAAATTTGTTTTCTTAATTCTCTTTTCATATCCAGCTGTTTGTGGAATTCAATCATCTCGTCTTCTTTGGCTTTTGCACGAATTTTCTCTTCATTAATTAATTCATTTTCATCAATAGTATCGAAGAATTCTTCAATGTCTTCATTTATTTTTGTTTCGTTAGAATCACACATATTGTCCATTGTTTGATTTTCACTTATGACGTTTTCGGTTGCACGTACCCTTGCTGAAGCACTACTGAGTACGTTTCCCATTTTGGAATACTTTTATAAACAAGACGCACTTTCATCCGCCTGAAATGAGGTTGAGGGTGCGCGACTTTAAAATAGGTAACGAGTAATATGTTTTAATAAGACAAAGAACTGTTGACTGTTGGATTAGCACGCGTATACTGTGAGGCAGACGTTTCCCAAAATAGCTCCTTCATCAGCTACGTAGATGCGGGGCGCAGCGACCGACGTGCGATAGCAAGTACATGTTCAATATTATCCGCCAACGCAACGCTTCGACGAATCTCTGCCGATATTTTATTTTTACTCAGGTTATTTCCGACAAGACTAGTTTTATAGACATTGGTGAAGCATTGTTGGACTCACAGGAGAAAGTGACCTTGGTTCTATGAATTACATTAGCAGTTATAGTTTTTCTAAGTCTAGTGCTTTTTTGTCTTAAGGGGTAAATGGAACCTTGTTGTGGCGAGTCTGTGCATCTAACTACCTGTGAGAGACTTCTGATTGTATAATAATTCAATTTATCATCATCATTTCAGTCAATATTTGTTCACTAACTACTAATTACTGAACATAGGCCTCCCGTATAGATTTCTACAATAAATAGTCTAGAGCTCCATTTATTTTTTCGAGGGCAAGAAGAGGGATGACAGAAGGTCTATTTTATGCGAAGAAAATTTAATGTTAAATTTTCTATGCTATTAACCATGACCGCGTGGATGTCGATACGATAGGCTATATTACGTACATTACTAGCAATGGGGTTGCTAGTCTCAATTATTGAGTAAAAAGAGATTGTTTAGTAATAGGGATTTAAGGAATCCCAATTACTAGTAATGTATCCTACCACGGCGATCTCCATGCAGTTGCCCTTAGAAACTATCTAGGATAATTCTTTATGAATTCGTCACTATAGTGATGAACTATACTCCACCTAGCCAGTTTTATCCTCACCTATCACTTTTTACTGGTGCGCCAGTGTACATGTATACAGATAGTGTAGGCGGAGTTACTATTCTGTATTCATCTTATTAAAATAACCTCTAAGCGATCTTTCTTCGGAAACCATCATAGTTAATTCCAGATGCATTCATCACAATGGGCTAACCGACCAGTTTTCATCTCTTCGTACTATAACCAGCCAGTGGATACAGACAGCACATACGGGGTTACCATTTCATTTTCATCATTAAAAAAATAGTCTTCGTTATTAGCAGTTTCTTCCCTCTGTGGCATCCTTTTTAGATCGCAGTACTATTGGGCGCCGCTTTACCGCGACCATCCTAAAGTCTGTACTGCAGCCGTATTATGAACTCTTATTTCCAGGCAGATTACGGCGTAAATTGAACTGCCTTGCTAATTCATATTATGAACGCTACAAACCAGCCAGTCAGTGGTCACGTGACAGTTGAGCGACATCTGCCCGTATTTTGGCTGGTTATTTCGTATTACGAGCTCCTGATTTGACATTTCTACGCGTCATTTGACTATTTAAAACTTGTTTACAAACCATTCAGTTTACGGCGTCTTCAAGTGCCTTTTTTTGAATTGTTTTGTGTGTTTTCTAGATATGAAAGACTTATTTGTATTCAGTTTGCATCGATTTGAAGTGTTTTTTTTTGTTTCTAATTTATTAAGTTTGTGTGTTCAAGTTTGTTAAGTGTTTGTAGTTCAGTATGTCTGATGAAGGTGAAATTTTAGAATTTTTGGAAATGGACGCTATGTATGAAGCAGAACAGCGAAAAATTAAAAGAAGACGATTGCGAGACCAATCCAATCCCTTTGATATTGACGATGAGCAATTTATAAAACGATATCGTCTTAGCAAAGGTTTGGTATACAGTCTCTGCGATGAGCTTAGGCCTCATATGGCAGGATCATCAAAGTCCACAGATTTGACATTAGAGACTAAGGTTACACTTTTACCTTATTATGATGATATTGTCATTAATATATTTTCTTAAATTAACTGTGACTTAGTTGACTGTCAACTTTTTTCTATTTTAGGTTTTGGTAGCATTGTCGTTTTTCGCAACGGGCTCTTATCAACGCCCAATTGGCGATATTGCTGGCCATTCTATCGCCCAACCTACAGTTTCTATAATAATAAAACAAATTACAAAATTATTAAATTTGCCTGAAATACAGGCAAAATATATTAAATTTCCGAGGACGTCAGAGGAGCGAAGAGCTAACATCATAAGGTATTTTTTTATTATATTATTAATAAAGTATTAACCTCCACAAAAATAACTAAGATTTATTAATACAAGCTATTCCTTCTATCCATTATTACTGAACACATCTCCTTTATAATAATAGCTTTTCTTATAAACATACTAGAAAATATTTTGTAATGAAAAAAGTATTTTCAAAAGGAATTATTAAAGAATGAACCTAATAATTTGTTATAGATTTTATAATAAATTTGGAATGCCAGGAGTGTTGGGGTGTATCGATTGTACACATGTTGCAATTGTACGCCCAACTGAGAACGAGGAGAGATACTACTGTAGAAAACAGTATCATTCGCTAAATGTACAGTTGGTATGTTAATTTATTATGTTTGATGCTTGTTGATTTCAATTACACTACATTAAATTTTATACACACCAATATTTAATTTTGTGATTATATATAAATGTACTAAATTAATTCATATGAGCTTTATTACATTTATAAAACAAAAATTAAAATTTACAGTTATGTTAAATATACATTATACTAACTTATAAAACACATTAAACAATAATTTTATTATTAATACATATAATTTACATCACACTTATAATTAAATATTTGACTAATATACTTATTTCATATACAATTTTAATAACTTAAGATTTATGTTCTTCTGTCATGTTATTAATCTGAAAAAAAAAAAACATTTTAGATTAGTAATGCTGACATGGAAATTATAAGTGTGGATGCCAGCTATGGAGGAGCTACTCATGACTCCTTCATTTGGACAAATCATCCCCTAAGACAGCATTTAGAACAGTTAAGCAGAAATGAGTCCATTTGGTTACTTGGTGAGAATTGATTTGTATTATAAAAATATTAAAATTGTGTTTACTCATTACTGATTTTAGAACTTTAATACTTTTTGTAAAGAATTTTTTTTTTTTTTGTATTATTAACATGCTACTTTTATTTTTAGGTGATTCAGGATATGCTCTTAGAAAGTATATGATGACTCCCATTACAAATACTGTCCCAGGGTCACAAGAAGCACATTACACCAGTGTACATGTGAGGACAAGAAATGTGATTGAGAGGACAATTGGACTCTTGAAAGCTAGATTCCGTTGCCTGCTTGTATACAGAGTACTTCATTATGCCCCTGAGGTGGCAGCATCTATAGTGAATGCTTGTGTGGTATTGCATAATATGACAGTAAAGTCTAATATACCAGCACCGACACTCACTGATGAAGATGCTACATCAGAGGGCACAATGCAGCTCCATCATGCTCACCATGATCTGTCTCAGTCTTCAAGTGTAGAATTAAATGAAGGTTTAGCTGCCAGGCGCGCCCTCGTTTCTCGCCTCTGGAGTTCTCGAGCTTCTACAAATTAAAAAAAATATAGATTACTCTGAGAAGTAGACATTAGGCATTTTAGTTCTTAGCATATTTATTAATTTCTTTTTTATTTCATTTATAGAATGAACATTAATTTTAAATGTTTTATATAAATAGTTTATTACTTCTAATTGCATTTTTAATATAATTATATTACTCTGATAAAAAGTCTATTTATATTCATAGAATTTTAGTTGATATAACAAAACAGAAATATTGTTTGAGTTTGTATATTTCTACTGTATGTTCTCCATAAATTTGTAATAAACACCAAATATTCTCTTAGATATATTATATAAAATATGGAAAAAGTAATATAAGATATTAAAAAAATAATACAATGAAAATACTGAAATAATGTTGTTGTTTTACCTGTTAATTGATTCAGCTATCCTATTTAATGTATTGAGCATTTGCTCCATAATAGCTGTCTGTCTTCTTTATTCTTCTAGTCGTGACCTTGCAACATCTATTAAAGCATTCCTTGCTGCCTCCATGCTAACAGTTCTCTGTTGTCTTGGTCTACGACGTGTCGGGCGAGACGGAGGGGCTTCTGTAGGAACTTCTTCTATTTGAGGATGTGGAAGCTCTTCAGTTCCTGTGTTTTGTGTATCTATAGTTGTTATATGTATGTCTCCTCTGGACTCTGACTCTGATGCAGTGATCTCAATCATTACTGCATCAGAGTCGGTGTCCAGAGGTTCTGATCTCAATGCAGTGCCACTAGTACTTGGTATCTGAAAATAATATAAATTTATTTTCATTTCTATGCAATTTATTCTATATATAATTATAATATTGAATAATTTATGGTAATTTCGGTCAGGGTCATATGTTAATAAAGGAAACTATTATTGTAATTGTATTTCTTAACCCTTAAATACATGAAGTTTCAAATTTGATACCGGTATTATAAATCATATTGGGCGCCTACAATCGATTTTATTTTAATATTTGGCTGTTTACATGTTACCAGTTTTTTTCAAAATAAAAATATAAAAATATCGTTTTGAATTTTTTTTTTACTATTTTTCCCCATTAGTAAACACAGTAAAGGATACACTTATATTTTTTTAATTTGATTTAAAAAATCAGGCTTTTAAGGGTTAAATATTGTTAATTAATTAAGATAGTATGCTTCCAAATGAAATAAATAAAATATCAAATAGGCAGAAAGTGTCAGGCATTTAGGAGAAAGAATAAATATTTATTATGACTTACAGATGGTAGATATGAATTAAAAGTTTACTCTCTAAAACTGATTTATGTACATGCGATGAATCATAAAATTATATAAAACATAGAAGCCTCTGGTACTCTACTTTTCTTTACCTACTTTGCAAGAGACTTATTGTGAACACAGAATTTATATTAAAAATTCCTACAATTTACTTACGTTTGGAAATGGGTCGACTTGTACATTACTCAAGCCCGAACCGAAACCTGCCCCTAAAATGCTCAAGAACTTTTGTTCTAGTGCATCCAAGGGTGGAACATTCGAAGGTCCACCTCCAGTACGGTTTTGAGACAGACGTACTGCAGCAACTCTTCTTTTTAATTTAGCTTTATAATCCACCCAATACTGTAAATATATTTTTGATATTATATAAGTTGATTATAATTTGTTATTAAAAATTAAAAACAATAAGTTTTTGTAATACTTACATTTGACCATCCTTTCCAGTCTTTAAAAGCTCCTTCTCCCAATGAATTTAATGCTTCTGCGACTTCTTCCCACATACGTTTTGCGTATTCTCGCGCTTGGGCAGATTTATTAAAACCGACAGCCACGTCCTTATTGGAATTTAAAAATTCCCACAGAATTTCTAACTGCCGGTACGTTACGCGACGACGTGTGTGAGAATTTTCAGCAGAAGTTGATCTGCGATTTAATTAAAATAATTAAGTCTTACATTAATTTAATATAGCATTTTTTTAGCACACAATATATGTAGAAAAACACTAAAAACACTTACGCCATGATATATATTTTTCTTGTTGATAAACAAAAAATATTTTGTAAAAATTAACTGACTTCGAACTATTTGGAATGCAGCCAAGTAATGAAATAGTTTCACAGTTTCAAACTCCACTTCAAAAAATTCATATTCAAGTGGATTCGGCGCGGAATTTTAAGTGGATCAACAACGTCATGTAGCTACGTTCGAAAATGTGCACGAAATGCATTCTAAGATATAATTCGAAACGTTCAAAAAGATAACGAGAATATTTTAATTAATAACGTAAATTTATCTATCTAATAATGTATTGTAATAATTGCATTTTCGTTATATTTATTTAACCACTACCATGTCAAAACTATGTGAACATAAAAACCGTAACTTCCCGTAAAAATTCTTGTGTTGTTTCTGAACGAATGGAGTGTAAATGAATATCCAGCCATAGACAAATTATCCAGGCAGAAGTCGGATTGTTTTTTGTACGTCATAATACGAAAAAGAACAAGGCAGTTTACGGGCGTGAAGTGAATTGCCTGGAACTTGCATGGATGTTTAAAAGTTCATAATACGACTGCAGCAGTCGTATTATGAACTGATTGCAATATAACTTGTTGTAGCAATATAATTTCTTGTCGGGGAAAGGATTTGTTAGTAATAGAAACTGGTAGCTCCATTGTCAAATATATATTCTGTCAGGTCGACCTCCACGTAGTTCCTTTTGGAAACCACCGGGGTTAATTTTTGATGCATTGGTCACGTCACGATAGGTTAACCTAGTTTCATTTATATTTCATCTAAGTTACTCCAATACCGTAAGCTGGATTACTATTCTGTTATTATCCATTAAAAAAAATTTTTTTTTTAATACCTAATAAATGATGGATTTTATTTAAATTTCATTTTTGTCCCTTGGCTCATGAGAGTAATATTATAATTATTTATGTTGGTATTACTTTTAAATTCAGGATAAATTAGTCTAGCATTCTCCAATTCAAAATGTATGTAAAGTCGACCACAAGTCTACATAAATAATCACAAAAAACTATTTGTAGTTTGAAATTGGAAATTATAGTCAAAGAAAATAATATGTGCGGCGTATTACTGACCATCATAATACGCCTTTTATATTACTGGCCGTCATATTCCGTCTTTTATATTTTTATACTGATTTTATATTTTCTTATGTTTTTACTATTCTGTCATTAGTCTTTATGTTTTCCTACCGATGAAGACGTGATAAAAGAGAACTACAATATTAAGCATTTTTATTATCAACCCGTTTCTCTTAATATGATACAAATTTAAGAATACAAACTGGAGGGCTTTTATTTACTTAAATATTATTATTATTATACGATACGATATTTGAAAAAAGTACAATATTTGTTGTTAGTCATCACATGCTATATAGAAAGAAAGAAAGATTTATTAGTATCAGTAATTTGATGTTAGTGCGCCTCTATAGAGTGATTTAGGAACTAAAATTATTAATTAGTTTTAGCATAGATAATATATGGTTTTAGTATGTCACTCGCCAAGCTTCCAATCCTTATTTAGGTCTAGATATAATCCCCTTTCTACGAGTACGCCACTTAGTACCTTTGACCGGTTGTTATTTCTAAATTAGATAACTAGAATTATGCATAAGCAATGAATCATATGAAATTGATGCCTTCAAGTTCCCTGATTTAGCAACCTAATCAGAAAGCCGGTTAAGTATGAAGAAACCAGGTTAAGTCAGATTTGTTTGAACCGGGTTCAAACTTATCAAATTTTACCTATTACTAATCTATGGCTTTAATTCACGTAACATTGCCAGATTGGTCGTTTTTTTTGCAATTTTGGGTAAAAATTTTCTTGATAACGAAATTTTTGAGAAATGAAATATTGGTATTTAGTTTGAGGTTATGGACCGAGAGTAAAAGGTAAAATATGATTGAAAGTTATGGTGGTGGTTCAATTGCAAATTCCATTTTCAACACTAGACCGTCATCAGCAAATGATAATGAGAGTGGTAGTCTGCTGTCTATCAAAAAACTCGATGGGAATAGCAATTACAACAATTGGAAATTTGCTATGGAGCTATAACTTTGCCTTGACGATTTATGAAAATACATGCAGTGGAAGCGTGCTGGGCTCATAACCTGTTAGTATTTATCTGATTTATCTGAAATTTAATTTTGAGAAAAAAATGTAATGGGCTGAGAGAAGTTTCGGTAATTTTTTTGTAATAGTGATATAGAAAATGTAGTCAAAATGTAATTTAAGTTTGAGATTTGGTAAAAACAAAGAAAATAGTACCGATTTAGAGGAAAATACTATTATTTGATATTTGGGTATAAATAAAAATTATATTTGGCATTCACGCTAATGTCAGTTGACAGAAGGAGTTATATCCATGGTCATGAATAAATTAAAAAAAAAATATGCTAATGTCAGTCAATCTGTCAACAGTTCAGTCAGTCACTCTTATCAGCTATTAATTTTCAGCATTTTCTTTTTGGGAAAACCCAAATTACGTATATTTAATTCTAAATACATTTCTTGTAATTTATTCAGATCCCATTTTTTGTATGACTTACTCTGTTTGGCTGTTTCCTAATCTAAGTAAATACCTATATCAAGTTGTGTGTAAAATTGATTTTTTATTTTATTTTGTTATAACGTGGCTTATTCTTAATAATAGCTAGTACACTATTTGTGTGACGTCGCACAATTTAATAATTGAACGTGCTATAATGTGAAATGTGAATTAATTAAGATTGTTGAGTGATGGATGAGAGCAATAAAAACTCTCCTTGTAAGGTAAAAATTGTTTTGCTGTTTTACATCACTTGGGATGGGGGTTTTTTCGAAAATTTCATTTCTCTGTTTATATTTTATCAATGTACTTTTTATTCGTAATTCGTGTTAGTTAACTACCTTACTACTTATTGGAATTATTAAACTGAATAAGTATTAGTTTATCAATTCAAGGAGAAATTTGTGAAATTAATTAGGGACTAATTTGTTTTTATTATAAGTAGTATATATTTTAGTCTATTAGAAGTTATCTTTTGAAATCCAATGCACTGTGCTTTTCTATTATCATTTGCTCACATTTAGTTCATTTAAATATCTACAAATCAGATAATAGTTTCACATACCCAATTCAAAATTATTATAATTGTTATACACAAATCATTATACCAATATTTAATTTGATATCAATGAAACTGCTAGTAATCTTATTTGAAATATTAATTAGTTGAAAGGAGAAAGGTAAAAGAATGATTGACTCCACTAATAGTTTAATGATGTCCAATTGTAAGTATATTACACTAAAAGGGAATTTATGATTTGTGTAAAGAAAATAATTAAGTTTATCAGAACTTTTTGTTCTGTTTAATAACTGAAATAAGTAATAAGTACTAATAAAACATAATATAATAACTTTTATGTTTATGTTTAGTAATTTGTTTTCTTTACTATTTAATCAATTAAAAATATTGAAATTATAAAATACCAATAATAAGCCTATGTTTTTATTGGCAGAGTATATATTCTTTATATTCAAATATTATTCCTGTTTACTTAATATTTTGTTATAATTTAGAAACAATGACTGTACTCAGAAATTCAATAATAACATGATTTATTTTATTTATTTAAATAGATGTTTTTACGTGATTATTACTTGTAGTGTTTAAAATCCATATTTTTTTTTTAATTACCATATCTACTATTAATCGGTATTTGTATGTGTCTAATGGATTTCTTTTAAATTGTTTGTATAATTTTCAAAGTAGCTGTGGACTTTGTGCATGCTATAGGCATGTTTTAAGGGACTATTAAAATTGCTTATACCTAGCTAGGTGTATATATTTATACATAAATAAACATATTCATCTGCTCTAATGAGCAGATAATTCTGTTCATAATGGAACATTTTTATCTGGACTGAGCAGATGTTGTTCTGAAACTACTGGGAATAACAATATGAAATTTATTTTTTAGGATAGATTTATTTGGACAGTGTTATGTAATAAACAATTAATTCACACTTAGAGCAAATTGAGAAAATGAGCTTTAGAAATTACGCATTTAAAATTGTTGCCATGTTTACACCTATTATGTTAGGAGTTTACTCCTTTTACACTGAAGTTATAAAAAGTGCATATATTTTATATTAGTTAAGAAAATATCACATTACACAATATTTGTTTTATATAAAAGGCATCTATTTCACTTAATTCATTCAAATATGCTAATCATTTATCTTTAATTTATTCAGTATAAAACATTATAAGGATTGAATTCAGATGTAATGATGAGATATATAGTATTTACATTAATTATTTATTGTTAATCAGACTAAATGTTTACATTTACCATACTTTTCCAATTCCATCTTATGTTTTACTATTTTTATTATTATCTTCTATGTCAAAATTATTGTATCTTGATTATCATCTTCTAAATCACAAGATTCAAGTTTCACAGTGTTGTCTGGCATCAGGCAGAATGAGATGAATGGATTTTATACCTTTTAGCTTCATTAGGGAAATAGATTTTCCTTCTGCCCAAAGTTCTTCATAAAAACTTGACATTTTGTCCATTCTTTTTAGTCTATTTCTTTGTATATGTATTTATTATCTTGATCATTCCTGAAACTCCTACAAAGTAGTCTTTTCTATTTTACTAGCTGTTAACAATCTATCAATATATTACTCTTATTACAATTTGTCATCACATCACTGTAGTCTTGTAGTTGAAATATATAGCCGTGTATGGGTTGTAAGCAGATTGTATATAACCAAATTATTGGATGCCAGTAGATTTAATACTGCATCTTTAAAACAATGAGATCAAAAACAGTAAGTGGAATTAATGTCAACTTTTATGTCTTTAATCCATGTATGCAGAATTAGAACATAACAAATGTATGCACAATGTTTAAGGAATTCTGATATGACGTTTGATTCAACCCCTTAATATAAGACCCTGGGGATGGTTTTGGAGCTGCAAAATAATTGAATACATAGTTTATCATGCCTACAATTGATCTACATTCATAATTTTTTTGTTCCATTATGTCACTGTTGATTCTTTCTTACATAATGCTGTCCGATTATGGAAGTGTATCATTTACAAAAGATAGAAATTTATACATTCATCATGTTTCTTTTAGGGTAGGATACTCTGCAATTTTTAATCTGATATTCTATCAAATAGTTTTGTTTTATTAGGTACTATTAACTTCATGTTCAGTATTTCCCTAAATTGAATCTATAATAAATATTTACATTTTAAGACAATAGTCTTAATTATTGTATGGTAAATCATAATAATAATACAATGGAATAATAATATGCAATATTATAATAAATGATTGATGATCGATTGATTGAATAAATATTCTACTACAAATTTAAAATATTATGAATTTATTTATTAAATGTTTTTTTACTTTTACACAGTAAAAATTTTTTACATTTGCACATTTACTTTAATTAAATAGTTATACAGGTTAACATAAAAAAGAAAAACAATTATGTGAAACTATTAAATATGTACCTACATGACACACCTGCTTGTTTGTTTTTGTTTTGATGTTGCACATTTGGTAGGCATGCAATGAGGATGCAGAGGGCGTGCAGTTGCATGCTGAAGTGGAGCATCTACGGCAACATCTCAGCGAGAGGGATGCCCACATTGTAGCTATAGAGAGCGAGTACATCAAGTGCACTGCTAGAGCCAACGATTTAGAGGAACAACTCAATACGTGGCGGGAGAAATACGAGAGGTGCAGTTTTGTTTTTAATGTTTTATTTGCTAAGTTATTATTAGTCATCTGTTCTGTAAGATACTTTATCTTGTGGGCATAGACATAGGATATAAGGAATAATTATTATTTTTCTTTTTTATTACCGTTTGCTGTAACTTCGTCTACCTGAAACAGTGACTTATGAGTTAATCTCTATATTTTATTTAAATCCATTTGTAATGAATATTCTAATTTACAAACTTTCACATTTATAATATTAGTAAGAGTGAGTTTATAAAATGTAAATACGAATTCAATGAATGTTTAAAAATACATATTTTTAAACATTCATTGAATTCGTATTTAAAAATACATAGACAATTTTCAATACCCATTTTTATATTCAGAAAATAAAATAATTAGTACAACATGTGACAAATATTAAATTATTTTATTAATTTATTTTTTTATTGTATTTATAGATTGTATGATTCACACAAACGAGTACAAAAGTTAAATCAAGTCTTAGAAGATAAGTTATTGCAAATGGTAGACAAAATGAAGGGAGAGAAGAGTCAGCTGACCAAAGATATTGCCACTTTGTCAGTAAGGCTTGCAGAGTCTAAGCATAACTACAGTATGCTGCAAAAAGAAAATGTATGTTGTTCTTTTATTTATAAACAATAAGATTGAAACAATAAGATATTTCAAAAAAATTACGTTAAATAACATAAAGATACATAATATGAAAATACATTAAATAAAAAAAAAAAATATTGTTATTTTTACTTTCAGGAGAGATATAAAAATGACATGAATCTAGCAATCCAGCTGCTACAATGTAAACCTGATAACTTTGTATCTCAGAAATTGGATAATGTAAGTAAAACACGTTGATTCAAATGACTAGACTCTTGTGTACGAGATACTTGATCAATTTGTTTTCTTTACAGCTTCCTGTTGATACTCAGGCACGAGTTTCACAATATGTAATGTCGAAAACATCAAAGCCATCTAGTTCTACTCAGTCAAAAAATGGTAATGAGAATGATACCTTTGACGCAAGTGAGTACGAATTTAATATTTCGGCCTCATTAATGTCTAAAATACTTGAAGATAGCATTCAAGATACTGTCACTAAACATTGTGATACTTGTACATGTGCTAAATCGCAAAGTAAGCCATTCTGTTACAATGACAGTTATTATTCTGTAGGCACACAAACTTTATTAACTGGAGAAATAAAGAATTCACTTTGTATGAATTGTAGTTCTGAAATAAAGTCTGTACATTCCAATTTAAGTACTAGAAGTGTTTCACCACATGGTATTAAACTTGTGGATGACAAAATTGTGAATCGTGGTACTGCTAGTTCCATGTATTCACCTCAACCTGTTTCTGAAATGAATAATGAAAATTTTGAAAATGTTGTTGATAAAATTAATGTAAACTTTATAATTAATGACAAAGAAAATAGTCATATAGATGTTTCGCAGAATAATGATGATCAAAACCTTATGAAAAAGAATGTTAACACAAATATAGAACCGACAGTCCATCATAAGCTCTGTGACCGTACAAAAACTTCAATTTCTAGCAAAATAAGTAGTAGTCATAGTGTAAGAAATGATGATTTACTCATTAAAGATGCTCCCAATACTAAAGGTCTTCATATCAAAGATTATGGTCGAACTGGAGATAGTTCTAGTCTCAGAAAAAATTCACAAAGTTCTATGGGAGGAATAAGCAGAACGTCGTCAATAGCTAAATCGACGGTAAGTACACATAAGTCCAATACTCAAGTGGGCCCTGGACCAAGGTTTTGTCATTTACGTATGCAAGCTGGCTCTAAAAATATCTTGCTAGACAACGCGGAACCTGATGTACCACCTGTTTTATACAGGAGACAAAGTAAATGTAACGAGAACTCAATATTCAAAGATCTGAATGATGATCTAGAAAATTTCATAGATTTAGATAAAACCAATGATAATAATACAAATATTATTAAAAATGATAATATTGTTGTAGAAAGTACGCTTATCGATGTTCATGTTGATAGCAATAATAAAGATTCTAACACGATCACTAAAGGCACAACTATAAATCCTGTATTATTGAATGTTTCTTCTAGTCCGTTACAACCATTAAAAACTCATAACTTCTCTAATGGTTCAGAACATAACAACAATAACAATTCTCTGAGTATTGGTAGTCAACAGAATGCTTCTGGAATTGATAACCTGCTAAGTGATTTTAATCCTGATTCTAGTAACATTCAAAATAATAACACAAATGAAGAGACTAAAAATCAAGAAATTGTGACTCCTGTAGATAATCACAATGTTAAGATATTTAATTTCGATAGATATGAACAAAACAAGTTAGCTAGTCAATATAACAGGCCTTTGAGAAAGATAGATATGTCACAACTTCATTCTATTGAAAATACAAAAATTTCTAAAGATTTTCCACCGCAAGATTTTACTAAACCAGACAAAAAGGTCAGCTCTGCTGTAAAATTGACACTTCCCGCTGTTGTTAATGTTTATCCCAATTTGACGCAGACACACTTGAAAGTGAACGAAAACAAAGTATTTACGAATGAACAGAGCACAAGTTCTCTTTCAAGTGACGATAGCGCTGCATTGTTACAAAAACAACAATTGCTTAGGGTCGCTGAATGGGTAGAAAAAAATTTAGAACAACAAAATAATTATAATGATCCGTTAGAGGACGAGGTCAGTTTCAATAATCGAGCGATGAGACGTGATAGTAAACTGTCTAGACTAACAGAAACACTAAATGAATTGGCTCTTAATATGCCGCATCCTGTAAGTAAATATTCAAAGTCTTATTCTAAAGATGGTCGCAATTTGTGGATCCATAATAAAGTCACTCAAAATGAAGAAAAGTCCGGAAAATTTAATTCAACTAATACGAAAGTTGTTAGTAATAACGTAGTTAAAGAAACTATATTCCCTGTGGAAAGTGATGAAGTGTCAGTCACTGAAGTGAATGATGAAAGTACGAAAAACTGCGTTAGAAATAATATTGAAGACTTTGATGTAGGCAAAGAACTAAGAGATGCATTTAAATCTAATAGCGATAAAGAAATTACACCTGAAGATTTGGCAAGAATGGAGTATAATGTGAAGAAGTTCTTGCTGAGTGGACCTCACTGGGTAAATCCAGGCTCTGTGGGAAGAAGTCGGCGCACTAGTAGCAAAACTGAGACTGATGTATAATTCCATTGTAGGTTGAAGGTAGTTGTAACTTTCTATGTTTCGTGTGTTCCATGGATTTAATGTTATTTGTGATAGCGGCATTGTAGCTTCTTTTTGTTTTATTATATAAAAATAAGGGCTAAATATTACATAGAATGATTGAACATGTCACTGGGCAGCCATATTTTGACCAGCATATGTTACATGATGGATTTTGTACTTGAATATGTTTTCCGTTTTTATTTATCTATTACCCTGCGTTACTAAATATTTTGGGTTTAAGGTAATCAACCTTATAAAATGAAACAATACAATCGTTGAAGATAAAATACATTGAATATTCTTTGAGTTCTTTATGAGTTTAAAAATTCTATAGGGCTTAATTGTCAGATGATAATATTATTACTAAATTTGTTCCAAAAACTACTGAAGTTATAATATTTTTAATTTTGAATTTAATATTAATAATTTTTAGAATAGTCCATTTACCGTAAAATATCTATATCGGGAACGATGCGATCATTATAATAAATATGTTCTTTGTAAATTCTTGTTTATATCGCTAATCGCTAGTTTATATATACAAAAGTATGCATTTTAAATTCCGTTTTTATTCTAAAATCTATGGAATCCTTTATTTATTAGAATTTCTTAGTCTATTTAATTCTTACCATGAGGTAGTTTTTATTAATTGCCATCTACGGTAAGAAACATAACGTCGCAGTTTCTGTTGATTTATAAATTTTTAATTCTATTTATACAGTCATACACACATTTTACAGGACATTTTTTTTTTTAAATATGTGAACCATGTTAAATAACAGTTAAAGTTTAAACAAGTTTTTAAATATTTAACGTCGTATATTATCAATGAAAGACAGAAAAATTGATTTCACTTTGTATTTCTTAGCAAAGACGGTTTCTTGTGCACGCAGTATAAATAAAATTTTTTTTATGTATTTAATCTGTAAAATAAAGGCTGCCCTAATCTAGTTTAACGTAGAATAAAATCACTAAGAATTAAGTGGGTGGGGCTTATTTTTGCACTACCATGGAAACTCTATATTCAAAGAAATGGAACTTGAAAATATTTTTTCTAAAAATTAATTACAAAGTTTATCCATCGAATTTGGTTAATTTCGACGTAGGTGATAACTAGATATTTTAGCTATATTTAGTGCAGTATAAAAGTGCCGAGTTGTCTAGGTGGTATTATAAGGCTTGCCTGATACGTTAATTCATGGGTAAAAAATAGATGCTTCTCAGTATGTGATAAAAATTAAGATTTATCGCTTCAAGTGTTCAAATATTTTATTAGTACTGCTGAATGAAAAAGTTTTTATGCTTGTTAATTTTGTTGAACTTTAATTTGAGATTTTTAAGTAGTGTTTCAATATAATTGCGAATTGCGAACCAAATTTTTATTTTTTCAATATAAAAATCAATATAAAAATTTATATTTAGGTTGGATTTGAACGTGCACATCAAGTCGTAATCCATGATGTATAATACCATATTATAGTCGTCTAGACAAAGTATAAATGAATCTACTGATAGAATCGTTATTGCTAGTCAGTCTATGAGATAGAAAGAGCCATGTAATCTGCCTTATTTTTGTCATGTGAGCACTGAGCGAAGCGATTCAATCGATAAATTTTACATTTTGTCTACGAGGGCTGAATAATTTTCGTCGAGCCATGTATGTAAGAAATAATCTTACATCTTTCAAACAAACCATGCCGTTGATGTGTACCTAATATTATATAGTTGCCAATCTTTTATACAAAAGTAGATATATATATTTTCTTTTTATGTTTAATATTTATGTTCATAAAACTTTTTCATCCAAAAGTTACAGTAATCTAGACACATAACTTATTTAGCTTTATAACAATTTAAAAAATTACTATAAATGTATTTTTCTAATCTGGCAACTTCTAGGTAAATAAAACAGCTTGTTAGTGTATTTTTCGTTACACTTTGTATAAAAATAATAATTATAATGTATTGTTGATAATCTTAAAGAATATTTCTCTGTTTTTGGTTTTTACAATTATAAATCTGATATTTATGATGTTAATATCTTTGTCTCTTGATATTCCACGTATATATTAATGTTAGGGTAATTTATTGAATACAGGCAGACATCATTAGCATCCTTTTAAGTTAAAAAAAAATTATTATTCTCCAAAGAAAAATTAAAAAACAACTTTCTTTACTAATACGGCGCGTTCAATTTCAATTTCATCGTGTATAGTAGGCATGGGTAATATAGATACTGATCTGATATCTATATATCGTGTTCTTCTGGACAATGATGGTGAAAAAATATCATTACCCATATTGGTTGGATATCAATTTTCGAATATGTCTGTTATACAATATTATTTTTTGGATAACAAATTTTTAACATATTCGTTATTGGACCAGTGTATAGATATTGCTATATGTTATCCACCCCCTAGTGTATAGGTACTTCCGTACCGTCCCAGATCTCGTCGCTGAATGATACTCCTAAGAGGTTGTCATTTCAGAAAATTACATGTACCAAACAGTTTATAGTCCAAATGTATGCCGTCGATCTATTGAATAGTATATTGAAATGTATAAATAATAACATTATTATCTATAATAGTTCACTACACAAAGTATCATGCCTCCGCTTACACGTAAAACTATTTATACAAAAGTATGTTATAGTATATTAAATGGGCGTTTTTTGTGTATATTTTCCTAATTATGTAATTGAATGGAATATATTTTTGAAATATTAGTTACAATCGAGTATACTGTAGCTAGGGTAAATGAGAGTATATTAGTTTGTAGTGAGCAGCCCGCCAATATATATTCTTGTAATGTCATAACATTATGTTAATGTTATAGATTTTAGCATCGACAGATGTAGCGTAGTTTTGTTCATTGTGCATACATTGTTGACAGACATTACAAGGAAACATATTTTTGACATCGAAATTTTGAATTTGAGCAGAAAAAGCCCTGGTTAACATGGCTATTAAAAAAAAGATTGTATATAAAGCTATACAATTGTGAATGATCTATTAATTTCATTGGTTACGTGTTCAGAAACCCTTATATATACAATAAACATTGCGATCTGGCGACGTTTCTGATTCATAGTATTGTTATTTAAAAAAGAAAAAATATTTGTTGACAAAATAAAGATAACAGTATAATTGTAATAGTTTGTATTACTAGAAAGGCAAATCAGATTGTGTCGGGAATTTTTACGGCGCCCCGAAATAATTTCTTTATAGAATATTATTGTAAAATTATAACAACAGTCATGGTAACATCATATACAGGTAGGTTATAATCTTAGGTTATACTATACGAAATTATAATATTTGCATAATAGCCGAACTGCTAAGAAAATTATAAAAATGAAAGTTATACTGAAGGGCTTCTTAAGGGATTCTTTTTCTATACGTAAAAAGTTGTATTAGTCAGGTTTTATATATTTCTTAGTCTGTAACAATTCTATGGATTGGAGTTAGCCATGAATCAGATAATTGTAAGGAGGATACTTACGTGTGTGAGAGAGATAGATGTACTTATCTACGCTACAGATAGAGCACTTGAAAAAAATCATAGTAATTAATATTTGGCGGTCTGCTTGGTCCTCTAGTTGTACTGAGCACAAATTTGGTGTTGTTTGTTGTTAACATTAATGGGGCAACAAAATAACAGTAATAACAAAACATTCCTAGCGCATTTCCAATGTCGTGTATTAAGATCACCTAAATCATTTAAAATTGTTTTATTTTAATACTTTATCAATTGTTTTATAATTTGTATTTTTTTTAGAAAGTTAATCATGAGAATTTATATTTGGCAAAGTTACATCACATAATGAAAAATTTATCAAGATTTTTAAATATTTAATGAAAAAGCTATTTTTGGAAATGGGAGTGAACGTTAGGTATTGAATTTAATTTAGAATGATGAGTAATTGAGCATTTACAATAAACCCTATTATTAGATCTTCCATTCAAAAGTCTGATCTGATCTGAATTCACAGTGTGAAAGAAAAAATTGGTGCTCACTAACTTTTTCAGCATCATCACAAGGTAATCTCATTGCTAGGTATTGGTTTCCCAATAAAAGGATACTAACCTACTACCACACTAGTCAGATGATTTAGTATAAGTTTTTGTTTTGATTTTTCTTTATCATACTTTATTGTGTTTTGTTCGCTGAGATGTCTGATATATGAGGTATGATACAATATTTTTGGGATAAGTCTCTACTTAATAGAATAAAAAAATGTTTCTCTCCATGATGTTTTCTTATTTATAACTTATTGACGTTGCCAATGATTCTCATGATGTATGACGATAATATTGTTTGGTCTCATTTTTTAGATTTTTTTTTGTTGTTTTTATAACAATTATCTAGTTTATAGATATATCTATATTTAAACCAAATTGCTATGGCTGGTTCCACTGAGTATAATAGCTTTAGCAGCGAATACTTTGTATTGATTTATGCCATTATTTATTAATAAATGCTAAAATATGTAACTGTATTTTTTATTTCGGTACATGTATGTTTTTACCTTTATCTCGGCATTGTTCGTGTGAATCGAGTTGTACATAAGAATCCTCTGAATTATTATTATGGGCCATCTAACCTACCTAAAACATAAGAACAAATCTATTTATGTTCTAAGTACTATATGAGTCCGTAGTAGATACAATACAGAAGGAATTGTACATCTGTTCACTTAAGATCGAAGGTACCAAGAAGCTTGGCTAGCAGTGCGTGTAATAGCTTATCTAGCTAACAAGGAGGAAGGGCTTATCGTCGATCGAAACGACACCTCTGACCTTTGCATTTCCAAAATCGCTCCGTGCATGTCCATTGTTAACGCGGCCTTGTGGTGGCGCGGCCATTGTTCACGGAGCGATTCCTCAATTTTCGCGTTTACATGAAATTTCACCTTGGATGATTTACAATTAAGAGGGGTTTTTATCTTGTTTATTATCTGTGTAGTAGGTAGAGTTTGTGTTAAGTAACAACAGCGCGGTACAGTGGTAACATTGGTTGCATAATTTACAACTAACTTCAACGTTAAGGTTTCACGTAACACCAAATATTCATTTTTAGATCGCTAGTAGCAAAATAATGTACAATTAATGGTAATATATTAATTATTATTAATTAATTTACGGTTATTACCCTTGTACATTCTACAGTTTTCTTTCAGCTTATGTATTCCGAATAAATTCTGTACAATAAAGATTTTACAATACAATACACTTACATAACAACAAATCATTAATAAGTAATTAGCATTTGTGGCACAGAGTGGGCAGATTGCTTTCCGTAAAAGAGATCTACCAGAGGGAGACTTTTTACAGGGTACAGAGGAATAATACCTGAATGTTCAGAAATGGCAACGCATCGGGGGTATCACGGGCGAAACAGTATACTCTGTTATGTCCATGGTACTGGCAATGTCTATAGGCGACGGTTACCACGGTTCCATCAGCTTGTTTGTTATTCTAAGTGGCATAAAAAAAGATCTCGGCTTCAAATCCCAGTCGGGCCAATTTAAGAAAAATATTTTTCGGAATTGACTCTGATGTGGATGTTTTGAGTTGTACTCCCAGATGTTCGTTGCCTGTTTTCCTGTTTTATACAGAATATCCTAGTACGAGAACCAGGTAATTAGCGTGATTTTTTGCCATTTATTATATTTTATATTTATTAAAATTCTTATGGGCAGTAGCATTCCTCTTAAAACATCCAAAACATTAAAAATCTAAAATGTTGCCAACCCATCCGCTAAGAATGTCAAGTACTAGTAAAACCCCTTATGATGGATAGGGGAGATCTATGTTAAGCAGCGGACAGATAATGGCTGATATGACGACGATGATAATTAAAAAAAAAATCCCGCTATTAGATACCTCAGGAATCGTCAAGAATCTTCAAACAATTTGGATCTATGAGGTGAGATAATATAGTATTAAACTCTATTGGAACGAGCTGTACATGTTTTAAAATTTTCAGAAATTTTTATAGTCGAAAATTCTAAATTTCTGTTGAATTTGTCACCTGATTTGATCGTCCAACTGAGACTAGGACTTTATCTTTACATATTATCTCTTACTTGGTGCCTAGCCAGCATAAGTTAATAGCGCACGCGTCATTATCAATCCATTCTTAACCATTAGAAAACGTATATAATCTTTCATGCTTATTATACTTCTTGGACAGGAAGTAATATTGCAAGTAATAGTTAGATGCCTATTTTCTATGGGTGTGTTACAAATATTGCACGGTGGCCAGACCACTTGCGGCGTGGCAAAAGCAATAGAGGTAATCAAATAGATGTGAATGACCCCTGATTCGCGCCACGCGACAGGTGGTCAGCCCTCTACAATTTTAGGGATATCGTACACGAATATCGATGACAAATAAGTTCCTCACAATTACTTGGTCCTCAATAGGTGTTGAATTTGGAGAAGGCGAGTTGGGTAATTGCCCATATCGGCAGAAATGAGAGGTGGTAAACAATTTATAGATAGATAGATAGATAGATAGATACTCTTTATTGTTTCCTCCAAAAGATTACAATAGTAAACTTATTATAAATATAAATAATTACAAGAAATAATCACAATGAGAAAACAATGGGCGACCTTATCGCTAAGAGCGATCTCTTCCAGGCAACCTTTGGATTATAATTAGGGTGTGTGTTTTTTTAAAAAAAAAAGGATTCGGCAAAACCAGTTATTTTGATTTAAAAACTAAACTACTAACTTGATGTTGATGAAACTTCTATGGGATTAATCTGTAATTATATTCTTACGGATAAAAGAAACATTTTCCAAATTGGTTTGTAATCGATGGAGTTTTGAGGCAACAAATATAAGAAATGCAACTGAATTGAAAACCTCTTTCTGAAGTCGATTGAAAAGCATGTCAGATGTCACTCCTTTTTTAAAAGATTTTGTCTGTCGTCATTATTTATAAGATGTCCTTATCAAGGGTAGCAAATATTATAATTATTTACATAGCGTGGCGAAATAGTTAAATTGCGTTCTGGTCTTCAAGATACAAAACCGTATTCAGTGTTTTGAGAATCCAGAGAACGAATAGGAATATGTCAGCACAACTCTAAACACCCAACCTCTCCATTTAACAAACAATTTGCGAGCCTTTCTGGATCATTTGTGCTAATTGACAAAAATAATGGTATTACGTAGCATGATTGCTCATTAACTGCTAGATAGATTAAATTGCATTTATTTAGCAGTTAGGATGAGTTGCACTCAAGTATCAATAGATGGATAGTAATAATAAAACGTAATCAAAAGGTCAAGTATCCCAATAGGGAAAGTTTATTTCCTATATTAGCTCGGACAGGATTTAAACTAAGAACACAATTTACATGAATAGACGTGCCAACAGTTCACCACGTTTGTATTAATATCTTAAATTTAGATACGCACTAACACAGTTACCAATATAAACACCACATTGCTGTGTACCGAAATTAGAAATTAATAGACAATGAGTTTATGAAGTAAATGGCCTGTTTTGTACCTATTGCTTTTTTGCATTTAGGTTACCCTACTTATCTCCAATAGGAGAGATCTAGGACAGTTGAAAAGTTTTTTTACATTTGTAGCAATAACTTTTCACTTTAATATATTTTAAATGAAAATTTAATCATTAGAAATTTTAATTATATATTAATTAGTTTTAATTATTAATTAAAAACATCAAAATTATTACAACATCCATGATATCACTATAATTAAAAATTATGTAGGTACTACAAAAATACCGGCTTCAATTGTGTCAAAACTAATTATTTTGATCTAAAAATAAAAATACTGAATCGATTGTGATAAAATGACCAATCTGTAAGTATATATTTCTACATAAAAAAAGAATGTTCCAAATTGGTTTAGTACTAATTGAGTTATGAGGGAACAAACATAAAGAAAAATAGAATCGAATTGAGAATCTCTTTCTATTTGAAGTCGGTTGAAAATACAGCGTGCGGTGTGCCTTATGTGTTTTACTACAATTGATTCCCTACGAGTTTTTTCTTCGCAATTACCTTTCAATTTTCCACCGTATCAGAGATGGTAGACTAATATGAATTATTATTTGTTTAGGTATCTATCTGTTATTAGTGTAACTAGATTGTAAATAAGTAGTTATCTATGTTTAATACACATTTCATTACGGGAATGCCTTCCCGCCTTTGAAAATCATGTAAAAATATTTATTTCGTTACGATAAATTATGGCTGGTCTTTATTTTTGCATACTTTATACCTACTAGTTTCGTCTAATCTCCCGGATTTCGGAGTTCTCTAAAACTATTACCGAGATTATTTCTTATATGGTATTTATTTATTTTCTTTCTCAGCTTGAATATGAGGACATATTTATATGGATATGCAAATAAAAACAAAATTTGAAACTGTTTGTTTTGCTGTTTCTTTTTGATTGCTGTAAAAAAAAAATGGTCGCTTGACTAGTTTTCAATTTCATTGTGGTCGTTGTCCGTTCGATGGTGGTTTGCATCTGTCACGTTAGTATCGAAAATTGAAATGGAAATTCTATGCCATAGAAAGTGGGTAGTGGTTGGTGTTGTAATTGGTTTCTATTATTCTTAATACTTTCTTACACATACTTTTATACAATTTGTAATAGTAAACAAGCTGACGATCCTCCTGAGTGCGAACGGAAAGTGGTTTTTAACTATGGGTCGCCCATAGACATGAACAGCTTCATGGAGATATTATAAAATGCTGTAACGCCTCATGTTATCTATTATTTAAATGATTTATATTTTATGTTTTTAAACGTTTTTTATTATAATTTAGAAATATTGAAATATTTTTATACTATCGAGACTTAACGCGATGAAAAATTTTCTACGAAAATAGTACCTAGACACCAGTTTTTTTTTGCCGACATTTCGACGTATATTACACTACGTGAATTGTCCTGTCATAAAAATACAGGTATTACCTACATACCTATACTATTTATCTGCAAGTTTTCATTGCGTTAAGTCCCGAAAGTGTATTCAAAACATGTGTCAACAACGAGAAAATTATAATTAACTATTGAGACAAATTTGTTAGTGAATATATTGAATTGAAATAAAAATTAACTTAAGTTTATCTAATTACAGTTTAAGTACCTGCTTTGTTATTATGTATATCTATTATAATATGCATAAACATAATGCAAGGTAAGTAGTGCCGGCCTTCTCACGGTCGAGGCGACAAAGAGTTAATGTATAGAATCGTATGATTTACCGCTACACCGGTAACTTTGCCGTGGAAATATGAATTAGTTGAGTTCACACTGTCGAAATCACGCACGAAACCTGGGTCGGCGACGCTGACATAGGATCAAGATTGAAGATATGATTTGTACCTACTTAGCTTTTTTTTTCATTAAATTGCTGACTGCAAATATATTTGTCCCTTTTTTCGCTTATTAGGATACATAGTATCCTGTCTCTCAAATTGGAGTTAACACACGTTTACTGGGGAGAGGGAAGGGATTATTAGTAATGGGGATGTTAGTTCTTATTGTATGCAATATACCCAAACAAGTCGACTTTCACAAGGTCCCCTTTCTAAACTATCATGGTAAATTCACTATAAATTAACCATGATAGGCTGACTGACCTGCCTTTATCCTCATCTTTTCATCCTTCACTGGTACTCCGCTATTCTATACCGTTAGCGTAGGCGGACACATCAGTCCATCTTCATCCATTAAAAAAACACACGTCTGAAAGATTTTATTAAAATAGATACGTTTCCTCGTAACATGGAGTTTTTATAATACTCGCATTTCAGTAATAGTGCTTTATATGTCAAAATTATATATTCTCTTCTACACAACTATTTGATAGAAGTGTTCATTGAAGTGCCAACCAAGTATACAGCCTGCCTGATGGTTATAAAATTTCCGGTCAATATAACTTATTCCAAATAATACATATGCAACGTTAGACGCATCAGTAATTTTAAAAAAGAAAATATAAATCGTCAGCTCGGGTCATTACAGCAAACCAACAAATATTTTTCACATTAGGTGGTTTTCAAATAAAAGCTTTTGTGCTGAATTCAATAGAACTTATGAAGAGAGTAACGGTTTATCTAGCTCTCTACCACTGCCACTGTACCACTAATTTGTGTTAGAGATGGATAATTTTGTTTTAATATTTTGAATATTTTAGGGGTGTCAAACCTGCAGGTAAATAGATATTGTATTATTGTACATTAACTATTACTTATACTGCAATTATATATAATTATATAATAACACGCAGCACATCAACAAAAAATAATAAATTATCATTTATTTCAGTGTTAATAAATAAAATGGAAGATAAACTACTTAACAATGATGAAAATAAGATATTAAAAATAAGTATTCGGTGAGGTAAATTTTTGATCAAGAGTCTGACTTCTAATTGATAAAAATTATGACGGAACAATGGACATGAAAATGTTATGATACCCTATAAAAGTAAAGTAAAAAGTAAATAGGTTTTTGTCAATTTATGGCCGTTATATGTACTTAATGACGTCATGTAGACTGAATGCAATTAATGAAACCTCATTCATAAAATTCATCAAGATATTTAGGTTACAAACTACTTTTATTTATTAAGTACTGCATAAAATTTTCCTATGAATACAAAGTATAACGTCTATAAATCATTAAATTGATATTTTGACCTATAATTATATGGTACTTATTATTCTATTACCACGCATTATTGATGTTGTAATGAATTAAAAAAATTGGACCGTAAAAGGCGCGAAAGTAATTGGGAGTAGCGCTTAGCACGATGGCGACCTTACGCCTTTAGTACGTGCACTGTCACTGTTAGACGTCGTTGACTACAAACTTGAACTTGTAAAATAATATTAAAAATATTCTATTATCATAATTACTACCTATTTAGACACATATTCCGTGTGATGTTCTAATAAAAATACAATATATTACAAGTAATTTTTAGAAACAAAATTATTACTTACCCAGAGCCATCTAATCTTAAACTATGCACAGCTTGTATAAATATTAATCGCGTACTACGCGGTTTCAGAGATGTTTCGTCCCACGAACACTCAGGTTGTGGAATGAGCTTCCTGCCGAGGTTTTCCCAAGAGACTACAGCATGGGGTTCTTCAAAAGGGGGGGGGGGGGGGTAAAGAGGTTTCTTCAGGGTCGGCAACGCACGCGTAATACATCTAGTATTGCAGGTGTTCATAGGCTACGGTAACCACTTGCCATCAGGTGGGCCGTATGCTTGTTTGCCACCTCAGTGGTATAAAAAAAAATGTATATAATTTTTTTAGTTCATAGGCCAGTACAGATGTACTCATGAATCCTAATATTTGGATTGTACTGTAACCTGCGCTCATTAGAAAACAAGGCGGTACATGTATTAAACTGCTATACCACCAATGTTGTCAATTTATTTTTATAATATAGGGAGTAAATGTGTATGCGGTTCACCTGGTGGTAAGTGATAACTGTCGTATAATATATTGCCCTTATCCTTTTTAATCCTTGAGATAAATGTCGTAAGAATCGATTGTGGGAATACTCCAGAGCAAGAAAAGATAAACTAAGAATATTATACTAAGCAGTTTGACGAGATTGGAAATGGTAAGTTATTCTTTCTACTTTTAAGAATAGAGACCTGGCCATAACGGTGGGATGTTAATGTGCTAATATGGCAAGCGGCCATAGTTGCCTATGGGACATACATATTACACAGCCAGCTAGATTATCGACTTAGAGAATGTTACTGCCTGCCAAGTTTCTAGATTAAGTCTAGGCCATAATTTTTTTATCATAAAACATTAATATAAATAGTAGGTATGGGGGTCTATGCATTATACCATTTTAGTCTGCCAGAGTTTTATTAAAGACCTTGGTAGATACTACGTAATGGATCTGGTACAGTATAATAATATCTGTGGTATTACGTAGGCCGGAAGTTTTATACGAGACTGCTACCTCTAAGTAAATAGCAGACTCTTACGAATCATTACACAAATTTTCAAATCCGCTTACAATTATCATACCGTTCATCACCGTTGGGAATCATCAGTCTCACACCTTAACTTAAATGGTCGCGTACAGTGCGGTTTCAAAGGGGACTTTCTCTCTGTACCGATAACAAAATGTTTCTATTGTAACCACAAAAAGTCACAATAATGATATTGCAATTAGTTTATCTGTACTCTATTTGGCGCTGTCTGTACTCGAAACATAGACGTAGTACTTACTGACCTAAGAACAAGGTATTACATAGAAGGAATAATAAAATGTAAATCATATGGTTGCCTCCTCTCTTCTTATGCAAATATAATTAGTAAAAAGAGGACGAAAGATACACCATCACCATAATAAGAATTTATTTTATTCATAAATCAGCTTCGAGTTTATATTGTATAAATTAATGTACTACTTTTCCATCTCACTCTTTATATTAAAATCAAGTTCGAATAGGTAGGTACTATAGATTAAGGATAGTACCTACGGTGTAGGTATTTGTGTTCATTTTTAATAATAAGAACTAAAAAGATTGTATTTATTTTTCATAACGTAAACTCCCATAATATAAAAAAAGAAAATTGTAATTATAAAAAAAAATTATGAAGTAAAAAAAATGTAATTTAAATATGTCAATTTAAAATCGCGCGTAACGATTTGTCCGTACGTCATTTTTAATATATGTTAATATTCTTCTTATATTTATGTAATTTTCAAAATTTTATGTAATGAAATTTAGTTGTTCTTCTTAAGTAAATTTTTCTCTAGTTTAGCACTAACTACTCCAGATCTATTTATTCCAAACAACATAACTAAGGTGTGTATGTCTCACTTCTTTAAAGTAATTGTATTTTAAAGTGTATTCATATAGAATTTATTATTAAAAAAGGTATTTTCCTTACAATAATACATTGTTGTTGCTGATAGATGATAGAGTCGTAGGACGTTAATTGAAGGGGTTAAAGGCACATTTAATTTTTATGTCATCATTATTTGTGATACAATATTATCTAAATTATAATGTTTGTGATAGGCAGAAATTTTAAAACTCAATTAACCTTGTCTTTCCGCCATTATGCATTTTTTTGGTGGAGCCACTTTTGCAGAGCTTTGCTGTCCTATTATATTAATTTATAATGTTGTTTATAGGTAACCATTGGCAAATTCCCATTATAAATCGAATGGCCAGTGAGCACGGCGCGTTAAATGTTAGGGTCGATTCCGGTCAGATCTGTGAAGCAGATAACTGGCGGCGTCACTGCGGGTGCATTAAGACCAGCGATAAGCTGAAGGAAATACTGAAGTGCTTCCCTTCGCCGCCACCACCCTCGCCGGCTAATGTCTCCCAACAATATGCTAAAGCCGTATAGTATTTCATTCTGTTACTTGTAACGTCGTTTATGTGTAATTTACAGTCCAGTAGACTATTTTTACCCGCTACTTCATTTGTTTGATCGGGATGAGATTACTGACTTTGATAAAAATAGCCTATATCCATTTGTTATAGTATGTGCATATCAAATTTCATAATGATTTCTGTTAAAACGCTATAAGGAATCACACAAACTCACATTCACATCTATATTATTAGTAAGGCTTTTTCTAATAGAAGTTGTCCTGGTCCTATACCTAAACATACAAAGGTTTTTTTAAGTAACGTAGACATCCTAAGAGCTCGGACTCTTTCTCGAGATTGACACGGTGAATTATGATCAAGAGGATCGAGGGGTTTCACAGTTACCAATCCGTCTGTCCAGCGTGGAAATTGTTGGCAAAACCTCTTTTTAAGGGAGAGACCTGTATTCAACAATGAATAATTAACGGCTGATATGATGAATGTCTAGTATAGTATATAATAGTAATAAATATAGCATATAGCATATATCATATATGTGTAAGTATATTTGTTATTCATATATATTTATTCGTTTATATATGTAAATTTAGTATGTATATCCATTATTAGTAGTACCGCATTAGAGTATTCTGACACTTCCCTATGGTTGACTGGGAGAGAATGCTTTTAGCATTAAGTCCGCCATGTACACATATTTGTACTAATGAATAAATAAATAAATAAATAAATAATTCCCTCCTCTCAGTGGTTCAAACGTAAACATAGTTGTATACCTACTTCGTTATAAATAAATCAATCATTACTATAGATGTATCCTTCCGTCATTTTCATTCTAACTACAAGATATTTATTTTATATTTTAGTTCGACAATACATGTATCTCCGCTTATTGTATCCATCAGTCGGTACCACCACTGCAATATGACACTAACACACTTGCATCTAAAAAAAGCAAGTACTACAGTGAACTTCCTGAAAAAGTAAGTATTTACTTATGTAACTAAATCTATCACTTATTTGCGTACACAGTACACGTGTATGTGTTTTTAAACGAAAATAATGTGTTTTAATAATAGTATTTTCTACAACATTAGGGTTTTATTTGTAAACTACAATTTCCAAAAGAAAGAAGTTTTTAAATTGAATTATGTTAATTATTGAGATACGATAGGTATCTTTGTTCGATTGGGATTTATATTTTTTGTTATTTAAAAAAAATATATATGTCATGTTTTCATAAAATGTGTAAAAATTTAAGTCAGTTATTTTTGTAAATATGTTATGTGAAATTATCTAATACATAAATTACTCAGATATTAAATTACTTTCCATAATTTGTCCAACTGTAAAAGTGGGTCATGCTGTGATTATTACATGCATTATGGCTTCACATATTTTGTTCACAATACTATGGTTCATTCATTTGCCAAAACCACCATGATCTTTATCATAAATAGAAAAGGCTATAGAGGTAATATGTGTCGTGGTTCTTTTTAATGTGAAATCAACCGTTATAGTTCAATCAGTGTTAAGGTCTGCGCAGACGATGGACATGGCCGCGGACTTAATTCCCCTTTGTGTAAATTCTACACGCGTATATGGTTTTTTATGATACTAAGAATAACAAGTCAGCTTACGGCCCACCTGATGGAAAGTAGTAACCGTACATATATACAAATGAAAAGCACACTGGATATAACTTTATACACTGTAGCGTCCACGTCGTAAGTTGCCATTCCCGAGGAATAGTGTTTCACAGTGTCCTGTAATTTTACTGCTCTACTGTTTTTTTATTTATTACTAGAGAAACCCTATTTATAGGGTGTACTAATTTTGTTAGATGAGAATTTATTACACATACGAGAACTGTTATTTCTTAAATTATTATTATTGGTATATCGATTGAATGTTCTTCAAACCGAAACAGTTATGTAAGGATAGCTGCTTTACAGCAAATACATGAGCGGGACAAAGGTGCCAATATAGACGACTGTGTTTAAAGATTTCTCTGATAATGAGTGTTGTAGTTTCTATTTTTAGGGGTTTTAAATATTTATTATGTGAGTACAAACCTATTGATATAATAAATGGGAAAGTTTATAATGATACATGGCTGGATGGATAGATAGATGTCTAACACGATTTCACGCAAAAACTATGGAAGGGATTTAAATGAAATTTGACACACGAGTAGGTTATATCCTAACTCAGCATATAGGAGACTTTACGTACTTATTCACGCGGCCAGTGCTACGGGATACAGCTAGTAAAATATAATAATAATATTATCTTCGGGATGTAAATCCGATTTAAATTTATTTGAATGATTGTATTGGACTTGAAATTGTAAAAAGACAAAATAAATGAAATAGCCGTGTAGGTCCCAGCATAGAATAGGCCACCCCTACCTTTCCCGCGGGTGTTGTAATAGGCGACTAAGGGAACTTAATAGTCGAGGGACGGACAGTAGCGTCCCCCTTAAAACATCATATAAAGCTAAACTGTGGTTGTCAACCCGTTTGCCATGGGGAAGGTTTACTATGTTCAGCAGTTAACGACTGACACAACAAAGATAAATGAATGGACTAAATGTCAATCGTGTGCACAGGCCATTAAAGATGCGTTGTTGTGGTGACGAAATGGCACGAATTACTTTACTGGTATAATTTGTGTCACTTACTACTTATCGTTCTATCTACTATTAAATTACTTAAAAAATTATGTTTTTACTTCGCCTCTATTTTTTATTTCTATATTATGCAATATCTTCGCCAATTCTAAACTGATATTGATAAATCTTTTTGTAATTACTAGTATTAATCTCTATTTTGATCTTGTTTTAATTTTTCCAATAATTAAGTAATGTGTAGGTATGTATGTTTTATATTTGCATAGATTGTAGTAGATGTACGTTCAATATTGTGTGTATGTATGATTGAATTGGTTTTTGTTGTGTCAACTGAATTAAATGGGTTTGAGTCTGGGATGTTCTTATAAGTAGTTTCTAATGTTAGTTCCGCCGTATGATCCCGGCATAGAATGGGCCATCCTTTCCTTTCTCGTAGGTGTCATAAAAGGCCACTAAGAAAACTTATTTGTTGAGGGATAAACAGCAGCGTCTCGCTGAAATAATCACCAAAACCGCAACTATTGGCAAAGCGCCCCCTATATGGCGGGACTTATGTTCAGCAGGGGACAGTTAACGGCTGATATGATGATGACGATGATGAATGTTAAATGTCTGTTTTTCATATCTATTTCTCAAACTTCGAAGATACATATTTATTGTTAAATTTTTATATTCGCTGAAGCTAATCTTTGGCACTTAAAGGTTTTCTACAAAAAAGTTTTTTAATGATAATGAAATGGTAACCCCGCTTGCGCTATCGATATACGTTGGCGGGGCACCAGTGAGAGATGATAATGAAAATAAGTCAGTCTATCGTGACGAGTTTACTAGGAATAATCACGATAGTTTCAATGAGCAATCGAGTGGAGGTAGATCTGACAGAGTGCATTGTTAGCAATGCGACTGTTAGACTCCATTGCTAATAATCCATTTTCATCCCTATAAAAGAGTTATTCTTGCTGGTCACACAATGGTAGAGACAGGGGTCAAAAATATTCATTCTTTCCTGTCAGGGGGGGAACATTGGTAGGGGCAAATGGATTTGGCCAAATAATATTGGCAAAGGCTATGCGCACAATCTTCAGTTAATCTGTATGTTAACAACGGTTTAGTGAAACATCGTGACACGGGGTGTGCTCGGGTCGCGCGCCCTCTCTATCGGTCATCGCGCTCCTCTTCCGCGATCGCTTGTCGTTACTGAGAAATGTTTCCTTTTGTCTTGTTGCCGACGAACTGCTTTTACTATAACTTGTCCTTCGTTTTTCCCTCCAGTTTTATCAGAAAGTTTGAATCTAAACTTAATCTTGCAATAAATAATTATATGCAGTTATTAAACTCGATATAAGGTCTCTGTAAATTACTTTCAATACATTAGTGTGAATGGGCTGTGTCACTTACTGTCAATTGAACCACATGCTCGTTTGCGGTTCATTCACATATAAAAATAATCTGGCGTGATCATTTATTGACATCGTCAAGATCTTTATTAATCAAGTCGATAGGATTTAAATATAGTTCAAGTTGTTAGAATATAATATTGAAAGAAGTGTAGTTACGCAACAGTACAGGCGAGGCGAACGATTTTCATTTATTAACTCTTTATTGTTTCTTTTAAAGAATAATACAGATTATAAAGAATAACAATATATCTATAAATAATTATTACAAAAACTGAATCACATAAAAGTAAGATAAAGAGAGTCTTATCGCTAAATAACTATCTCTTCCAGGCAATTTTAGGATGGCGAGGTATAAACAAAATTGTGTCTGGTCAAGGCGTAACATATAACGTTACATGTGACGTGTTTTTTCTAAGTATTTATTTATGTATGCAGGTATATAACTAGTCTATGGATTCTAAACTGATAACGTCGTAATAATTATGTTACGATGTCTAGAATCTGAGGAATAATAGTGCAAAGCAGCTGATATCGTTTGAGCGTAGGTAGAACGATGCGGTAATGGACGCTCGTGACGACCGATACGATCGGGCGGTCGTGACGAGCTCGCGCCCTTCCTACTGACTGCAACTGTAATTAATATAAAATCAGGACATTGTCACTAGTATTATTATGATATTTGTAAACTAGTTGATATTAATAAGCTAACGGTCCACTTAATAGACAGTCGAGGTCGTAAGGCTATCGACATGAACAGCATCACAAAGTACATTGTGACACCCATGGTACCACTCATGGTACAAGCACATGGTGTGTAGACATTTTAAGGACTGTTATGCGTCCGTATCCTGTATTTTCGATTATATATTATTCTTAAAATCGAAACAGTGATTTCACCGTGGAAATTTGAGTGGGACTGAGGTATCCAAGCAGACGACCAAATCTCCATCTGGTGGTTTCAGTTTCGGAGGCTGAGATATGTCAGTGAGAAATATAATTACAGGGTATGGGGACAAACAAAAAACGCTTTAGTTATTAGAAAAAGCAAGGTGTGTTGGGCACTATCAGCGTTACCGTATATTTTGTGAGGTCCGGTCTATAGGCGACTACTTTCCTTCATGTGGTGGGTTTACCATTTTAAGATACATAAAACTAATAAAAATTGGTACATACTAGGATCACATTAAAGTTTCTCTACAATCTAGAATATACCTAATATTTATGGCAGAACGAAGGTCGTCTAAATACTCTTGACATTATAGGGCGCCACCTTCTTGTGCGTAATAGTAGGACAGTAAAAGTCATACCTGTACTTCTTGGAATAGAACACATTACACTGTGCATTACACATACTCCCAATCGTACTTAATTACTGTACCTACCTGGTTTACTAAATAATGTGAGATAATACCCAATAGAAAGTGTGTAAATTGTTATGTGTCACCATATGGCAGTGTTTTAATTATTATTGTAATAAATACGTGAATTGGGTTACTCATACCATCGTTGTGACTCCTTTAGCTATTATATCAAGTGTCGTTGAAGTGAATGTTTATTAACTACCTATATATGTAACGGCATAGAACTGGCCGCTCCCTCCTGCTTCGAGGGTGTCGTAAGAGGTAACTAAGGGAATTTAACCGTCACGGGATAGGTATCAGAATACCTTTTAAAACATCATCAAAGCCTAACTACAGTTGCCAATCCACCTGCCAAGTGTGACAACTATTGACAAAATCTCCTTAATGTCCAGTTAACGGCTGATATAATAATATATATGTATATATGTACACCATTACTAACAACCTCTCCGCTCAACGACTCGGATTTGGATCACCTACTTAATCTTTTTTAATAAGTCCAGCAATGTTCTAACGAACGGTGCTCCTAATAGTATGACACGTTCTGAGTCCACCCCAATCTAGATTTTATTGTTTACGCAACCGCACAGCCTACGTTCAGGGAAATAGTTTACATTGCTTCGTGTCGGAAAAATCCTTGTAAATAACAATTTCTGCCTTCTAAATATTTACCGTAACATCTGACTATAACAAGGGGCTAATGTTTAAAATTACTTTTGTCCAAATAAATATGTATTTTTTTTTTTAAATGAAGACATGAATTTAATAATTTTTATTTGTTATCTAGGAACCCTTTAATAATAAAACAGGTCCCTCAATTGATCACGATTTCACCTCATGAAAAGCGATGATATGATGATACTTTTAGGATATCGCTTATAATATATCTATACAAAACAATTAAAATCGAATTTGAGAAAAGACAAATTTTGGCTGAAGAGCTGATTGAAAAAATCTTTCAATTAAGTTCATTCGTAATTTTTTTATCACTTACCTAATAATCAATGGAATATGATTTGCATATATTTATATTATTTCCATCAAATAACTATTCATAATTTTTACTATAGATCGATCTGTAATATTACGTTTTTAAAATTGGTACAGTGTACTTTTAACGAAAATGGAATTTTGATATATAGATTATATTTATTTATTTATTTATTCTTTATTGCACAGTAAAATTTTGTACAAATGGCGAGCTTAATGCCATATGGCATTCTCTACCAGCTAACCATTGTAAACCATAATAAACACGATTCTAGGAAAGATGTTTATATTAAAATGTAGTTATTTAGTTAGCATAGGTATATTAAATGTAGAGATATTGAAAGATATAATTTTATTATTTACATACATATAAATTTTTTTATAAGTGTTGTAAATACCTACATAAGTGAATTATTTCCTTCCTTTTTAGTTGCGAAATGAAAATTTTCATTCCTTTGTTATCCGGTAACAATACATAAATTTGATAAAGATTTACCGGACATAATAGCGGATAGCGCGAAGGCCCTATCCACATCAGATGCATAATCACTGATATCACTATTTGTTGCAAGTGTTTCGTGTTAACATAATAAAGCCTTGCTTGTACACAAATGAGGTTACCGACACGTTAATGTTTTATTATAATTATTTAGATACTGATCTCTCTAGGTTAAGACCAAGAACAGTTTAGTGTTTAATTGTATTGCCGAATTAGTTTAGTCTAAATGTTTGTTCAAGTGGCGAATCCTCGGTCACGCTTAACATTAACGGGTTGTTGCATTTGATGAGGTTGGTTTTATTAAATTCTCGTTGGTTAGTATTAGGATAGTGACGACAGTTCAATCGGAACGGTTGACTTCGGTCTAGGGATCCCAAGATCGAATCCTTAACCTAAACCATCGATTTTCTTTTAAATAAATATGTCTATGATATAAATATGTATGTTTTTTGCTTCGTGCTGTAGGGCAGGGTAGTTGGAGGGCAAGTAAGCCTAAATGAAAAGGCATTTGTATTCAACAAAAGGTCTACTGTAAAACTACTTGGCACCTGTGGTCGTGACTCTTACATAAGTAATGGTAAAGTTAGAATTATTTTTAATCCATGTAAGGTCATGTAAATTCAAGTCCAAAAATATAAAGTATATTGCGCTTCATTTAGAATAAAATATGAAACGCAAAGTGTATGCACTTGCGGCGTTTATTTAAGCCTTCTATCTTTAATCGCATCTAAAATCTGTCCTACAGACATCCCGGGCGGTAAGCAGTAGGTCGTGGCAGATAATCGCTGAGTTGGTCCAACTGGTGCAGTTGTCAGTGACGGTAACAGCACTCGCCCTGTATTACCTTATATACTGCTACATGCAACTTGTGTACTACACATTGCGTAGTGCGCTGTATTTCCACAATGCTGATGGGTAAGAGTTTATTAATTATATATTTTTAAATACCACAGGATATTGCACAGCGCCATCTAGTCTGAAATTTATTAGAGCTCATACTATTGACACTAGTTAGAAGACCACGCCTCACCTAACTGGGAAGAGCTCTAACCCAGAGACACTGGGGTATTCGCCCCCGAAATTGAAACCGGGGCAAAGGGGTCCGCCCCGAGTCCGTCACCTTACTTTCGCAACGGGAATACAGATGACGAATGATTGATTAATTTTGATTTGTACGATATATAAACTCAAGATAATGAGTTCAAATCTGACAAGTACTAAACAGTATGCGTTCGATTGTGTGTGATTTGAGTGACAGTGATAGGCTCGCGCCCTGCCTCGTTAAATTCGATTAACTTGGCGAAGTCTGGGTATGCCCAGTATTATGTTTACCACATCAGTAACAGTCGTGAACTTTTACCAGAAGGAGAGTTTGTACAAACGTCATTTGCTTGGGTACTTCTGTCCTATTCGTGTTTCCATCGTGAAGTTGCTGTGTTTGAATGGCTGTATTTCGGTTTGAAGGGACATGACAGTGAATTTAAAGGGTACAGAGGTATATACACCTTAGTCCTCAGGAATGGCAACGCATAAGGGGTATCCTGGGCGAAACAGTAGGTATACTCTGTTATGTTCATGGTACTGTTCATGTCTATAGATGACGGTTACCACATCCCATCAGGTAGGTCGTCAGCTAATTTGCTATTCTAAGTTCCATAAAAAAATCGGTAGATCTCAATATCAAGGATTACACATCGAGAATATTTATCTTTATATTTTTTATTATTTAATTAATTTTTGATTATGTTTCGTGTTACAGGCCCATGAAGATAACTATAGGCGTGGTGACATTAACATCACTGGTAGTGGGTTTTAATTTGTTGCTACGTGTGGAAAGACTCATCGGAATATTCTAAAATATATTGTTACTACTTGTATTTAGTAGTATTTGTTCAATTCGTGGAATCAAAGTAAATAACAATTATAGAGCATTCACCTTTAATAAATAAAATTAAAAGAAATGTATAACAAAGCTTTAATGTTCTAAATTAAGGCGTGAACGAGTAAATTATTAAACTGACTGATAACAAAGCAAAACAATTTTTAATTGTTCACGTTTACGATGTGCGCTAAATAGTAGCATTTGATTAGCTTCTAATTACGATCAGGTTTTGTCTTTGTGACGAATTGAGCGGAACAGCAGCGACGAAGCTCACACCTGGACATTGTTCCCCAAATAGTTCAGTGAGCGATCAAGTTCCCCCCTCTTATGATTTGTACGGGCCCAATCATTTTTGCTGCTTTAGCTGCTTTTTGATTAAATCTAGCAACTTTTGGAGACCCGTCAGCGATGAAAAATATATGATTTGGCCATTATTACTAGCTTTTTTTGGATTAACTATAAATTAACTTTTTTTTAATATATATTTTGGGAGTAATATATTTACTTATAAATAAAGAATAATAGGTGATGAATGGAATAGAGTAAGAGGACCTTTTTTTGTTCTTTTATAATTCGTTATAATAGGTTTAACTTACAAAGATCCAAGCAAGCAATAATTTATAAAGAAGGGAGCTTCTTGAGTGGCAACCCCGTACAGGTAAGGACTTCCTTAGGATAGTAGGATTGTAATTTATGGTGAAATTGGGATGAATTCTTATGTTGATAATGACAATAAATTTTATAGCACATTTTTTGTTTGACAGTTTTAAGCCACTTCAAAAACCTATCTAGCCATTTTTTGGACACAGTTTGGCTACTTAGGTTACAGCCGAGATGGCAACAGCTGCTCAGTGCTGCGGGAAGTATTTCGCGGATGAAGTAGCACGGCGGATTCTGTACATTTGATCGTCGGCCGTCGTTCACCGCGCGCACGGCACGGCGCGACTCCGCCGCGAACTTAGCATGCGCGATTCTGTGTTCCACATTCGAAATTTGTTTTAGTGTAGCCAAGTGTAAATGACAGTTCAATATTGTGTGAACGAGTAAGTGCGTGTAAAAATGATGTTTAATGTGAGGTAAGCGGAGTATAAAATTTTTTAATTCTTGTAATTGGAATTAAATTGACATAAACATTGGTCAAAACAACTTAAAATATGTATGTGGATTGTTAATATTTTCTTTAATTCCATAAATAAAACACGTAGAGAATTATAAATATTATAAATTATAAACAATACAGTGTTATAACATTATAAACTGTCAATAAATTAATATTTTTTTTAAATTTTGTTTAAAACGAGTTCTGATATACTGAGCATGTGTGTAATCTTAAAGATGTTTTTAGGATGTTCCGCCCGCCTTAGCTTGTAAATTCTGTATTAATAAAAAATCTACTTAAAAATAAATTACATAAAATTATTTTAAATATGGGGACGTTCTTAATTCGACGATATTTTGTGAGTGGGTATATCACTTGATATATTTGCTAGTTTTGAATCGATTTTAATGAGTCTACTAATTTTAACTTTGACTCATACTAAAATACGATTGTAGTCAGTTTTTTGGAACTAATTCTTAAGTTAATCTTAACTTACAATTGCGAAAATTAATCAAAATTAATTTGATCCATTAACTGTGTTTACATTTTTGCGTAAGTGTTTATTATGTATTGGTAATAATAGTAATGTAGAAAAGAATATTTTTTTAAAACAGTTTAACCATTGTTGTAGATAAATAGATTAAAATAAAAATTACAGATTAAAACTAAACCTAAATCTCTATTTATCTAAACCAAAATTTTTAATCTATTTGGAACTTATTACATGATTATTTTAGTAGGTTTATTTAAATATATTATAATAAACAAGAACAATATACAGTTTTCGATCAGTAATTCATATTCGTAAAATTCGGCGTGCAACAGAATTATATTTGTACTAGTTCTGTGACCCCGCTACGCTTGACCGGCTTAAATAGCATCGCTTATTCGCTCCGATCGCTTCCAAATACAGCGTTTCAGCAGGTGTCCAATCCAATGGTCAATCGTTCATCGATCAGTGTTCATTGTTTAACTTTTTTACCGTAAGTTTTAATTTAAATTTGATATTTAATTAATATATTAACTAATCGGTATAATAGTCGTTTAAAAGACAAAGTGGAAACGTTTAAGTGACAAGTAGCTTCCCATTATTTCTAATGTATCCATTCTTGAAAATTAATTTGAAAATTATTGTAAATATAAAATAAAATAATAGGTTAAAAGACCTTATTGTTGAAGCGTTGGTAGCTTTTGAAGACATTTTTTTGAGAATTTGGAAAAATGAGTAGAAATATAATATTACATTATAGTGCGAGCGATAATTAAAAATAACATATACCTATAGTAGATAGGAGGAATACTCACATCCTGCTATCTTGCTGTGTGGTCCTGATATACAATTTACCACCCCTTGCTTTCTCATGGATGTTGTAAGAGGCCACTAAAAGAATTTAATGGTTTAGTAAAGGGAAACAGCAGTTCTTCTTAAAACATCATCAATAATTAACTTCGGTTGTCAACCCGCCAGCCAAGCGTAGTATCTACGGGTAAAACTCCTCTTATGGGGAAGGCTTATCCTCAGTAATGGAAAGTTAATGACTGACATCATAATAATATAAAAATACTCACATTAAAATAAGACTTAATTATAAGAGAACTGAAATAATAGAAAATAAGATTTTTTTGTTTATAACAGATAACTCAAAAAGTATTTAATCGATTTTAAAAATTCTTTCACCTACAAAAATCGACATTATTAATGAGTAACACGGGTTGTATTTTATTTAAAAAAAAAACGTGTAAAACCGGGCAGGTGACTAGTTTTGCGGAAGATTAAAAGAAAACAGCAGAAGGAATAGATTTTGCTTGTGTGGCTAAAGTATAAGAAGAAATCTTAGTTTTTAGGCATGTTGCTTTATATTAATGAGGTCCAGGGCACAATTCATAGCTTACTAGTTTTGAATAAGATTAAAAAAGTAATAGAAGGAATAGATTAAGTTTTTAAAGGATTAACAAAAAAGAATTATCAAAATTGGCGAAGATATCGCGTACGTGACATACCCAAAAATAAACAATGGTTCTGAAAGCAAAAGAAAAGTTACCTCTTTTTTGAAGTCGGTTAAAACACATATGTCACCTACCTAATTATTGAACACTCGTCGGTTTATCACCCGGCGACGAGACGAGGTGCAAAAAGCCGCGATGTCACGCGAGCCGTAGCGCGCGCTAACGGTGCGTTCCGCTCCAAGTGCGCACTACCCTTAACATTAGCCATCCAGTCTAGATTCAAATGTTCCTGGATGCCTGGATCTGTACCAAATTTTAAATTAGAAGTCATTTGTATACAGGACGTTTGGTTCTGTTTATATCACTATCCTACTCATGTTTTACCGCCAAACAGACGTCCTTGTTTGACTATGTTCCAGTTTGAAGTGTGGCATTTGACAAAAAAATTATGGGTACCAAGATTTATAAAAACACTTTCAAAACCCTCAAACATTAATTATTTGTATCTACATTTATTATTTTAGGGGTTCCATGGGCGTTATTGAACTAATATAGAACTAAAATATAAACACACAGTCGCCCTAGGAACTCCCGTTGCAATTTTTCAGGACTAGGGTATCTTTACGCTAATTATTCTGTGAGTTTACAGGTACAGCTCTTTAGTGATAGAAACTGATGTACATAATGCATACGATTTTTGTACGTACATAAAGTTTTTTATTTGTACTAAGCACAGTCAGAGGTGAACTTATTTATTACCTTTTTCTAAATTATATAAGTATAATATATTAACAATGTTTAATATTGGCGATGTTTAATAAAGCCTTGGTATGATTTCGTTTTTATTACTATTACATTAATGTTGCTTCAAAATTTAATAAAATCGGATTAAATTTCATCATATTATCATCGTCGAAATAATACTTATAATATATTTAATAATTAAGGCTATAAAAGCATACATATACTTTGATATTGCCATATATAATAAGTACTCTTTATAACGTTTAGCTTCATAATATAGCAAACTCAAGGCTCCCAGTGTTTTCATTGCAACCGGGACCTTCCCGTAATTTATTATTCCTGTATGAGCCTAATTAAGTTGTAAATTATTTTAAAAATTTTTAATATAATATTGCATAATATGTTAATTGCAATAATAATCGACCTTGACCATAATGGCCTAGTTAGCTTGGTGTGGCGGGCAGGAGGAAGTGGTAATGAGGCCGAGTGATATAGGAAACGGTGCGAGGCCGACGCGGTTCCGACGGGCGCCTGGCCGTTATACCTCACCGTGGTACACTGAATAGGCCTTTTAATTTTTTTTTAATCTAACAGATTTGCTCCCCTTTTGTTTTCATAGAAGCTTTGTCGAGTCGATTTTCTTTTTAAGTGAGTCCAATAGAGAGGTGCTACGTTTTACATGTATTCTCCATAAATATTTACCTGATTTTACATGCATTCGATGCGTAAATTGAACTTATTAAAAATACAATAGAAAAATAAGATTTACACTTAGGATTCATGCTTAGGAGTCACTCCGATTACTAAGAAAACAAGGGAGTAATCAGATGTATCACTATAGGAATAACGGAACATCGTTACTCCTGTAAATGCCAGATACGGATAAGATTTACTTGCGCGTTGATCCCATTTTAATTTTTTTACGATTTATATCGGAATAAAATCTTAAAGTTCAATGTGAAATGAACAAAATTAAATTACAATATAATTTATATCACAGGATATCGCATCCTAAAATGCCGTGTTTTCCCCGGATAGAATGGATTACCCCTTTCTTTCTCAAAGCTGTCGTAAGAAGTTTTCAAAGGAATTTAATAGTCAAGGGATGGACAGCAGCGTCTCTCTTAAAATAACACCAATGCCTAACTGCGGTTGCTAACTCGTCTACCAACTCGTCTACCAAGCAAGACAACTACTGGCAAAAACCCCCAATAGGGGTAATAAACAGTTGTCGGCTGATATGGTGATCCTAAAATATGTTTATTATAAGAACCGTAATGTTCAACTATATATTATAAAAATACTTAAAATTACACAATGGAAACATTTTTTTTTTGGAAATGAAGAGTAAAATGCATAAGTCACGATGGTCGCGCGTTGATAGAACAAAAGACATAAACGAGCATCGAGCACCGGTTACGTGTACGTTCCGAGTAAACGTTTACACCGTTAGATATTTTACACGTTAACGCTAAGAAAATGTTACTATTAATACACTATTTTTTACTCGCGATCACGGAAACTGTGAATTGTTGGGTGTTAAATGTTGTGTAGGATAAAAAATGTACCTACCTGAAATCTGTTTATTTATTTTTATTATCGGAAATGTATTTAAGTATTATTTTTTTGTTGTATTTTTAGTTATTTATGTGGTTATAAGTATGTAGTTAAATAACAGGTATACGTATAAGTATGTACATTTAGTTGGGATTTATTAGTGCGTATTATATGATTTACTAGTTGTATCCTGCACATTTATCCTCGTGAACCAGTATATACTCGTAAAGTATCGTATGTGCTAAGTTTGGATATAACCCACCCATGTGCTAAATAGCATCATAATTATTATGATTAGATATTATTATTAAAAATATTATAAATAGAGTAATGTAATGTTTTATCTATACGACATATTTACATATCAATACTCTGATAAGTCCAGCAGTAGCTAAAATGATGATGATGATAATGACTCTAAAACTAAGGGTAAATATAACATTTATAGGCTAGGGTCTATATACCTACAGATGTACAGGGATGTCTTAAGAAATTCCTCTATAGGATATTTTTGTAATAACGGAATTAATAAAGAAAATAAGTAGATATACAATATAAATAAAATATAATAGTAGTTAAAGATCAATCATGTTATCCTTTTTTAGAACTTTTTCACATATTAACGTTGTTGCTGTGAATAATTATAAAATAAAATTATTTATATATATATATAAGTAACGGATTGCATCGTAATTCGACCACGAACGAGCATCGATTATAATTGGCCAAACTATAGACTTCGGCACTTCAATTACTTGCGGTTCCAATCAGAAAGAAATAGTTCACAGTTCAGGTTGTTTGCATCTAAAGTATTTACATGCAAATGTTATTTTGTCATTCTATGTATAGTATCCTTACTAATATTATAAATATATTTATAGACTGCAGTGATCGTTTACCATCAGATGGACCGTATGCTTATTTGCCACCTTTGTAGTATAAAAAATATACATATCTCGGGTACGTGTATGAATTGGTGGGTATAAGCTAATATAAAAAAAAGTGGACTAAAAATATGTCTTAGAGGTCTCTTTCTTATTGAGTACAATATAGGTAATTTCTAAGAAAGGATATATGAAAATTCTCACGTTCATGTACGCGAAGCCGCAGAAAACAGCTAGTAGGTATTTTTATAAAATGTTTAAATTGATTCGTTCTAGGTTATTTTTCCGTGGGAAAACCTTAACCGTATAGGTGCTATTCTTAATCTGTGAAGTAAACAAACTCTTTTTCATGATTATTATAAATCTAAATTTATAATATTTTTTTTTCTAATAGAACATTATTTTGAATCGAATTCCAAATTTGAATCATATACATCGACATGTAGCAGTACGCGGGTCCGTTACGCCGGTGACTAATGTTAATGTTTTGTTACGCACGCATTTGTGGAGATTTTGATAGTGACAACTGTTTCTCATTCTCATAGTAGAATTTAACGTGATATTTCATGGTAGGTATCCCACGATGTACGTGTTGCGATTTTATGGAACACAAATGTTACAGATATCTGTATAATTTTTGCATGACTGTTCATTTTGTAATGGTGCAGTGGAGGATAATATTATTATTTTGTCATGTAATACAGGATTGTTTTGTTATGAAATATTATGACTGCTATTAAGACAGACAAACTCAGCATATTGACGCACAAAAAAAAAGAAAGAAAGAGTTGACTTACGTCAATGAGCTTTTGTGACAGTAATTAACTAGGTACCTAATTGTGATGTCTTAACGCCCAGTTTTCAATAACAATATTTTTTTAAAGATTTTATTTTAATAAAGGTCATCATCGTTATATCAGCCGTTAACTGTCCACTACTGAATATAGGCTCCCCCTACAAAAGAGCGATTTTACCATTAATTGTTACGCTTGGCAGGCGGATTGGCAACCGCAGTTAGGCTTTAAGAGGGACGCTGCTGTCCATCTCTCGACCATTATTAAGTTTCCTTAGTCGCCTCTTACGACACCCACGTTAAAGAAAGTGGCAGCCGGAAATGTGAATGGAGGTTGTCAGATACTAATTTTGATTAGGTAATATTCAATTGTTATTTTTTTTTCAAATCTGTACTATTAGCAAAAGCTTTACAACCTTCCATATTAGTAACAGTGGTGGTTCATCTTCGAGTGTTAGCAGTCGCACACATACTAATGGTAGCGAAATTAAACAAAATAATTCATATCATTTAACCAGTGACATGGACTTCCACAAGATAATATCTAGTTCAGTAAAGTTTTTTTTTTTAGAACACTGGGGGCAAACGAGCATGCGGCTCACCTGATGGTAAGTGACTACCGCCGCCCATGGTCACCTACAAAACCTACGGCATTGCAGGTGTGCTACCGGCCTTTTAAAAAGAAATGTGCTCTTTATATATATATATATATATATATATATATATATATATATATATATATATATATATATATATATATATATATATATATATATATATATATATATATATATATATATATATATATATATATATATATATATATATATCAGTATATTAGTCTATACATTACTAAATTTATAATAAATTAGTTTAAATAACATTGTTACAATTTCATGGTTAGTTTTTATAGGTTAATTAATATAAAAGCAATTAAATCGATGTAATCCAGTGATCATGGTTTTTACTATGTGACAATAGTACAATGACTTGCAGATTTCTAAGCTAATTTAATTTTTTATTTAGTACAGATTACAGTTCGATGGTGAATTTTCCTAGAACTGATAAAAAAGATAAAAGTTTTCTGTAGCGATAATTTTTTATTGTGATAAATATAATAAATAAAAAAATATAATATTACTGAAATGTGCATGCTGCGTTGAATGGATGGAATTATTCTTCAAGATGTGTAGCGAGTACTGAAAATAAATAGTAACATTAGCCTCAATGTAATATGAACGTATAATACAGAATACCTGTTCTTGCTACGTTGTTGTAAGAAGTATTTATAAGCTCGTAACATACAGTAAGTATTAAATAATAAGCTTTTATTGAAATCTATTCGGTCACTTTCTTGTGATGAGGTAATAGAAAAACATGAATTTTAAAGATGACAGATTAGAATAACGTCGCTTATTGCTTCCATACGTATGTATGTTGAACTTGACCGCTCTTTTTCTTATTAATTATGCATGAGAATATAGTAACACAAAACTCATCAAAAGTCCACACAAATTATTAAAAGTGGTATTGTATCTTTTTGTCGAATTGAAAGGTTAACTAACAATTATGATTACACCTGCAGCAAGAAGAATTTAATGATCAATAGTTAAGCGACATTATTTCTTAATTGCTGTATTGAAAGATTAAATCTAATTTAAATTGTAACGGTTATAATTCTACTTTTTATAAATTCATAAATACGTAAACTTTTTGTTCACTTATTTATATTCACTCATCATCATCATCATCAATGATTTATTTGGATTATATCTTTGGTACAAAATAAAAAATTTCTACAATTATTTTCGACTAAATAGATTTATTTATTCAGCGTTTTTATGTGATATAATAGTGTTTAGGATAATACAAGATTATGTACATTTATCTCAGATTATGTAAACACATTTACATATTATTTAGTTAATAATAAATTTAAAATACAATATTCTTTATATTTTTTATATATTAATACAATATTTAAAAAATATAAAGAAAATTATATAAATAATTATGAATACAATATTCTTTGTGTACAACAAACATTAAAATATTTTACAATATAATAATTATTATAATTTAAATTATTTGAATCGTTTTGTGTCAACATTAAATAAATATAAACAAAGCATAGCTATATCATACATCAATTGTCAGTCCTTTCCCAGAGGTAGTTAGTAACGCCTAAGATAGCGGATTGTATAGTATTTTTTTTTCTATGGTGTTCATGGTGTTGTTTAAGCCTGTTGGCGACGGTTGCTACTTTCCATCAAGTTGCATTGTACCTAACAGATGGAAAGTGGCAACCGTTGCCTCGGTACACATTTTTTTTTATTATACTGGAAAGACTAAACACGATGGCGAGCTTCTTTGTTATTAACATCAGTGGTAAAAAATTTATTGCTTTGCAAAAAGTAGCAATATACAACTATGATAAACAAAAATAAAAAAAAAAATATTATTAAATGCACGAGAAATATATAACCGAATAGTGACCAAACCTATTATTAAAAGAATTACCGAGTTCGGTCCAGATTTTAAAGATAATGCATTCAAAGACACAAGAAATGAAAATAGGCGGTTTAAGTGCCTCTTATTTATTGAAGTCGCTGAAAATTAAATATATTACCATTCTTCCGACAACGAACAATGTAAGTTATTACGTTTTTTTATCCAACAAAAAAATTATGATATTGTTGTAAAGAACAATCGTATCGTAACCACAGAAGTAATCGAAGTCATCGATTCGTTTCCATTTTGGTCGTGCTCTGTCATTACCCTGCCGTGTCTTTTGACCCTGCATTATCCGGCAGTGCGGCGGGGTCATTACGGACAGCGTAATACAATAAATTGTAATATTACGTATCACGAACAACTTTACTCGCGTTTACATTTGTTTGCTAATATTATTACCATTAGAATGTATCACGTTTCTTATTAAATTCGATTCGCCCGTGCCATTTCTTTGAACGCCAGGATCGTGGATTAAAAATGTGGGCAACTATTGTAATTGTCTAAATAAAACAATGATAAAATGTTATCAATTTTTATAATACACTAGTTGAAATTGAAAACTTTAGAATCCTTTTAATGGAATATTCTACCAGTGAAATAAATGTTTTTTTTTTTTTTTTTATAAAGACGTGGATATAAAAATAACAATAAATTTAAGAGTTACTCACATTAAAAGCTTTAAAGAAATCAAGTTTAAAGAAAAAGTAAGTGAAAACACAGTATTGCAGTATTACATGATAAAAATTTTTGACAAGTAGGTTTTATTCCGTAAAAGACAACGACTTATACTCGTATAGTAATATAATTAATGCAATAGCTTCACAAAGAAAAACAGCATTTTTAACTCTATCGATTGCAAAAGAATTGTCAAAATATCCCATAACGTACATATAAAATTCTTCATCACGATTTTCCGAAATCAAGTTGTTGATCCGAAGTTGCTGATAAATTAATACTATATCGTATGTGAATGAAAATTTAAATAAAGATTAATATACTTTTATTAATTTTTGATATTTGCTTTGTTACAGGCTCTTAGTTCTGGGTGGTTTACTTCTATTTATAAGGGTAAGTTGAAAATGTCTTTAAACTTTTAATTAGTATAATGCTGGTAATATTTGTAATTAGATCACTACTCTTCATTTCCGTGATATCATAAAAAGTGACTGGCGAGCAAAGCACCATACATACTCGTAATAGCAAGAGAATGAAAACTCAAAAGTTCATTCTAAGCCGGCTGGTTAGCATGTATTGTAGTATATATATATATATATATATATATATATATATATATATATATATATATATATATATATATATATAATATACATATTTAAGATAACAAATGTTTAATAAGTAGTAATGATTTACATTAATTGTTTAGCTAAGAGAATGAGAAAAGTAAATTATCTTTCTCTTATTATATATTGGTGTTTTTTTCTCTAATTTAAATTTACAATTTTGACAATGTGGTGACTATTTGATCGAATGGGATCAAAGTACCTAGTTTACTTGCACTATACCAAGTATGAGTATGGCAAATTTCATGGCAATTGATTAAATCATCAAAATATCTAGAAGTAATAATAAATAATAAAAAATTATACTATTTTTCATTCTAGCAAGCACAAACAGCGGCAAGTCATCATGATGACGAAAGCATATCAGCGGAATCTTCAGAGTCGTCCACGGAAGTGTCAGTGGTGTCGGTCAGCTCATCATCGTCAGCGTCCTCGGAGGAGCTACACGAGGGCTCGGGGGAAGATCCACCTGATCCATCGCCATCCACACCGACGAAGGTAAATCTATTATATATATAAAAGAGGATGCTAATTGGTTGTGTGATCCATATATCAACACACAGTAAAAAACGTTGAACGTAGAAACTTGAAATTTTGCAGATAGGTTTTTTATATAGTGTAGGTGAACAATAAGAAAATAATTTTGAAAATTCAACTCCTATCGAAGTAAAACAGTGGCTGAAAATTTGTATGAAATATCGTCAGACTAGAAATTTTATAGAACAAGAAACAAATGATTGCGGGCAAAAGTTAGTAATATATTATTGTAGTACTAAAATTATATTTTTTATGTAGTCTTTATTGACCATACAATACAATAACAAAAATGAAACAGAAATAAACAACAAAATAAACGTATTGCTTATAACATAATGCTAAATTGTTATAATAATTTTCTACCTTATTATGCCCTTTTTAGGTAGAATGTATTTGACTACACGGAAGAATTATTTAAATATAATTCGACAATATCTCAAAGTTTTGAACCCGCCAGAAATTTACTATATTTGTAATATAATAATAATTTTTTACTTCCTCTAAGGCTGATGTGTTATGTGCGGTGCTAAATGGCATCCTCGAAGGCAATCTCTCAGACTTATAGTATGCCAACGACTCGATATTCATCATAAATATTGCACAATATATTATGATTCTAATCACATATTTAATGCGTTTACCATACTTAAGTAATAAAGTATAATATTTCCGTACTTAGTAATTTTATTGCCATATTTCACTTTAACAACTGAAAAAGCACAGCCATGCTTTCATATCTAAATTTCACAGCTGTAGAAACTTGAGGTATTTAGTAAACAATCTTGGCATGACTTTTTAAACGATGTCTGGTTCTTCCAGGTTCTTAATTCGTTTGATTTTTTTGCGTATATGTTATACGATTTCGTTGTTAATTCTGAACCGATTTTCACAATTCTTTTTTGCAATCGATATTCAATACTCTCGCGTTGGTAGCATTTTAATTTTGTGTTTGTGTTGTGTGTTTTAATGAAACAGGCAAAAATAGTTAATCAATTGTAACAATTTTTTTTTTAAATTCTAATTATTTACTTTATTATATAAATAAAAATAAAAAAGCAGGTAATATCGTCGAACTGCTGTTGATGTTGTCAAAGTCTTTTACAACTAAGGGTGAATAGAGAACCTTACCTACTTATTGAGAATATTGTATTAAAAATGTCGCAAGGTAGTTTTTGAAAATTTCTGATTTAATAACGCATAACGCATAAAGAATTATTCTAATTTATAATAAATGTTAATAATATGATTACAGTTTTTATTTTTTTTTTCAGAATGAAACTCGAGAAGCTCTTAAAACAGATGGCAGTGAACAAGATCCCGTAAGTCATCATTTACTATTTTATTAACCATTTATTTGTTTGTGGGTTTTAGTAACCCATTGCGTTTCCTGCATATTGTTAATTTGTGTAGTACTTGGAATTCGTTTAGTCGTCTGAGCGTAATATCTATATATCTTTACAATCTTCTACATTTATAATATTATTAGTATTATTGATACCTGAGAGTACTTTGTTTATGTTATACAGTATAAACAATGGATATTTACATAAGTTATCATAACAAAGACTTATGAATGGTCATAATTGATGTTATATTTTTTTTATTATAATAAATATATCATATATTAAAAATCGCTAACGATGATAGATTAATTGCTTATAAAAAAAATATTTTCAGAGACTGTATATATTTTATATATTTGATGTATTAATTAAATTGATTTAATTATTAATTATTCATTTTGTTTATGTACATATTGTTACTCTTTTTAATCTTCTTTGAAGGGAACAATAAAGAGTTTTCATTCATTCATTATTTGTATAAGTGTACGTATTTACAGAAACTGATAGATTAATTTTACTATCGTAAGCGTTATTTCTCATTTCCTTGTAATTGAGGTGAGCACAAAATATTTATATTTGGATTTTTTTAAGGGAAAGAGGTTTTTTAATGTATAATAATGGAATGGTAATTCCGCCTGCGCTAGTGGTATACGCTGGCGGGGCACCAGTGAGAGATGATAGGTGAGAATGAAAAGACAGGTTAGATGGTTTCCAGGGGGGTCCACGTGGAGGTCGACTTGACAGTGCATGTTGCTAGGAATGGGACTGGTAGTCCACAATACTAACAAAAATTCCCCCGAGGGAAATGGATGTATAGTTTTACGTAAGCGATATTATAAGGCAAGCAATTAGTCTACAAAAAAATAAATATTTTAAAATGTATGTACGTAGATAAATCTATTCTACTCAAATATCTTTCTAGAAATATATTTATTCGCTATCTATATCTTAACACCTGTAAAAATTTATCTGCAATTAACCATTTGAATATGTCCGTACAAAAATTACGGTATTTTTACCGTATTTTCAGTTAGTTTATTCGTGTATACAATAAACAGAATAATTAATTTATGGTTCACCTTGATGCGAATATAATTGAATGTGGTAAACTTTCTGTGGTAAATACATTAAAGTTTACAATTTGCAACTGTTGTCAAAAAGGCGACATAACCACATAAATCACGCGGGAAAACTCCTATAAATTAGCGGTTTTACGGTACAATACCTTACTAAGCCTAGTGCTCTTATTTCCACCGACCTTACTCTCACTTTTTCTAAAAAAAAGTATAATCCGTGGTTTTGATAAAAATGCCAGCCCGCCGATTCGGGGCGTAAGGTGAACGGCGCGACTAAAACGATTCATCGCCGACAATCGTCAACTCGGCTACACAATTAGCCACAATTACTTGCAGGGAAATGGGTGAAAGGTTTCTGTAATGACTACCAATTTACACCCATTAGTTCGACCATTGATGGAGTGATTGATAAAATTCTTAACAGATTGGTGACTAAAACTCTATACTGAAACGTGATTAGATACAGTCTGCGAGTATTCTTTGCATTCGTCTAAATTGAAGTAACTTGATGTTGGTTTTTCGGTCACTTTTTATGGGTATACAGTTTTTTTTTGTATAACTACACGTGGACCTACTTTTCGAAAGTGAAAATTCTATTCATACAACAAATTACATCGGTTACTCAATTGTCTACATATTTACAATATCGAAGTACCTACCCTTAAATTGGAATTACTATCCGATACGGTTAGCTGGTAATTACCTATTCAACATCTGTTGTAAGTTTGTTAGTTTTAATGAGATAATAAAAACGTACTATTTAAATAGTTTTAAGAATTAATTTTAACATCGTATACATATATTTTATTATTAACAAAATATTTCCAAAGAAAAAGGGCCTTGGTATGGAAAATAAACCAAGCTATTATTCAATTTCCTAAGTTTTTTGTATAGAGTAGAAATTTAATATAACCTAGAACAATTTGATAAAGCTCTCATTTTCATAATTTATTAACAATCCACTACTATAATATGCATAAGATAATTTTAGTACAAAATAAAAAAACACCATTACGCAAAAATATGATATATGTTTTGAGATATATAGGTTTACGTAAGTACAATAAGAGTTACGTACAAGAACACAATCAGGTGGGTGGCTGCAAATATATTGCAACAAAAATTGACACATCGCGTTATAATTAAGTTTTAAACAATGTTGTTTTTTTTTTCACGCGTGAGTACTCATCCAATTCTAGTGCCACACACGTGTATTGCGGATTGCTCAACGCCTAGCATATACATTCGTAGGGAGTTCGATGGAGAGGCCACTGTGCAGTGGTAGCTTGTGCAATATTACAATAGCATACATGTTGTAAAGGGCCAGTATGAACATATTAATTAAGTTATAAGCGTTGATGTAGCGCCGCGTCGCTTATTCTACGCGCACATGCCCAGAAATGAAGTGCCATCACGCATATATATATGAAATGACTTTTTTATTGCACAAAAGTGGCAATTAAGTATTCGAGCCGGTTGTTATTGTAGCATAATGGATGCCTATTACACCAAGAGCGTCACATGCGCGTAGGCAACCTAAAACCTATTCCGCTTATAAAGCTTTGATTAACTTACAGTAGGACCGTAACGCTGAAAGCTGGTGTTATTTGATTACAGTCTTCCGTAGGGCATATGATTAGATGCTTCGTTGTCAATAGTTTCAGATTATGAGCGAGAAATTTCGCTATGACTTTTAGTTTTTATATGAGCAAGTTACATTATATTTTTTGTATGCTATACATTTGATGCTTAAAGACTAAGTATAACTAATATATTTTTTTTTAATTGATAGTTTATTTTATTTCATCATTGGCTCATTTTTATTGACTTGTATTTAAAATATTAGCCAATGTTTTACATTTATCCGTTTATATGAAAATTGGTAAATAATTTTTCAAAAATGCTGAAACACATATTTTATACCAAGAAATTAAATAGAAAATGTCACGTCTTCTATTTAATTTTTTATTGTTATTTTTCTGTTAAATTAATTAAATAGATACTATTTATTAAATCGTCCGTACTTAATCCGCAACTATTCACAATTGTGAATTAAGTTCATGCCATATTGTCATCAAATTATAAAATAGATATATCTTGAATGTTAATGGAATAGAGATTAATAAGTTTGTGAGAAGCTTAAATAGTTGCATTGTTGACACTTGTTTGTTGCTAGTTGCATGTGTCAGATACTGATCTCTGACCTGTTGTCGCCGGCGTGTGATGAAATAGCTGTAGTTTGGTTCACATTGCACGTAAAGCATGAAGGCTCCAACTGTCTGCCCTACATCATATGCACTTCCCTTCACATGGACTATTCAATTTAGCTAATCATTTAATTAAATGACAGTGTACTCTTGCTTCCTATTGTATCTCCTTCTCCTATCGTGGGAGCTACAAGCCTCTTGTCTTGGTCTGTAATGCACAGGTACAATGATTTTTATCTACAGACTTTAGAATTGTAAATTAAATAACTGTGACAAGGAAACACGGTGGACATTGTTAGGTGTTGCACGTAGTTATTAATTTGAAAATAATTATTTTTACTAGCCATTACCCATTTTTTTTTTTACCAAATTTAAAGGAATTATTTAAGCCGCTAAGGTGCTGAGAGGTAATAAACAAATTCCCTTTCACATTTATAATATTAGTAAGAATTATGATTGTTTAGTTTATCTGCAATATTTTCGCGGCATTATACTCTCACATTACTATAACACACCCACACATATTATACTTGTACATATCGGTCCCTGTAAATGCATAACTACGGGGATGTATGGAGACTCCTGCCCAACTAGAGTGTAATTTTGCGCGGGAGATCGGACACGTTGTCCTGGGTTATATTTTTGAAAAAAATTTTTTTTTCGTACAACTTAGAATGGCAAACAAGCTGACGGTCCACCTGATGGAAAGTAATAACCGTCGCCTATAGACATGAGCAGTACCATGTACATAACAGAGTATACTATTTCGCCCATGATACCCCCATGCGTTGCATTCCTGAGGACTCAGGTGTTATTCCTCTGTACCCAGTAAATTCACGCCATATTCCATCCTTCAAACTGAAACACAGCCATGCAAACACAGCTGCTTCACGGTTGAAACACGAATGGAACAGAGGTACCCAAGCAATCGACTTTTGTACAAAGTCTCCCTCTGGTTGGTGCAAATATTCACAAATCAACGGTTTATTTGAGGTGGGTTGAACGATAATTTATTATTTTATTTATTTTCTATAGATATACACGTAAATGATGTAAAATATGCAACGACAATGCACCTTTCGAAAGTCTTAAACCAGCGACCTTAGTGTAAGATGAAGTAGGCGATAAAAGCTAAAATTCCACCGAGATGTGTCTATTTAAGAATAATATTATATTAATAGATTTTAATGTATAGATGCATTAGAACAGCTACCCTCTCTACCTTTTTTTCATACATTATACTATTAATACTAGTAAATCAAGTATTTATTCGCAACGAGCTATAGGTGTTAAATCGAATTTATTAAAATAATTTTAAAGCTAGAGTCATTTCTTATTCGAACTTTCGTATAAGTAATAATGAATCCAAGATGATCTTGTTGAATGATTAGCCCGATCATGACTCTGAGATCTCTCGAATCTGTGTTTCCTTTTTATATGACCTTTCCTATGTCAAATTCCCAATGATATACGACTTCTTGCTGGTCAACAAATATTCTCACCCAGATTTTCACTTTTATTTCTCTACTGTCCATTATTACACAGCATGTTTTGTTTGTTTTTATCAAGATCAATTTGTTACAGTGATGCGGCTACACGTAAGTAGCCGATGAATTTAGTGGCCCAATTTTATAATGCGTACAGAGCCCAACTCGCGGTGCGGCGTGCGAACTGCCCTGGCATACTTATTGGCATTTATGAGTTTTTTGTGCCAAACCTGAGGGTCGTGACTGTGAAATGGTGCATTACCGGTCGACGGTAATTCGATAGTTTGTTTTGAATGTTTTGTCGACTAGATAATGGTTGCAATCTCGCCAACTCCGGCTTGATATAGTTTTGTCTATAACGGGTTTACATTCAGAATGTTTTAGGTCATTCGTCTGCTAATTTATGTCTTAATATTGTTTGAGTTTTAAATAATAATTCGAAAGCACGTTCTTGTTTAAATTATAAAGCCTGGGACTCTTTACAATTGTTGAAATTTAAAATTTTCTGGTAATGATAATAATGTGACCAGTACCGCAGTGCGCTGTTATGAGAAAGAAAATCGACTTGAATGGTCTGAAATGCATTAATAGGATTGGACAACAAATATGAGTATATTTGTCTCTGAAAACCTTTATTTTAGGTACCTATAGGTTATTTACAGATAGTTAAGATGGGGTAAAAAACTTTTTGTTAGTTTGGCCAAATTTCTCGGACGGCTTTGATGAAAAAAAAAAATTACTAATTCGATTTCATTCACGTTCTTATGGACGCATTTATCTAATAAAAAATATATAAGAGTTTAATCTGTCATTTATATAGTATATAGTAGGTAAGTAGTATATATAGTAACTATGCATAGGTGTTTACATGAGTAGACAGATGTAAGGAAAACTAACGAATAAACTGAATAATTATACATATAAATTATGGAATAATTAAAATCTTGCATAAAGTTGGGTATATGGTGAGTGCGAAGACGCGTGCGGTGGAAGTGAACAATTAGGTTATTTATCTCATGGCTATCAGATGTTACTCAATGTCCGCAACAATTGTACACGGGCCGCAGGTGTTGGCACATCATCATTTTAGAAATTATAAATAACATAATTCACTAACATAATAGGTACTTTCTGAAAAAAAGTATATTGAAACGGATTATCCATTTACTTTTGACCAGCAGAAGGTTATGGCCACTGGTTACTATTTAACTGGTAATCAGTATTAAAAATAAAATATTGTGGCAACAAAAAAAAAATAACCTTATTAATATTATAAATGTAAAAGATTGTGAAGATGTTTGTTACTCTAATTCACTTACATAAATGGTTGAATGCATTCTTTATGTACTGATTGGCACAGGTAAAGTCGCGGGGAGCAGCTAGTGAGAAATATATTAATTTATGACAATAATGCCTTTATATATTTAACATAATGCGGCAATCTTTGACACTTAATTACTTTAGTACAGTCAGCTATAGTTATCAGTTAGTTACATAGCATTATTACAATAGAAACTGATGTTTTTTCCGTAAAATATTCTATTGTAAAATAGACGCTTACAACGATAAAATTATAGCATTGTATAACAATGACAATCGATAAACCTTATACTATGGGCCATTTCTCCGGTCTTTTCTTATGAGAGAAAGATATTACTAAATAAAAATACTAACCAATTTTAACGTATCTACCAACAAAAGAAAATGAAGTTAATATTAAAATATAAAAAAAGCCAAGTTAACCAAATAATTCTTATTATATTCGCCATTATGTAAATATACCTATTACTATGAGATATACATATGTATAATATATACATACACCGATATTGAGTAACCCTGTTCTTTTAATAATTAGTAATATTAACAATTATTGTAATATTTCAACATATAAATTCATTTCAAACAGACTATTTTTACGCTACATAAATTTTGGTTTAATTGAATATTAACCTTCGTCATTGCTAGGTGTTGAACAAATATAATAAACAACAAAGAGATTTCAAATAATACATACTTTTCTATTAAATATACAGAATCTATGGCCGTTAGGATAATCGTGTTCTAGGAACAAGACTGCGAACTGGCAAGAGTAATAGAACATTCTTTGACTAAGTACGAAGGACTATAAGTTAAGAGCTGAAGATCTTGCATAGAAGTGGTCTTATAAAGCTAGATTGTAGTGAGGTGATAAAAATAATGGTGATGATGATAATGATTGTTAGAGAATAGAACACATTGCACGCACGCATGAAAATATTTACACGCACACAATTGCGTATGTATGTGTATTTGCGTATGTCTTATTTTGTTTATGTAGTAGTGACAATAATGGGTCATAATTGTAATAAACTTTTTATGCGACTAAGAATGACAAATAAATTAATGGTCCATCTAATGATGAGTGGTAACAGTTATTTATAGAGATTAGCAGCATCGTAAACGTCATAAAGAACAGATCTGTTGCCATTCTTGAGGACTATGGTGTAATGTCTCCGCAAAAGCAGAGATCCTGTTTATAGGAGTATCTAAAATGTACCCCGCTCATACATAATACAAGATGTCGATGATTTTCAATATTTTTAATGCTTCATTTTCTTTATTTAGGTGGTATTTTTATCAGAGAAGAACAGCTACATCCCTGTGAGCATAAAGCCTCGTTCACCTGCTGCTGAGAATGCATGGCGGGAACCGCCGGCGTGGGAGCGCGAATACCGTCGCCATAGAACTAATACCAGCAGAGTACAATGTATGTAATAACTAATTTTTTTTAATATTTAAAGTTTAATTTACATAAAATTAAATATGATTACTTGAAGAAAGATAACGTTATCTATTTGACCCTATTTTAATGTTTATATTATGCGATATTTTTACTAATATTGCAACTACTACGATTTCTAAAATTCATTTTACAATTAATAAAACAGAGTTAGTTTAATACTTTATTCCGATTTATGGTAATTTTATTCGCCGAAGAAATCCTTAAATTATTATAAATATTTACGTATTAAAAAGAACAAAAATATTTTTTTGTTGAACAGATATTGAAGCAGAATGCCAGGATGATTTTATGAAGATTAGAGTTGGATTCAACGGGTCGTTTGCTGGACTGGTGTATTCAGCAGGTACGTTTTTTGGCATCATTTATTATATACGTACTTTATCATCATCATATTAACTATTAACTGTCCATTGCTAAACATAGGCCACCCTCATAAAGGAAGGTTTTTGCCAGTAGTTGCTACGCTTACCAGGTGGGTTGGTGACTGAAGTTAGGTTTTGGTGATCTTTTAAGAGAGACAGGGACTCTGCTGCCAATCCCTCGGCTTTTAAGCTCCCTTAGTCACCTTTTACGATACCCACGAGAAAGAAAGGGATGATAGCCATTTCATACATACACACAAATAAGTTGCAAAATTATTATTGATACTTTAGTATCTTAGACATGTATCTATCTATCCAGTGTGAAAATATTCTTTACTCATAAGAGTGCTGCATATAAAATAGATGACATTGAGATTATGACAAGTACTTCTCGAAAATAAAAATAGCCATTGTATTTAAACACGAGTATATAGCCTTTATTGTGTGTGTGTTAAGATAAAATGGAAAAAAAATAAAACAATTACAACTGTTAACTAGATAGTTGCCACTACATTGTTATAAACTTCTAAGCGGTATATCGTAATTCAATCGCCTAGTTGTGAATGGACATGCCATTCTTCGAGTCATTTAGAATAGCCATAAGTTTGGAATTATATGTTCAAGTGGCGCTACTGTTATTCAGCGCTGTAGTTTCGTCAAATATTGAGTAGATATGTTAAGTATTGAATTTGGGAATCCCATTCGATATTCACTGAAGTATGAAGTATATATAATAATGTCAAATGGTTAATAAATGTTTATATTTTGTATTTCCATGAGAAATACTGAATATATGTTTTTCTATTTCATTCTATTATATTATATAATTTATAGAATATAAAATACAACATTGCAATGAAAAAATATAAGTATTCTTTAAATATTTTATTTTTTACCCGCCCAGTTTGAATTTATGAACCTTAAATTCATATCATCATCAATTAAACCACTAATTGTCTACCGCTAAATATGAGTTACCCCAATAGATCATGCAACATATTTGAAGTCATTTGTATATAGTGAAAGATACGTATATACGAGAGTTTTATTAATGTAAATCAGGCATTCTTCATCTCCAAGACTTCTTAAGAGGCATATACAGCATGAAATAAGGAAAATTCAAAATTAATTCGTAAATCACTCCATCTAGGTACTATGATCATAATAACAAGTTAAAGACTCCTACTTAGTGGAATGTTACTCAAGATTATTAATATATGAAAAGCGCAAAATGATAATACGTTTAGGTTTCAGATAAATAGATATAAAATGCCTATTGTAACTGTGAAACTAGTGGACGATGTCATGCTGATTTTACGACCATGTCTGTTATATTTAGAAATTGCGGTATGAAAGTATTTCTTATAACTAATCACTTGACACTTTAAGATACCGTAATGTGATTATATACACTAGATGAACCAGTTTTACGATTTATTAATTTTTGTAGGACTTACTACGAAGTAAAAAAATATTTGTAATACTAATAAAACGTAGGTATTTTTTTGTGATGATTAATTGATGACTGGATAAATTTCCAAAAATTATACACATTTCTATGGATATAATTTATGTGTGTAATTGTAACATGTGTATAATTTCTAGACGATTCAATGACATATTTACTTCTACTTTATACCGATTTCTGTACATTATTATAACGATATATTTAATTAGCGATTACAAACTACTATTAACGTATAGAAAATGAGGAATGAATAAGAAATTGTATACTCTGTTACCGTATTAATTATATATACAATAATAAATTTTATTGATTCAATATGTTAGATTTAATTGAAATTATATTCAATAATTGAACCCAAAAAAATTATAACAGAGTTTGAACCCATTTGGTTTGATGTTAATTTAAAAATAGAATCTGGAACATTCCAATGGCAAACTATAGGACAGTCGAGTTTGCATTTCTTTGTTGCACAATAAAGAACATTAAAAGTTAGTTTATAAAACGCTTTTAACTCGTTTATACTATGATTTAAACTGCTATTTATTCAATAAGCCTATCGTTTTATTGATAGATAAATACGCGACATAACAAACAATTTTATTGAACCGTTAACGTCTGGTGGACTTTTTAACGCAGGCCATTTACTTTAATATCCGTTAAGGGAACAATTACATATTGGAACTTTAATTTGAAAGTGGTTCTAGTATCCTCGTTGCCTACATTTCAATAATTATTTAATTTATAAATACATTACACGCTAGAAACGAGAGTTTGAAGCAAGTGCATTTTAGTAGTAGTAGGTTTCTTGTGTGTTTAAATAAGATGTTATTAATTCGTATATTTTTTTTTGGAAGGTTTTTTATGATATCTCCATCAATTATTAATCGATTCGTACTGTTCTTTTTCTATAATTCAGTTTATTATTATATTAGATAGTTAACAATATTATCCAGATCAGATTAATGAAGTATGTGTTATACATGAATTATGATCCCTCTTTAATGGAATCTGTAAATTTATTTCTATTGTTTATAAAAGTTGTTTCAGTGTTTTAACTACGGTACTTTAACTAAATTTGCTATTTTCATATTAAATTATCTTCACGCTACTTTAAGACGGACTTATAGAAGACAGTGTTTTTATTATTTTGAATTGTTATTATTAAAATCATAATGTATAATTTAGAAAAGATTATGTAATAACGTCTATAAATTTTATGATGGTATAGCTCTACATAACAGTATAGAGCTTTATGTTTTGTTATTATATACGTGCAACTTAAAATTGTATACATATATATTTATTTATTTATAAAGGATTTTTTTAATTATGAAAAATAAACCTATCTTTTTTGCCTAAATTATTCGCTAAATATCTGTAAATTTCACAGGTTATTCCTACGACCCGGATTGTATGTACATCAACGGTACAGGGCGTGACTACTACGAGTTCTACATCCAATTAAATAGATGCGGCACGTTGGGCAGAAACAGCCAACACGATGATAACAGGAAACATCCTACTGTAAGTATTCTTTGTTTTGAAATAGGTTATAAACCTAAGAATATAGCTTTATAACAGAACTATTTCAAAAGTTGCAGTTTTCTTTTGGAGATAATATAGCCACTTTCAATTATTACATTAAGTCGAATGTTGCGTACATCATAATGGCATTAACAGATGCTTCTGACTACGCCATTTATGATTGTAGTCATGAGCAGTGGTATTATATACTATCAAAATTTTTTTGAGTTTAATCGTTATGCTCACTATGGTACATAATATTTAAAAGGCCATAAGTATTTAAATACAAAATTATGTTTGCTAAAAATATTACATTTTATGGTATTACTATATTTATAACATTATATGATACATAAGCTGACGTCCTACCTGATGGAAAATAGTACTTAACATTCGCCTATATACATGAATAACACAATGGACACCACAAAATATACTGACATTATATTTTGCATTGCAGAAAAACCTGATGTGGAACACAATCACGGTACAGTACAATCCATTAATTGAGGAGGAGCAGGATGAGCACTTCAAGGTCACCTGCGAGTATGGATACGACTTTTGGAAAACTGTCACCTTTCCTTTTCTCGACGTTGAGTGAGTTCAATAATAACAATAATAATTGCACTTAAGATTTTTTTAATAAATAAAATGAGAAAAGAAATTGGTGTCTCTGAAGTCGGTGTGACAGTGGATGACAAAGATAGTATAAGATTTCCTTTAGCAATCAGTCCTCTCTGATTACCCCTTAGAAGAGCTGCTGTAAAAGTACAGCATGCTTAGTATGTGCATTTATTTACCTCGAACTAGGTAGGTAAATTAAATTATTGCGCTATGTAATGTTATTATTTCCGCTTTTTTATGAAAATATCCACAAAAAAAAACTGACCAATTGTGGCAAAACCATTTATTTTGATTTAAAAATTAAACTACTAAATCGATTTTAAAGAAAATTCTATGGGGCCAATCTGTAAGTATCTTTCAAATAAAAAAAGAATTTTCCAAAAATCTTTACAACTGACGGAGTTATAATGTAACAATAAAAAACAATCAAATTGAAAAAATCAATTTTTTTTGAGCTCGGTTGAGAATTTAAAATGGTAATCCCCTCTGCGCTACTGGCACGCTTGCGGGGTATCAGGGAGTGACGATAAGTAAGGAAGAATTCAGGTTATTCGGTCCATTCTAATTTTCCAAGAATTTATCTATTAAACCATTATAATCCAGGGGAATAAATTGGATTTCCACTTAACAGAGTTATTACAGATTATAAAAACTATAACACAGTATGCTACTTGGAATCGCGTCGTTAGTCCCTATTAAAAACAATTCCCTTCACCCCTCGTTTCAGGGTAGCAACGGGTAATCCAGTGGTATTCACACTGCAGCCGCCTGAGTGCTATATGGAGATCCGGTCCGGGTACGGCGCTACCGGCGCCAGGGTTTCAGGTCCGGTGCGAGTTGGCGATCCTCTTACCCTGCTTATCTATATGAGGAGTGCTTATGGTATGTAATGAATCTGTTAAATGTAATTTAAGTTTTATTATTCTTGTCTACTTTTTTATTAAATATATACCCAATTGTGAGATGATGAAGTAACAATACAATGTGTCATCACACTTTTCATTCTCTGGATATTTATTTATTCTTTATTGCACAATAAAACTTTGTACAAGTGGCGAGCTTAATGCCACATGGCATTCTCTATCAGCTAACTATTACAAGTAGGAGAAAAATAAATAAAGATATAATACATAAATATAAGAACCAAAGCTCAATATATTCGGAATGTTCTATTTCTTTCGTCATGTCCTTTTCACAAAGTGATCATGGTCGTAAAATTCTCCTTGGCAATTGAAGTCTGCGGAATGTCCTTCCACCTACTACTTGCGTGTGTGAATCTTATAGTATAGGGATCCTATACTATAAGATTTAAATACCAAGCCGCTGGTCTTCCTAATTATAGGGACGAGGTTAATTCTTCCTTTTATGAATATTTGTACTCAGCAGTTGGATGTTACAATTGGTATAGACTGGGTGATTTTTTTGATCCTAGCTTGATCTCGTTAGGATAAACGAGATGCCTTCTAATGAAACGAATCATGCGTATTTATATCTGTAACTATATTTATCCATAAAATACGGTAAACTTTAACGGTGTTATAACCATCGCGTGACACACTCCATTCCTATCCCAAAATATTTCAATACCGAAGTTCAACGATCCCTCATCTACAATAGACAACTAAGTTTGAACGTTTTTAAGTGTGTCAAACTTTTACTCAATTAATGAAATTGTATCGATCATTTCAGACGGGTTCGATATAGTGGTGAACGACTGTTTCGCCCATAACGGTGCCACAAAGCGGATTCAGCTTATAGACGAATATGGGTACGTATAATTTCATTGCTGTTACGCCAATCAGGTAATTTTTATTTCTTTATTTTTATGATTCTGTAAAGATAACAGGATATTTTTTTTACTGCACCTAACTTGAACATTTAGTTATGCTCAAGTTAGATTAATAAAAATATATTGGTCAATGGTCTCATATCTTAAAAGTAAGGCACATGAAATGTTTTTTGAAATATTATTTAGTGCACGTTATAGTAAAACCAAAACATTTTTTTTGGTTTCATGTTTTAGTGAAGTATAAATATCCAGTTAGATATATAAATCTCGTTAAAAATTTTACACTAATTGACATACAAACGTGTTTAGTATGTATGACAATTAGTACTCGTACGTGTATGTACTTAGCTATACTTTTACCCTAACATCGTAGTAGTTAGTAGTAAGTTAAAATATTATTAAAAAAGTCATACATTTATTTTGCAATAGGTATAACATATACATAAGTTATATTCAAGTAAAGGTACTTTTTTCTGTTAGTTAGTTAGTAGGTATAGAGTCGTATTGAGGTACATAACTACATATTAGTTTTGCAGGAACCGTCTAGCAAGTTCCTACTAAAGATGTACGAAACGTCTTTTTCCAGGTGCCCAGTGGATGATAAACTTATATCACGATTCCGCGGCTCGTGGTCGGAATCCGGCGTGTTCGAGACGCAGGTGTATGCGTACATGAAAACGTTCCGGTTCACCGGCTCACCAGCCCTCTACATAGAGTGTGATGTGCGGATGTGTCATGGAAGGTGTCCTGTAAGTATACATCGTCGTCATCATTATTTCTGCTCTTCATTTTGACACTTTTTTAATGTGTTGAAAATAGAATGGTAACACTATTGACGTTATCGGTATACATTGACGGGACACCAGCCGGTGATGACAGATGGGGATTAAATCTGGTCAGTCAGCCCATTGTGGCGGATTCACTAGGACAACAATTATGGCTTTTAGGGCAGATAGTTTAATCTGACAGGAAAATAATAGTATGAGACTTAATAACTCTATGTCAATAAAAACAATGTTTAATTCATAGGTATATTGCTATCCACTTCTAGCTGCATTGTACTCGTAACAATGCATAGCATTCCAGTGCTTCTGGAGTGGACTGTCTAATGAGTAATTCCCGGCGGTTCCTGGAAACCATTTAGCTGAATTCTAGTTGTATTCATCACGATGAACCAACAGCCTGTCTTTTCACCTGTCATCTCTCACTGGTGCTCTGCCAGCGTTCTATTAATATCCGTTAAAAAGTCCTTACACGTCTGTTCACGTTCCAGTCGCAGCCGTGCCACTGGCGCAACATGAAGAGCGTGCGGCGGCGGTCGGTGGAGGCGGCGCGGCCCGCCAGCGTGGCGCCGCGCCTCTCCGAGAACATCTCGCTGTTCCAGTCGCTGCGCGTGCTGCACGAGGGCGAGGAGGACGCGCAGTTCTCATCTAACACGAGTCAGTACATAGTGACGAATATCCTAGTCTATTTTTAAACGGCTTCCAAAAGAAGACTTTCAGAGGGAGACTTTGTACAAAAATCGATTGCTTGGGTACCTCTGTCCCATTCGTGTTTCAACCGTGAAGCAGTTGTGTTTGCATGGCTGTGTTTCGGTTTGAAGAGTGGAATATGGCGTGAATTTACTAGGTACAGAGGAATAACACCTGAGTCCTCAGGAATGACAACGCATGGGGAGTATCATGGGCGAAACAGTATACTCTGTAAAAAACTGTGAGAAGGATGGGTTGTCTGTATGTAATATCATTGGTACAAGCATAGATAATATACTTAATACGATACTAGTATTTTTTTTAAAGGATAACAATGAAATGGTTACCCCACCTGCGCTATCGGTATACACTGGCGGGGTGCCAGTGATAGTTAATAGGTAAGGATGAAGGCAGGTCAGTTAGTCCATCGTGAAGAATTCGACAAGAATTAACCATGTTGGTTTCCAAGGGGAGGGGCGTGGAGGTCCATCTGCTAGTAATGGGTCTAGTAATTCGCATTAGTAACAATCCCTCCCCCCCAATACGGCAATAGAGATAGTGGTGTATTTGTGGTCAGGCGTGTCGGCGGAGGGGCAGACGTGCGTGCGGACGTCGGTGGTGTCGGCGCTGGCGGTGTCGTGCGGCGCGCTGCTGGCGGCGCTCGGCGGCGCGCTGCTCGCGGCCGCGCGCGCGCTGCGCCGCCACCGCCGCGCCGCCGCCGCCGCCGCCGCCGCGCCGCTGCACGCCTACGTGCCGCACAAGGGACGGATCAAGTAATACCTACCTCGCCACCACCGACATACAGGTTCATTGGTTATCAGGGTGATCAGCGGAGAACTGGCGCGGGCTGTGACGTACAACCGTGGGACGTGCGAACGTTACAGGTGTGAACTTAGTGTAGACATGATTCACAGCGGTCAAACATCAAGCTCATTTATTTATATGTATTTTTAGTAGTGCTGGTTTAAAAAAATAAAATGTTTGACAATAGATAACTAGTTAATTATTATTTGTAGACAATTGTTTCTGGCATGAAATATAAGAAAAAACAATCCTTTAATGGTTCAATGCTCGAGACGGGTCTTTATATCTCCCATCATTTTGGGCAGTGTGTTTGTGAATAAAAATATCTCGAATTTTATGTTTGACATAGTGACAGACATAATAAATTGATGTAAACTTTTACCTATTTGAGATATAAATGTGTAGACCAGAAAAAGCCATTCACTATTGTCCCGAGATAATTTTCTGCAATCCTCATAATCACCGTTATAGGTGCGAGCGTTTGAGAACTTTGTTAATAATCCTGATCATTTAAATAAGCTCAGACATTAATTACTCTATTATTACAAAATGACAGTTTTTATTTGTTTCAAATCTAGTAAATATATACTCACATAAACCTAATTTAACTAGAGCTTTCGTACAATTTTTCTGTGACGTGATGTGTGTGACGACGGTTGAATATTTTTTTAAACTACATATTGAAATATAACCTAAGGGTGTGTATTCTCAAAGAGTTAATGCGTATAATGGAACATACTGGAAACAAAGTTTTATGTCAAATGTCAATATTCATTGTAGAGTACTAAATAAAATGTTTCTGGTGTTATAAAGAGTTAAATAAATAAATAAATACATCACAAGAACGTGTAAGCAACGTAAAATATATTTTGTTACGTTATAAAGTCTTCTATCAGTCAAAACATACCCTTAGGACTATTTATTTCCCCCTATGCATTTTAGTGTTTGATTTTTATTGTAGTTTGTATGATATTTCATGAAAAATACTCAGAACTAACCAATTTTAATGCCTACAGTCGAATGCTTATTTTATAGATTGTTTCTAATTACGTACATAATGTGTAATATTTTTAAATCAATAAATAGTGATTCTACCTACATCTATGCAAATTATATTGTCTCCAATGTGAAACAGTGTATTTGAATGTAATCGAGATTTAAATGTTTTACAATGTATAGAGTTTATGTTCTGCCTGGATGTAGTACAGTCAGCATTAAAAGTTGATGAGCAGCTACACATTTTTAATACCCATAAACACCACTTTATGTGTAAGTAGCTTAATAAGCTTAGCATTGAAGTTAGATGAATATTGTATCAGGTAAAAATAAGTTGAATACATATATTAAGTATGCCATAGAGTGTATTTGTTCTTAAAATTTTAGCGTATTTATTAACTTTTGATGTTGACCTTACCAGATATAATTGGGCCATATAATTCTAAATTACAGATTATTTTTATATGTTTTGATCGAATATTACAATCCACTTGACTATAATGTGTAATAGGTTACCAAATGAGCAGAATGTCTATTTTCGATTAAGAATACGACGACGGTATTTTTAATTGAAATTTATCATAGATAGGTATATTTAGCTACAAATTAGTTTAATATAACTGTCAAAGTTTAATAATGTGTATGACAAATAGGGAGGACCTATATTTTCAGCGAAAATATATCTCCTTCTGTTTGTCTGTTAATAGTTAATGTGTATTTTTAATAAATATAATAAAAATTCAGTTACTTCTCAATATTGTGATAAACATTTAAGTATTAATAAATATTATTAGATCAGAATTATTTATTATTATCTGTAAGAACAACGAAGTTCAAATTGTAAATATTGTGATAAGAATTTTAAGCATTCCGATATAGTTTAGTGGTTTACAATAATTATTTAATAAATACATTAGACGTACAAACTATAGTTATAATTATATCAACTGAATAAAATATTAAATCTCTTGTGTTGTTATTGTTTATTCCTAGTACATACTTAGCATTCAGGTAAATGCTGGGTTTAGCCAAATACTAATAAATAAAAATTTTGTTGTTTTTAGTGTTTTATAATATATATTTAATTTGTTTTCCTATAAGTATAAAAAAGTTATTGGATTTGCGCCAAATGACACAAATATTAAATAATCTCGAATAACAATGCATAAAATATCTAAGGTAGAAAGGTTTTTTTTGCATTAATAACTCTTACAACAGGGGGGAAAGGGATTGTTAGTAAAGGAGACTTAGAATCCCATTGCTAGCAATATACCCAACCAGGTCGACCTCCTCGCGGTTCCCCCTGGAAACTATTAAGGTTAAATCCTGAAGAATTCATCATGATGGGCTAACTGGCCTGTTTTCATTCTCATCAATCACCCTTCACTGGTGCTCGGCTAGCGTATCCCGTTAGCGCAGAGGAGGTTACCATTCCATTTTCACCCATAAAAAAAAAACTCCTACAACATACTATATACTACTACATACTACTATATAATAGTTTTAAATATATAATATACTTTTCTGTTTACTTTTTTAAGACTAGGTTCATTTTAAAGACATTTTAAGATTACCTAATAGTGGTAAGTGATTAAAAAAACATCATACGTGTGCGGATCTTCGGCACCATATATATATATATATATATATATATATATATATATATATATATATATATATATATATATATATATTCAATACAGTACAACATCAATTAGTAACAATGGAAGCAAAGGTGAAATTATCTCTAAAAAGGATCTCTTCCAGTCAACCTAACACAGTGCCACTGTAGTAGTGAGTGGGCAGCAGTAGTGCGAAATAGAAATCTAAAAAACAATTTTAAATCATTACATATGAATATAAACAAAGGTTTGAGTGTATATGAATGTTATATATAATACAATATGTACATACTTAATAAATGAAAACTCAATGATGACTTCTTGTAATCAATAATAGTAGTAAGTGATGATCAAGCGACATTGGAAAGAATATAATTTTAATCTTTTCTTGTCGGAATCAATACAGGGACTATTTTGAATATCCAAGGGAAGTTTATTCCACAGCTGTGCAACATTATTTTACTTTATAAAGAAATCTTTGTGACTTTCTAAATAGACGTATATTTGATATTTAATTGAATGTGGAAATTGTCCACATTTTTGCTGTTATAACAAAATGAAACATATTTATATAATGTATAAACGTATACATGCTCGCCATGGTGAATTAATATAAACCATCTAAGCAAATTTTGTCAATTTCATAAAAATAAAATACAAGTTATAACAACTTTAAGTTTAATTAAAACAAAATTGCACACGGTTTACAATAAAGAAAAAAAAAACAATATAATATAAAACACAATAACACAAAATAAAAACTGAAGCATTGTCATGGGGAATAATCTTACATCATAGTAGGTATCGTTGATTAATTTTACTTACAACTACTTTGTGACAAAATACTGATAGCAATAGATTCAAACTCAGATCTTTAGTTTTAAATTTATCCTATAATTGTTATTTCACGGTGGGTAGTTTTTGTAAAACGTTCTCAAGATATTTTATGGCACCTTCCAATATTTGTACTTCACATTCCTTCAACAGTTTGATATTTTTCCTGAAATATAAAAAAATATCCATATTATATAAAAATATAAATTAGTCTTATTTGTTTGAATTTGGCATTTGGCGTTTGGCGTTCCATTGTTTCTGCCTACCTAATGGGAGACAGGCGTGACAGATATGTATGTATGTATGTATAAATTAGTCCTGTACTTATTAGAGGGATGGGCAGTAGCGTCCCTCTTTAAACATCATCAAAGCTTAACTGAGGTTGCCAATCTGCCTGCCAAGCGTAACAACTTCTGACCCGAACATGAGGAGACCTATGTTCAGCAGTGAACAAACAACACCTGATATGATAATGATGACTCAGTAGAATATTTAATAACATTTCCGTTATTCTTTTTTTTTGCATCGATGGGGTATATTTTCATAATAACATAAATTTAATAATTTTTTTTTTCAATTAATTTCCAATTACGTTTTTTGGACTAAATTTCAAAGTTACTTAAGTAGCTGTTTCCCGGAGCTTTGGTTGAGTACATCTAGGATATAAACTACACGTGTACACAATTTTATTTTTTTAATTTGATAATCTAGATAATTTTGAACCAATTTTACAATTCTCTTTGCAATTGATAGAATTTACTACCGTGTAGGCCTTATATTAATTATATAATTGTAATTGTTATTTCTTTTTAAAATATTTAAATATCCATGTCAACCAAAAATATGCATATAAAATCATGTATAAAAAGTTCAAATGTTCAATTGTAAGTACCTGTGTGTAGATTCAGGGCCGTTTTGTTCTGTATCGTTATTAGTTTTGTTGTATGAAGCACGTATGAGTTCGCAACGGGTTAGCAGGTACTTGTACGCGCGCCGGTCGACGTCCGCGCCCACTGCATCGACGCTAGAGGACTCGGACGATACCAGGTCACTGGGCAAACCCTGGCTCGACCACTTTGCCAATTCCTCTGAAACATAGACATATTTTTACAAATGAAAATACACAGGTTTCAGTAGTACAAGCTTTTTCACTTATAAAAACAGATTCCAAATTCCAACAAGTAATTCATATAATAATAGACTTTGCGAACTCCATTGTTTTCGAAAATAATCATGAACCTTTATTGAAATATGCCAGGAAAAATACTACGATTGCACTAATAAAAGCTTATACAATAATCATAAATTAATATTACCCAAACGCGGTTTAACTAAGATTAGTAATCCTTTCTGTGGAAATTGGGTACGGAGTAAGACTTTATAACAAACTGCTTGAGTCTGTTTTTGAATTTGTCTGAAAACAGGTTTAAAACTAGCATAAAACGCTTTCTTTGCAAAAAGCCATATTATAGATTTGACGAGTTTATAAATAAAAAAATAATAATATACAAAAAAAAAATCTATTTTTATATTGTTTTTTTTAGTTGTTTATTATATTATTTTTGTTATTATCATACTATTACAATTATGCGCGTTTACCGATAGCACAGGACTATTTCATTACCATCCATTAAAAAAAATTACGTCCCACTCTTTGGTACAGACCTCTCCACAACCAGAACATATCCTAAATTAACACTAGCTGGCCAGGTGGCTTGGTATGGAAATTGTTTTTTTGCGCATCAAAAGGTACATAGTTAAATATGACATTTTGTACTTCATATACTTTGATAGCCGTGTGGTCGTGATATATACTAGGCCACTCCTTTCCTGTGGGTGTCTTAAGAGGCGACTAAGGAAATTTAATGGTCGAGGGATGTGGAGCAGTGTCCTTCTTAAAACATAACCAAAAGTTTGATTCGGTTGCCAACCCACCTGTCAATCGTGGCAACTACTGGCAAAACTTTATGAAGGAAATCTATGTATTGCTGTAGTGATGTAGTGGATAGTTAACTAATGATATGATACTTAGGTTCAATTTTGCAAATAATCCTGTCACCTTTACTTTTCCTTTCTTATTTCTGTTTAAAAATCTAACAATTCATAATATGGTCGAAAATAATTATCACACAATAAAATAACATTAAAATTAAAGTACTAACATCTTTTAAATCAACGTAAAGACCTAAATAGTTTATTGTATTATGTAAATTTATAAAAACACATTATGTAAACCTCAATAATCGTTTTATGGCCAGTTGATTTAGTAGTTTAATTGAAGCTTGTATTCGACCAGTCTCTCAAAATAAAACGAACTAAACATTATGCTCACACATATGTAGTTATGTAAGAAGTACTCTAGATAAAAATTTATTACTCTGGATGCTCTGTTTAATAACTATTGCGGTGAGTGTTATGTGTTTTGTTCATACTGGGATATAAAGATTTATGACTATATCTGTGTGTTCATTTTTAAGTCATATCAAAAAGGAAAAGGTCTCAATTCGATTGTATATTTTTATATGTATATTACATAAGAGATGTAGTCGCAGATTAATTCTAAATTTAAGTCGATTTTAATAATTGTTTTTGCATTTAACAGGGGTTTATTCCGTATTGTTATGATTGAAGCAGCTTTTGTGAAGAAATAATAAATAATATATTTCTAGTAGATAAAGTCTATTTGAATTACGGTTTAAATTAAACTTGAACTTAGATATAAATAGATAATAATATTAATTTGGATATAATAATATTATTGCATAATTTGGATTTTGTTAAAATAAGCGACTACAAATTGCACAATTTAATGAAAATAAATCATTGACGCATAATATACACATCGACAAAATCACAAAACTACTTATTATTTTTTCTATTGATACGGTCACATCTGAATATTACCCGCATTTAAAAAAAGATATGAATTTGGATTTTAAGCTAGTTGATGAAGCAGGTAGTTTAAAAATGGATTTATTTTGCAATATCTTAATTTTATCTACAACTACGTGAGGGACATAGCATTAATAATAAAGCTATCAATTCAACGATAAATCGAATTTGGAATTAATAATTAAATGAACGCATTTTAAAAAACGGAACATAATTTCTGATGAATTAAGTACAAGTTTGACCAAAAGAAAATAGATGGGTACTACGTAACACAAAAAGTGTAAATAATGATTAGATTCGAAACAGTTAATGGACCATGCATATCTAATTCAAGCATGAAGATGTCGTGTTTGTATTGTAAAAGTGTTTAGAAAATATTGCTTCTTAGAAAATCAATTAAATAGACACATCGGAGCAAGTACTGAGAAGCAATTATATATAAATTATTATCCGAAGTGTCCCAGTGAACTGGATAGAAACATTGTGTTAACCGCGACGATACGTTAATTTATTTTGATAATATCACGCCTGTTCGGATTTTAATGTTAAAAATAATAAATAATTAATATAAGAAAAAGAAATTGAATAAAAGTAATCTAGTGGCATAAGAACACTATCAGGGTCTACCTCTAATCTAATAATGTCACTATCATTATCGGGTATGCACGAGTAGACCATGGTCCTCAGCAACAGCAACGTGATAATAAATGAAATTTTTGACTCAAAAGTTACAAGATAACATGTTCTTTCATTATTATGGTAACTTTATCTAATAATTTACTATTTATTTAGTTGTACTTAGAGAAATAGCATATATTGAAATTTTATAGTGAATCCGTCAAGATAGGCTAACTGTCCTGACTTCATTTACGTCTATTATCCCACAATGGTACACATTCTAATTTTATTCATTAAAAAAATGAAAGATACTCTAATCAATAATACAAAGATATATATTTTTTTAAAGTGGTGCTTACCCTGATTCATATTAAATATCCTGATGAAGGCGAGCAGCTCAGCGCTGATGGGTGTTTCACCACGGTATAGGTTGTAATGTGTCACTCCGGCGAGACCCAGTTTGCTTAATAAGGATAGCTTAGTTTCGCGCAGTGGATCACTTGAACTTATACCCAGAGATAGTGATAGACTATCGTATTGGTTCTTTGGATATACAAAACTGAAAAATAAATAAGAGTAATTCATATTAGGGAGATTTTGTACGGATTCATTTGCACGGGTGCCTACATCCATTCGTGTTTCTGCAGTTATACAGCTGTAATCGCAAGGTTGTGTTTCAGATTGAAGGTTAGGGTATGATATTACTGGGTATGGGGGCATAACATCTTTTATAACTTGAATACCATCTGAGGTATATTCATGTACTGGCTAGTACTAAAACCTTATTAGTGGCCAGTACGTGAGCATAATATATTTGATCATCTTTAATTCTTTTTTCAAATTTGTCTTTAAATATCCGTAATTTATATTTGTAGAAATGTTTTCAAACATTACCAGTGCAATTTGGTTTAGAACTAATAAAAATATCGGATAACAGACATACAAAAATTCCAGGCAAATTGAGAATCTTCTTTTTAAAGTCCTTTAAAGGTAATATACGTTTACTGTTTGTAATGACTTCTGTTTATATTGGTTCATTAAAGCAATTAAGTGCGCGTATAACTGTTCCTGAATCATAACTGTGTTGCAATCCGGTTTGTTATGCAATTTATGTTTGTTGATTGATTATATCAACACATACGGTGGATTATAGAAGAGACGATGACATTTCTTCGTCGATTCTATATCTCACAATAGAAATTGCTTACACGATATATAGAGAATAGAACATACCATGTAAGGGTTAGAATTTGTAGAATGAGATATAAACATTGTTTTTAACAAGTTCAAACAAGTGGACATAACACTATAACAAACACATCACGACTACTCACAAGACCTCTCACGAAATGAATAGAAGCTGGTGATTCAGAAACATACATTGTACCCATGTTCAGCAATGAATGATTGACCATTGTAATGATGATTATGAGCTTCGCCAGTCGTGAACCGGTTTTTTTTTATATTGTGATAAATTTCGCAAGTACAAATTATGTTTTATCCCAAAAATAATAACCGGATTAACTTACGTGTCTTTTATGTCGAAAGTGTCCGTATAAAAGTGTTCTGGAATGCGAGAAAGAGGAGTGGGGAGGCCGTCCAGTAACCTTAATCATGAGTGGTCATGACGCGAGCGGTGCGAGCCCATCTGTGACTGATTTTATTAATTAAAAGTTACTCTCGAAACTAAGAATGGAAATTCCATATTGTATTTGTGGGGATGATGCGTGAAGGAAAAAGAAATGTTTCAGAGATATATGAAGTTCAAGATGACCCACGTTCAGGACGTCCTTCCATACATTCCGACGATGTCCCTCCAAAATGATGGAAAATTATCGATGTGCTCAGACGCCTCAAAGCTCGTGTGGCACGAGTTCGTCCACATCAGAGGGGCGGAATCTGACAATGTTCTCTTGTTGTCCGTAAAGAAAAATTCCATTACGGTTTGGCCTATTCTTCTTGTTCCCAAAAACCAAATTGGTAATTTGGGGGACATAAATGAGATAAAAAAAGCAACATTTTTCAAGGAGCCTTCTCATTTTCCAAGTGCATTATGTCACAGGGGGAGTAGTAAAATTGATTTACTTAATTGTAAAATAAAATTTTTAAAAATTTTATACGTACTTTCCGGACAAACCTCGTATGCGAGTGTCCGACTATATTTCGGGACCGTCCAGTAACCTTAATCATGAGTGATCATGACGCGAGTGCGAGCCGGACTGGATTTTATTAATTAAAAGTTACATTAAGAATGGTTCCATATTGTATTTGTTACGGGTTAAAAAGAAATGTTTCAGAAATATATGAAGTCTGGATCCAGTCAAAGTATACATAATGTAAAATGGAAATTATTACATACATCACGGAATCTGAATGTTTTGCCTAAAGAAAGGTGTATCGGAATATGTAACAACATTTTGGGCTTCTATTTTCCGTTTACTAGTTTATACTTTTTATTGGAGAAATTGTTCAATTGCACTGGGAAAGTATTTCCTTAAAAGGATTTATTATTTAGATTTCTGTTTGTATGTAAAAAAAAAAAAACAACATTATTATGATTTAAAACTTCCAATTTCGCTTTAGTTTCTGGCATATTATACAATTTTCTTAGATATTATACAATGACTGGATCCGAAATGAAACATCTTTTTTAATGTGAAAATGTTTACACAAATGAAAATTTACCCATTGTGCAAGAACAGATCAACGTTGGATCTCGCACCGTAGAATATGAAGATCTGTTCGCCTTGTTGGAAGTCGCGCAGTGCGTAGCATTCGCCTCTATTTAGTTCCTTGTTATAGTCGGTTGTGATCTGCAATGTCAGTATTCCTTGTGTGAACATTACGTGTTTGAAAGCACTACTTACGACATAGATTATTGACTCGATCTATGTCGTAAGCAGTGCACAATGCACTTTGGTTTATAGTTATATAAATAAACCATTTTTAAACCTTTATTCGACACAAAGGAAATTAAACTTGTTTACCGATCTATTCACGCGAAAATATTGTCAAATAAACTTAATGATTATTTTTAAATAAAAATGTTACTTTCCATCGTGAAATTCGTCATTTCATATTGATTTTATTTATTTATTCCAAAATCTTGTAATGTCAAAAGAAAAAAGAAAATTATTGAATTGATTTTTTAGAAAAATAATAATATTAGAACTTACAAAGATATAATTCATGCCTATTTACCTTGGTACTTGGATTTGATGTTAAAATTATGAACAAGCACACTTTTTACATTTTTTTATGCAACTTAAAATGACAAATAAGCTGTCGGCCCACCTGATGGAAAGAGGTAACCCTCGCCTATAGACATGAGCAGTATCATCGACATAACAGAGTATACTGTTTCGCCCATGATATCCCCATTCGTTGCCATTCCTGAGAACTTAGGTGTTATTCCTTTGTACCCTGTAAATTCACTACTATATCCACACTAACATTTACTCAAATTACCGATTTCACCCTTAATACATTTGAAAGGGATTCTTAAATTAAAAAGGGCGTAAACGATCAGAATTATTACACTAACAATGATTACAAAGATGCGTTTGTGTAAAATTTTAACAACCTTAACATTAATGAAATTGATTATTCACATACCTTTCCGTGTTCATGGTTACACATATCCCATAAGGGTATAAATGACGTGACGTCACAGTCATCCAGCTGTATCATGTTCTGCCGCGTCATTACAGTGGACACAGCCCACCTGTGGAGTGACCAATCACGTACAATATAAATGTATGGACAGAGCATGTATTTAACTATATAAACAGAGGTCAAAGATGTAATAGATATGTAAAGATTAGCGATATGCCTTGGCTCCGCACGGGTTTATTTAAAGAAATATATTATTTAAAGAAATATAGCCCATGTTATTCCCTGAAAATGTAGCTTTCTATAGGTGAAAAAATATTTAAAATAGGTTGAGTAATTTTTGAATTTATTCATTGTAAACAAAAAAAAAAAGAATCTTTTATCTGTACTAGCTGGCCCTGCAACTACGTTCGTCTTCATTATCTATTATACTACGTCAATTTTGTACAGAATTTTATACACTTTTATTATTACATCATCACTATAAAATAGTATCAATAATTGATAAAAAAAAAAAACACAAACAGATATTTAATTATTGTATAGCTTATTATGTTAAGCCACATTTAGCTTAAAATATTATGAAAATTTCATTATTCAAATTCAATCATTCTAGTCGTTTTTACGTGTAACGCTAATACAGAAGAAATTTTCTCATATATCGCATTTTAATACACAATTTTGACTTAGTTACGTCTAGTGAGAGAATGTGAACTATTTTAGTCATCTCATGACCGGCATATTAACCATTAAAACTGAATATTCTCTCTCTTTTTCTCTCTATTTGATAAATATCTACAAAACTACAAAACACTTTTATCATATACATACATATTTTTGTACTGTGGCATACAATAACATGCCACTGTACTTAAACGTTACAGTCGTTATGCTAAATGACGCAATTACAAAGTGTAAGTCTTAATATATAACATTAAATATATTATATCCGATTGTTTCATATCCATAAACCGGCAGTAGTTTCACAAGGGTTTTGCATATTTATACAACAATAGGCGTATGTAACAAAATGGCATTTTACTTTCATACAATTGCACGAGACAACATCCTATTGTTTGTTCGGAGACAATCTCAGGTTTCCACTTTCAATTCTATTATAACACATTTATTATTGAATTAAATTGAAATATTTTATCGGTCGCACTGAGATATACCTACATTTCTCCGACACGATAATTTGCATATTTATTTACGTGTGTTACGTATACTTTCTATGTCATTCAATGAACGTAAGAGGTTAAATATTCTAATAGATATTTTATATTTAATTTGCATAAGTGACGGGTTCTTGCCATGATTTAAAGTAATCGCGAAACAATAAAGTTTTACATGATAATGGTCGGGGGATGGGCAGCGGCGTTCCTCTAAAAACATAACAAAGTCTGAGATTGCCAATCCGCTTGCCAAGCGTGGCAAATACCAGCAAAATCTCTCAATGGGAAGTCCTATGTTCAGTAGTGGACATTTAACGGCTGATGTGGTATAGTATATTAAAATAAAGATTATTAAATAACTTTAGAATCTATTCCGAGTTATCAATAAATAAAAAAAATATGCTCAACTACAGCTACTAATGAGATAGTGAGAGGCATTTTCGACTTTTGTTATAATTGATACAAATATATAATAAATAAATAATGCATTAAAAGATTTAGAAAATTTATTATGGCATCAACCACTTTACGGAACTATAAAATTATATTTAATTAAAACTTCTTTGCCATGAAGTGTTTTGACTTGTCACACACTCACAATTATGTTTGTGTGCTTTCGATTTTTATATGATAAATTCTATCAAATGTATTCTTTCGTGGTCCAAGTTTTCTATGTGTAGAATATGCATATCGATTCCCAACTTAACGGTTTACCACAAATGGCAATTTTAAACAAAGTATCGATTTATTGCCTTTATTGACATTTGACAAAAGTACGTCCGGTGATCCGCATGTGTGTTCAATATACTTTCACAACATAGTAAGACTTGCCAAGTATTTATAAACATAACAGTTTATGTAATAACAGTATCGAGCATCGAATAAACTATGGAAGTGATAAATAATTCAACTAGTAGTATCACCAGTACGCTAGTTTCTTTATAGGCAAAATGACTATAGAGACAGTTTTATATAGTAAGATGAAGGCTTTTGAGTGCTTATTTTCTTATTTCTAATCGAATATAAAATTGACTACTTGGAAATAAAGTTGAAAATATTAACAATCACTCTGATCAAACACTATAAATACTTACTATATATATATATATATATATATATATATATATATATATATATATATATATATATATATATATATATATATATATATATATATATATATCAAATCAGCTGACTCGTTTTTTATTAATGTTCTATATACTCACGCACACAATGTAACTTGACGTATCTATATTTAATTATTTAATAAATGAGTTTTTGCGCAATAAAAAGGTGCAGAATTTATAAGACAAAATAAATATTGAAGTCATAAAGAAATTACTCATAACTGTTTATTACGCAAAAATGTATGAAAAAATTGACCCGCTTTTCTCGAAGCATTTGTATGGAGACACTATCTATGCAATCTAAGGAAATTTGATATAAATAACTCTTACCTAATATTATAAAAGTAGAAAACAAATCTCTGAGGCGTAAACAAATATTATATAATAATTTAGCATTAATAATAACTAAAATTACTATTTATGAATTTAATTAAAATACGGATGATTTAAAAAGTTATATACTTATCTGAAATATAAATTAAAAATATTTGTTTAATTCAAATTCCAATTAGACAAAGTAGATAAAAGGAATTGTAAACAAAAGTTAAAACACAGAATTTATATATTGTATAATTTTTATTTTTGAAAATAAAGTTTCCTCAAGTTATCATCACCATTTCCTTAAATGCTCGTACCTATTGCTTAATCAAATCTGCAACATTCGCGCATACAAAGTATAAGCGTTAATGATATTACAGAGATTAGTAGACAACACTGAGAAGTGGTTAGAGATGCGGTTAGTAAATAACGAGAAATATGAAAGTAATTCGGTAAAATTGTTTTCCGAAAGCAGTGTTTTAACGATTCCATTACGTATTCAATGTTGTGCAAGCGGTGGTTTGTTGACAGGCGATTAACATATTTTAATTATTTAACTTAGTCATCATATCATATTAGTTATTAACCATTCAATACGGAATAGGCCTCCCCCATAAGGGAGTTTTTATTAGTAGTGCCACACTTGGTAGGCAGGTTGCAACCGCAGTTAGGCTTTGGTCATGTTTTAAGAGGACGCTGCTGTCCATCCCTTAATCATTAAGTTCCCTTAGTCGCCTCTTACGATACTCACAGGAAAGGAAGGGATGGCCCATTCTATGCTGGGACCAGACGTATACGGCATTACACTTAGTAATGAAGTGAAAATGTCCTGTTCTATATATTTATGGCGGTGTATAAGATGTAGGATACATTTTCAATAAGCGACTGTTGAGATGATATTTAAAAGTCGTACCGTCATGCTGTGTATAAAATAAAGCAATAAACAAGAAATAAAATAGAAAATAATTTGATGAAAATAAGCTAATTATAATTAGATAAAACTGTACAAATTTAAAATAAATAAATATCGTCAACCATAAAAATTGAAAATATAATTTGTTAGCAGATTAACAATTCGCTTTTGTTGTAGTTAGGTTTATATTTTATTTTTAATATCCACTTCGTGGTCAAAATAAACAATTGCATGTACGTGATAGAAAATATTGTATAGATACAAATAATTTTGAATAAACGAAGTCGCGTTTTAAGTATGCCACATATATTCAATATAATGAGCTTCTTAAACTTCCTCGTAGAGATCTCACAATATAGTTAAGAGCTTGTGACAAAATTGTGTCATTTGAAGTCCAGTTACGTTATTTGGAAGTTACATTTTCTACGTCTCTTGTTTATTTATTTATTAAAATTAATCATATTCAATTTTTATTTTTTATTTTCAAATACAAAGTTTATTATAGTCTCAAACATGAATAATCATCATCATTCATAAATTCTAGCAGACATTTAAAGATTAATAGAAGTAATCCTTATTATGGGATATGTACTCGTTATTTGTTTTATGAATAGTACAATAAGTCTCTTATAATTGCAGTTCTTCTGTATAATAATATGTTACAAACAAACAAAGGTCTTCAACAGGTGATGGATAAGTAAATAGAGATTTTGTTTTCATTTTCAGAAATAATGTTTAAATATACAAATATACCAAAAAATAACATAAACTGTATAAAAAGTAAATAATATAAAATTACAATGAGCTCTCTAACTAAAACAAACAATATTACGTATTTACTGAAAGTAAAAGCCGTGTGTGAAACCGTCATCGTGAAACAATGACCTGCAATGAGTTGATAATATCGACATAGACGAGAGTAGCTTATTAAATTCTAAAATTTAACAATAAGTAAGGTAAGCAAAGTGCTTGTTAAGATGTTGGGATTGTTTTCTAAGTTTGGATTTATTAAAAAAAAAAAAACTTAACGAAGTGCGTTCACACAGTTTCTATTAGATACCACATAAATTAGGTTTAGTTATACGTGCATTTATTTTTATTTCGTTATACAATTAATTAAAGCATATAATAAATATGGTAAATACATGGTCCACAAAAAGAGTAAACTTGATAAAAAAAAAGTATTATCTCACTGTTTTATTTTAACATAAATAAAACGCAGCGCTTTTATTTAACAATAATTTATATCGCAGACATACTTATACATCAAATTTAAAACATCTGAATTTAGAATGACAGAGTCGGTTAATAAGTAGAATTGTTTCACAACAATTTTTTTTTTTGCTCATAAATCAGTCATTAAACTAATATGGGGAATTTGTTAATAATTCAATCATTAAATTAATATAATTATAAAAACATATTATTAATTTTATCAAAATCAGTTCAGAATTAACAACGTAATTAAAATAAAAATAAAATGTTCTTCTAGATGTCTTAAAAGGTATAGGATTTTCCCATTGCACAAATTAATAAGATTACAAATAAATGTCGCGAATGCATCTGTTTTGCGTGCGCATATTTCGCCATAAGAAGGTGAACATGACTTACTTATATTCCAGTCAAATTTCGATTTTCTAATATTTCCTTAATATCGAATAAAATTTACACTATTAACAAAATTATAGTTTTACATGTAATGTTTTCAATTGATTCAGAGCGGAAGGAGTTTGCTATCAACTGATAGCTCTTGTGAAAAATAATATGACATGCTAAGTATTTTATGGTTTATTTTTAAACAGAAATTTGCGAGAGTTCAACACAATTCCGTAAATTGGTCCCCGGTGAAGTGTTCCAGATTCCGACATAAATTATATAACTGACATACAAACGAACAATTTATAATATGAGCATGAGCCTAATAAGATTAGAAAAGGTCTTTAATCACGTAAGGCCATTAAAACCGCAGCATCTCTGTAGCTCTCTTTGTCCTATTATGTCAGACAATCGCAATATACAAATTACGAGCAGTGATTTGTCAGACTTCTATTCGAAGCGGTTATACAAGCAATAATTTAGCGAAATACCGCTAGAAAACTGAGTCTTAAGAGAAATGCCTATGCGCAAGTAAGCGTGAAAATCGAATTTCTTGGGTCATGATGATGCGGAAGTCTGTTTTACTTGTATTAGCATAATTTACTTAATGTTTGGTTTCTATTATATCTGCAGATTTAGAAGGCATATATAATGTCTACCAATCGATAGTACTTTATTGACTCGTGTGTTGTGTAAGCTTTGGTACAATAAAATATCAAAAGTTATGCGGTCCAGCTTTTAACAACAGTTATGGCCCAAAGCAAGAATCTTTGGCCAAACCATTCTTATCGCAATAACAATAAATTTAATTATTGGTATCTATCTATTTCATATAAGAAACACAATAAATACATTTATGTATAAAATAAAGTTATTTTAAACCATCTAGGGTACATTAAGATAAAAATTTTAATACACTCAAAAACAAAAACGTACTTGTTGAGATATTTTATTTGAGGTGAGGTGTGCGAGTCCAATTGACACTTGGTTAAGTTATTATTTTATATTGACATTATTTGCCATTATCAATAAAATGAAACAAAAAACTTTATCATTATTCCTGTATGCACACTATTATAAACGACAAGAACTAGTTGAATTTCTGACGTGTCGTGCAGTAATGCCAAACGATTCTTCTGTATTATAATGTGTTACAAACAAACAAAGGTGATGGATAACTAAATAGGGATTTAGTTTCCTTTCCAGAAATAAAGTTTACATGTGTATAAATATACAACCAAAAAATAACATGAATTTTGAACATTGTTTTATCTATCTACTTGTGTAATTCACTATAACTTTTCTGTATAATTAATGGAGGAAATGTTTGTTAAGTAAAACTGATGGATAGGAATGTAGCGTTCATAACAAAAAGTGACAGCATAATATAAAAACCTGACTTTTTTCGGTAATTGTTGATGCCTTGCGTGTAAACTCTACTGCTTACATTGTATGCTGACTTCAAATACTATTTTACTTCCCTAAAGTAGATTTGGGTATAATGGTTTGACTGTTACTGTGTATTAAGTAATAATCCGTATCTGTCGATTTATATATATATTTTTTTTATACAACTCAGAATGGCAAATAAGCTGACGGCTCACCCGATGGAAAGTGGTAACCGTCGCTTATAGACATGAGCAGTGCCATGAACATAACAGAGAATACTGTTTTGCCCATGATATCCCCCATGCGTTGCCATTCCCGAGGACTCAGGTGTTATTCCTCTGTACCCTGTAAATTCACGCTATATCCCACCCTTCAAACCGAAACACAGCCATGCAAACACAACTGCTTTACGGTTGAAACACGAATGGAACAGAGGAACCCAAGCAAATGACTTTTGTACAAAGTCCCCCTCTGGTAAATTATTTGTTGTGTATTTAATGATATATGATTCCGTCGACACAAGCCTAGAGCTTAGTGCAGGAATCTCTTTTAAAGTATGTTACCTTATCCAAGTATGTCAAATAAAAAATCAAATCTATAACTATTTTTTTTTTCTAATGTAATTCTTAATTAAATTGGACATTGATAAATGAATTAAATGGCACCATTGTAATATTAATTGCAAAAAAAAAACTCGAAAATATGTAATGAAATAAATATTTTTTTTTATATAGAGTAATGGAATGGTAAGCCAAGCAAATAATTAATGACTGATGATAATTTGCTAAGTGAGATGAGTATAAAGCGGTGCATTCCACGGGGCTGGCAGCGCGACGCGTGCGCACATTCCGTTTCACATAATACATATATCTTCGATAGATATGGAAATAATTCTTATACTTCTTCATTAATCAATATTTAAGGGAAAACAAATTAAAGCTAGAAAGGTGTAGCTTTATCACTGTCATGTGACATATAAAGTCAACCTGTATGTTTTTAGAGAGTTAAAATGACAAAATGTGTAAATATTGAATTAAAAGATTCCATTGCATTAATATTCTTTATAAACAATCTCGTCTACACAATGTAACGCCTCCCACTTTAGTGTTTATTTGTATAAATATAATAAAATTGTAACTAAACCTATCTGTAATAAAAAATTTATATGTAGGATAAAAGCAACAGAAACCAAAATAATATTTTTTGAATATTTATATGTTCAATATGATGCAGTTTTTGCGTAATACCGGAAGTATTATGCAAAAATTGCACCGTATTGGATGGTTTTCACAGTTGTGTTCCTGAAGGTAGAGTTTAAAATCTGGTGATACATGTATTATTTTGATACACTATCTAAAAGCAGCTTATTTCTTTACTTCATAATATATGCGTAGAAAAATCGTGGGGAAAAGCTAGTCTATAAATTCGGAAAATTATGAATCTTCAATACGTAGCCGATACATCTATCAATTTAGTGTGGGAAGCTCGAAATTTTTCGTTGTACGAGGTTTGTCCGGAAAGTACGTATAAAAGTTTTTTAAAAATTTTATTTTACAATTATTCAGGTAAATCAATTTTATCCCCTTCAAAGTACTCCCCCTGTGACATAATGCACTTGTGCCAACGCCGTTTCCACTGTGAGAAGGCTCCTTGAAAGTCCTCTGGTTGTAGGTTTCTCAGCTGCCCCGTCGTAGCTTTTTTTATCTTATTTATGTCCCCCAAATGCCGCCCCCGAAGTACCAATTTGGTTTTTGGGAACAAGAAGAAGTCACACGGGGCCAAATCCGGCGAATAGGGGGGTGTTCGGTCACCGTAATGGAATTTTTACTCAAAAACTCACGGACAACAAGAGAGGTGTGGGCAGGGGCATTGTCGTGGTGAAGAATCCAACGCCCCTCTCGCGCCAATTCTGGACGAACTCGTGCCACAAGAGTGAGGCGTCTGAGCACATCGACGTAGAATTTTCCATCAACTGTCTGGCCTGGAGGGACGAATTCTTGATGGACAATCCCCCGAACATCGAAAAAAACAATCAACATTGTCTCGGCCCTCTCTGAATCTTTTTAGCCACTTGTGGACGGTTGGTTCCTTCACAGCATCATCCCCATAAACTGTTCTGAGATCGGCAAAAATTTCACGGCCATTCTTGCCGAGTTTCGAGAGAAACTTGATTACGACGCGCTGCTCTTCAACGGAAGCGGGCTCCATGCCGACGGGGTTTCGTTAAGAGGTAACTTCACAGATGGCGTGACAAGCCAGTTCGCACCGCACGGCGGTCAGACCAGAACTGAAGCATTGTTAGGGACATAAGGAAGGGGTCCTGCGCTTACCTGGCCTCCCCACTCCTCTTTCTCGCATTCCAGAACACTTTTATACGAACTTTCCGGACAGACCTCGTATATCAACTCATGTTTCATGAGTAAAATATTAGAAAAAAAATCTACCTTAAAATATAACTAATTATTACTACTTTCAAATACTCTCTATTTAATTATTCTGTCAACCGTGTCTTGCTACGTACTCCAGTTAGATCCTAATTATTGATATTATTCTAAAATAAAAGTAAGACTCAAAATATGTTTGTAATAAAAGTCAATGCAACCGACGGAACTACAGTCGATTTTCTGTGGACTCACTTGAACGTGTCGAGTCGCCGCGCGCAAACGTGTGCTGTGCCCGCTATATTCACTTTCACATTCAGATACAGAAAAACGCGGGAAACCTGCATGAGAAATCTTGCATTTTCCTGTCAGTAATATAATTGCCTTCGTGAAGTATTAACCGCCGCATTATCGGACTGTTTACAAATAGGAATGATGTGAAAACAAAAACAAATCGACACAATCAATTGCATCGAGAGCCGGTTTTGAAAAATCAACAAATAGCGCACGCGAACTCGCTCGTTATTTTTTCTTCTTTTCTTTCCTTATCTTTACTCTTTCGCCTTCGACAGTTTTCTTTGGAGCTCTTGAGTTGGAGTAAATTCGTGTAAATTTAATTCTTTCCTAATCAACAGTGCAGTGTTAGTTTAGTGGATATTTTGTGTGGACGTACTATTGACGAGTGCGTTCTCAGCTTCTAAAGGTTTTATTGATATAATATGGGTGTTATTTGGAGAACCGCCATGCCTTTGTTGAGCACGCTTGCCGCGCTTATTATCATAGTACACTCAGCTGAGGATGACTTGGATGCCGATTACCGATACGATTTGCGATCGAGAGTTTTAGACACAGGGACGCCTAGTTACGATCAGGTAAGTTTAAAGTTTAACTACCCATATATACATAGTTTTTCATTTATATATATTATCATAACAGGGCCTTTATGCAATAGGCGTATAAGAAACAGCTTTCTATCCTTAGAAATCTCCAGATTTTGATTCGTTCACCTTCATAAATCGATTCATATATGCATGTCGTTGTTAGAGTCGATCCACTTCCGGATAGATTGTTAAAGATTAACGACAATTTTAAATTTTATTTTATTATAATTTTTTTTATTGCAAATTATAAATTAGCATCTCATCACCTTGCCTGGTTATATATATATACTAGATATACTTAAAGATACATTATCATATTTTTATTTTGTTATATCTTAAGCAAATAAAAATTATTAACAATCCGACGGTTCCCCAATAGAAAGTGGTAATCATCGCCTATAGACATAAACAACACCATATTTATAACTCAAACTTGTGCGCATTGATTGGCTATATCTTATATTTTTTTTTTAAAAGATTATTTATTGTTATTTTATCTCAAAGGTAGAAAGGAGGCAAATATTCCGTATCTTGTATGTCTTATAAGAATAACGATAGTTTTCGTTGTAAGGCATTTTCTAATTGTTTATATCTATACTTATAATCTAGAATAAGTTTACTGTTGTAATCTTTTGAAAGAAACAATAAAGAGTATCTACCTAAGATATTAAATATAAGCAAGTATGAAGGGTACCTCATACTTGTTATATGCTTAGGAATACACATGAAATAAGATGAAGTACGAGACAAGTGTGGCCCCAACATAGAATAGGCCACACTTTCCTTTCCTGTAGATGTTGTAAGAGGCGACTAAAGGAAATTAATCGTCAAGGGACAGGCATCAGGGCCGTCTTTAAACTTCACTAAAAGCCTAAATGCGGTTGCCAACCCGCCAGCCAAGCGCGGCAACTACTGGCAAATTCCCCTAATGGGGAAGTCTTATATTCAGCAGTGGACAGTTTATGGCTGATATGATAATGACGAGACAAGTGTACTCCTCGGCCAGAAGCTAATAAAGAAGTAAATCTGTCATATAAATATATATGTGAGTGGGTTTTACATTTTATAGAAAGATCTAAGACTACATTACAATTCTATTTTGATAAAATTGATGCATCACAGAATTGAATGCGAACACGAATACTATAAAAATTGCGAATTTAATAAAGTATTATATTTGTTGATAAAAGCAATGTTTACTTGTATATCTGTAATAATAGTTTGTATTTCCTTCGGAATAATTAAATTCTAGGTGTTCTCATTTATGAGGAAAGTTACAAATGGAGGATACAAGAGATGTAACTAATCCAAGGATAGAGATTTCTTTAACTCGATTGTCTCAACCTATACTGAAAAGGACTTGTAAAGACAATTATCACAAATAATAAACATACTTAAAATTTCCACTAATATTATAAATATGGCAGTTTGTAAATATATTTGAATATTTAATACTCAAAGTTGTAGCGATTAGAATTTTGGTATTATATATATATATATATTCGAATGTATTATTTAATGAATTATATATATATATATATATATATATATATATATATATATATATATATATTTATATGGTATATATCATTCGAAAACTAGGCAACTAGTGTGATGAAGTGACACTTATTATTATAGCCAATGAACGCTTGCAATACCAGAGTTGTCGGTTACAAATCCTAAAGAAACCTAAACAAATGCTTATCAGGTAGTTTTGACCTTTTAGGGCAATTTTTTTCCGTAACAACCCATTGACGTTTCACTACTAAGCACAGTGTCTCACCATAAGCGGAGGATATTAGCCTTTTACTTATTACAACGTTGACCTGGCAGCTTGGTATGGGTTTCATTTCAAGTTTTCTTGCATTGAAATACTCTTAGTCTGTTTTTACCATATCTTGGAGAAAAATGATAACATTGTATTTTACTTCGCCATAATACGAAGCTATAATGCTTTTTTTAATGGGTGAAAATGGAATGATAACCTCGCCTGCACTATGTTGGCGGGGTACCAGTTTTACTTTTCATCAGGTGGGCTGTCAGCTTGTTTGCCATTGTAAGTTGTATAAAAAAAAATGTCAATTGACCCATCATGAAGAATTCGACAAGGTTTAAGAGGAGACTGCGTGGAGGTCGACCTGATAAGGTATATTGCTAGCAATGGGGCTGTTAGAATCTATAATTAATCTCTTTCTCCCCAATGCATTTATTGTGTTTTGTTTTCAAACCAAAATTTGTAAAGTGCGTTTCATATCACATATACGAAGCTAAAAGTAAAAACGGTAGAACGGAAAGGATTGTTAGTAATGCTACTAGTCATATTGCTAGCAATATAGAGTATATCAGGTCGACCTCCACGTGGACCCTTCTGGAAATCATCGTGCTGAATTCTAGGTGAATTCATCACTATGGGCTGACTGACCTGCCTTTTCATTTTCACTTATCATCCTTCACTGGTGCCCCACCACCGTATATCATTAGCGAAGGCGGGGTCACCATTCCATTATCATCCATTAAAAAAAGGTAAAAACAATATTTTAGAGTTTGTACTTTTGTACAGACAACTAATAATGAATCGATAGTTCATATAATAATACATTTATACGTTTAAATCTTTAAAGAAAAGCTGCTGGTAATAAGACTGTATAGGGAGAGAACACGTCGATTGGCTCCATAATGGTCTAGAAACTGGCCGGTCTAGAAATCAGGGCAGAGGCCTGAATCAGCAAGTAGAGCATGATTTAAGTATAGTTTGTATATGTAACAATTAGATATTGATAGATAGTTATCTACTATATCCGCTTTTAAGTGACACGTGATGTATGCACATGTATGTAAATGAATGAATGAATTAATTTATTTGCATTATACAATATAAGGAATAAACAAGACAATAAATATAACGATACAATTGTATAAGTATAGTAAGGGGGTTTTATTGGTAAGAGCAATCTTTTCAAGACAACCTTAGGGTAATGGACTAATATGTATGTGATATTCTTTATCAATATATTAATAATAAGATAGAAACATATATAGGTATTTTATATTAGCTTTAATAGGAAAATTAACGATATTTTGGTTTAAATTATTGTATTTTCGTAGGGATCTCTAATTTTTTTAAGAATTATTAATAATATAACCCGTATTACTCGTTGATAAAGTAGATATTAGGTTAAAGGGTTTTTAAAAATCTTAAACAGTTTTCGAGTTTATCGATTACAAATAAACAAACTAACTTTTACATTTATATTATTAGTAAGGATATAATGTTCATCATATATATAAATAAATAAATAACCCAAAGCTTAAAGTTATAAAATAAATTATAAATTTTAAATCAACAAGAAAAAAAAAATATATATATATATATAAATATATATAAAGTGTTTACAATACTGTTAAGTTTTAACAGATTATCCATCAACGAGACAAAAATTAGAAGTAGATCACAAAACGGGAAAGTTCATTGTACTTTTTGTATAATTCTAAGCTGGTTCAGTGATTTGGGCACGCGCTGTGGCGTGACGTAATTAGGAATTTAATTATCATTTTGAAGAAACACATTAACTAAGTTATTTTAATTTTAACGAGCTTAGCAACGCACTGAAATTCAGGCCGCAATTAGCTATCAAAATTAGGGCCCAATACCTCCTTTATTTATATATACCTTTTCCATGTATAAATCATCTTTTTTATCTTTAAGTGTTTCTTTTCCAATGTTTTCTATCCAAAGATTGTATGGAAGAGATTGCTAAGTAATAAGGTCGCCTTAAAATTTACTGTATTTATTGTTTTTTAAATAGTGCAATAAGGTGTAAATAAATTTAAAAAAATCGCAGATATTCATAATTAATGAAAATTTAATTAATGTACATAAACTATTTATATATAAAAAATTGCATTATAAGAAGTATTTGTATATTTTATTCATATTTTTAGTCCTTTTATGGTTCACACAAATTTTCATTAAATTTGACATACGTACTAATACATATTATCTATTTAGAATGGACAAGCTACTTTTTTGGGCGACAGGCGTGACAGATATGTATATATGTACATAATATACTTTTTTAAACTATCTCATAGTGTAATTGGGAAAATTAAGTTGCCGGTTAAAATTCGTATTGTTACATATAACATAAGATACACAGTAAAAATATATAACGTATAATTTATCTACATAGCACATAGATTTCACTTATTATGATTTGATTAATATAAATACTTTTGATTTCAGCTTATCACTTAATCGCAGATTACTTAATGCTCGTAGTTACAAACTTAACGCATGTAATTTAGGAACGGCGAAACCGGTTTGATATGATTGTATAACGTTATGATTACGAACATCAAGTTATCATATACTCATTATTCAAATTATGTATTGGCAATGCAGTGGCGCGAATGATCGGATCGTGTCACATCCGAGTCTCAAGTTCTTTGCCGAGAAACCGGTACCAGCGCTTTCCACTTTCATCTGTATTGTGTTATGCTAACAGTTTTGTAACAGCTTTCTTCGTTAACGATGAGATAACTAATTTATATTTGATCAAGCGTAATTGAACGCTTCAGATTATTTATTTTTAATTGGACACATATTATGATTAATTATTTTTATATACAAGTCAATTGCACTTGTTTTTCGGGATTAAGTCAAAATTATACACATAAAATATAAGCGAATTAAAACTAATAATTTTGATGTAATTTAAAGAAATGTGTTCAACGGCGTATTTGTTTTTATTTTATTTTGACTCTATTTTAAATAAAAACCAGCTATTTTAATCATGTCAATATTAATATATATACAACGGATCTGCATTACCATCAGTCCCCAAACTAGTAGCACGTATGAAAATATTAATTTACCAAAAACCAAAATAAATAAATAAATAAGGACTGATAATATTGTGTGCGTTTGCGTGTGCGTGTACGTGTGCGTGTGTGTGTATGTGAGTACGCGCGCGTGTGTATATGTATACTATAATCATTTATTCTGATATTTTATCCCCCATAATATGTTTATGTTTAGATATACGACGCATACAGATATTTAATTATTTGATTTAGTTAGTTGCCTATATTTAGTTTTTAATTACTTGGAACTCTGTTTCGTGAGACGGTGCATTGAACCACTAGATTATCATGGTTTTATAAGTATTTGTATCAAAATCTAACAGCACCGGTGTATATACACTTATGAAATTAAATATAAAATTACGAGTATTATGAAAATGGGATTATATTAGCATTAGTTTACACTGACGAAGTATAACTGAGGAATAACGAAGGAAATTATATCTAATCCTGTCGATTTCCAGAAAGATCTCGACCGCCGACATGACCCGTTATATTGCTAGCTGGTATCCGTCACTAATAATCTGATATATTATGTGTAAATAATAATGCACAATTTTTATAACGTTTGAAAGAGAAAAAAATATATACAGCATAGCAAGGACCTGTTCTATATTTTATCGCGATAATGTCTCAATCATTTCAAAGTCTAAATTATTTTATATTTGGAACGACAAATAAGCTGACGATCTGGATGAACAGCATAATGGGTATCATAATATGTAACGCCTCTCCTGAATTGCTATACCTGCGTGGACTAAGACGTTATGCCTCTGTAGTAAAATTTTACTGCTATACCCATCGATCCATCAAATCGAGGAACCGTCATGCATGCACAACTCTGCTTGATGTGCCATGAAGAAAGACTATTCATTTTGCTTTGTACAAAGTCTCTCTGGTGAGATACGTAAAACAATGCGTACTACTTTATATTCCTTTATTACGATGCTAACTATAAAAGGAACACGATCTGTTATGTGCATTAGGTGTGTACTAAATGGTAACGTGTTTGCACGCCATATGTTTCTTATGACACAGATTTTAGTCTTAGATTTAACGATGGTTTTTTTCGCATTACTAGATACATTTAGGTACGCTACAAAGTAAAATGTGACATAAAATATTACATTAGAAAATGTTGTTTAAGTAATAATAGTCTATCTATAATAATTAATCTATCTACATTGACCTATTAACTCCTTAAATCCTTCTATATCAGTAGTAATAATTATATATATTGATTTCTAATAATACAAGCGATTCGGTGTGGCTTTGCATGGAGTAGACTATAGAATTTTCGAAAATAATATACTCGTATATTCTATGTTATTCGCTCGTAATGTAGCTTTCTACAGATGCAAGAATTTTTAAAATCGGTTGATATTTTTAACCATTACAAACAAACAATCAAATCGTTCCTCTTTATAATATTAGTATAATAATATAGTCAATTTCGTAGCGATTGTAGTGATTCATTTTGCAATTTATAGGATTTTCTTCCTTATTTGTTCCATACAATGTAGTCATTATTAAAGTCAGTTTTTTTGCGAAAGAAAATTTTCAAATATTTTTAATAAAAACATTGGTAAATATATATATATACCTACGAATGTAACAAGTAACAAATTTATGGCCATAGTAATTATCTTATGATATCTCGATGATCCGAGTTGAATCTAAGTTTTCTCACTGCAGATTATTAATGATGAAGTTCAAGAGCTTCCGACATAAATGTACTATTATTACAAGCCTATAAGACGTATTAAATATTTAGCATTTTAAAAAATCTTGTTGCTTATAGTCGCAAGTTGAAAACATACATTGTTAGTAATACGTATCTTCAGTGAGAGTTCCACAAAAAAACCGATTTTAATTGTATCAGAACCAATTATTTTGATTTAAAAATATACTACTGCATCGATTTTGATAAAATTTTTATTATTCGATCTAAAAGTATCTCATTTCAGATAAAAAAAAATGTTTAAACCGTTTAATAAACGACAGAGTTATAAGATAACAAATATAAAAAAATACCATCGAATTAAGAAACTATTCCTTTATTTGAAGTCGGTTGAATGAATAACTAATAATACAGTCTAATATTGTAGTAGCCTTAGAAATAACTACTAGTTAAAAATATAAATAAAATCATGTGTGTGTGTGTGTGTGTGTGCATATATATATATATATATATATATATATATATATATATATATATATATATATATATATATATATGTATATATATATATATATATATATAATATAATATAATATAATATAATATATTATCGATTTATTTCAATTAACGTACACTCATCAAAAGTGTCTAGGGATCATGTACGTTTTAGAGTATCACCGCAATTGAGGATTATTTTTTAACTTTTTTTAATCGTTATTGATTTTTTTTAGTGAATTTCACTATCTGAAAAATAGAATTTTCTTTACATTTTTATTAAAAATAGAAAACCAAATATCAAACACAATTCCTATAAAAGTGTCTAATAGCGTTTTTACAAAATCATTACAATTTGTACATTGGAACTGAAAAAATTGCATCGATATGGAGCAACGACATCATTTGGATCCGAGTAGAGATGATGAGAGCTGTCGGAATGTTGCAAGCTGATTCCCTGCAACGTACTGTGGCTGTCGCTCTTGACATTAGACAGAGCGTCATAAGCCACCTCTAGACACGTTATTGTATCGTAGGCAGCGTGGACGAGCAACATGGAGGACGATCTCGCATCACCTCTAACAGACAGGACCGATACATAGAAAATACTGCTCGATAGAATCGTACTATGACCGCTATGATATTGGCTACGAAGCTCCACCGCTCTTCAGGCTTACAGATAAGTGATCAAACCATTCAAAATCGTGAAGTGGGTCTGCGTTTTTGAAGGTCGTTGATAGTTCCACATATAGCAATCAATCCCATTTGGATCAGGGGAACCTTAATGGTCAGATTTATGAGGAGATGATCATTTCCGACGTGATCATCTTTTTTCGAAACCGGTTGGGTGATTCGTTTCTGCTTATGCACGACAATGCACGTCCATACAAGGCTAGAGTCGTAATTTCAATTATTCTTAATTTATACAAAATATTGGGATAATTTGTTAATTTAAACATAGAAATTAAAGTAAGAAGCCAGACTGGAAGAATAGATTTGGTAAATATGAATGGAATAATTTTTTATGTTGAAAATGTATTTAATCTTTAGTCACTTTTGATGCGTGTATATTTTAAGTTTATGCTCGATACTAAAATCGAAGTAAGATTACGAAGTATATAATAGTAATAATTTTACGCCATACTTTACAACGGTAATATTAATACTTTCGTTCTTATGCGTCTAATAATCGCTGCTATTGATGTGTGTACCACTTGTTATGCAAATAAGTCATATCATTTCGCTGTAAAAATAACAGTAGACATGAGAGGCTTTCTACATCAAAGCATCCACGATTGATTGGCTTTGCCCATGTGTAATTAGAATTTAATTACACCATAGCAAAAACGTTTTTGCCGAATATTCAACAACTCCACGAGAGTTTCACACGCGACTCGCGAGACTTTTTATATGATTAACAAACACATTGAGTGTATATGGAGCGCGTCGTCTAAACGTTTACATAATCAACGTATTTCATAAATACATAAGAAAATGTGTGAAACCAGAGATGTCGCGTATGGGTACAATAACCATGTACCTTGTAGATTATATCGCCATATTATGTGGAGTCTACAATTAAAGATTCATATATATATATAATATTTTAAGGAATTGCTATGCTTTGAATCATATGCCTTGTTCGTTCTAAAATGCTAAATCACATTACCTATAACACTAACATTACCACAGACAGGCAGTGAAAGTATCTCAAGTTATGACAAAAAAAGCAAAGATAAAGGGATTTCAACTGAGATAACAGACACAAAGGAACATAATGTTAATGAAATATGATACGTTGGGATATGAACAAATCATGAAGTAGGTACAGCAGTCAATATGCTTCTATTTAAAACTAGTTTATTTTAGGATAGGAGTAATGTATTATTTTTTACTAAAATAAGCCCATCTCTTACTAATGTAATAAAAATCTAACTAGACGATATACATGGGAGATATATATAAAAATTGATATGAGAGGTCTTACTAAGAACAATAAAAAAACCAGTGATACCACTATATCACTTCTAGATATCGTATTAAGATAAAACGTACACCCGATTTTAAGTTAGACTTTCAGAAACATAACTATGAAAACCTCATCCAATTTGGTCCAAACTTTGCGTGATACCGGGACAAACATACAGACAAGTAGTCAAAATTTCAAAAATTTAAGGTTTCGGCTTTTATTGGACATTTTAAAATTTCTCATATTAGATTTTCTTAAATATTTATCATGTATAGACATCATCTATTTGCAATTTTATTATATTACTAGCTCTTACCCACGACTTCGTCCGCGTGACTGTTTACTGACCGGGATAAAAAGCAGCTATATCCTTCTCCATTCTACGTAGTACGTGTATACTAAAGTATGCCATTATATATATAATGGTGTTATAAAGTAACAAACAGACTCACTTTTATATATTTATAGTATTAATAAGGATTATCACTTAAGTAAAGAATTTCTAATTTTTCTTCACGGCTGCAATTAGGACTATTAAATTGGACCAGTTTTACTTCGTGGTCGGCTTTTTAGGAGAGTTATCAAAAACCTTATTACAATGTTCAATGATTATCCACTTCCTACATAATTTTCTAATACCCACATGCTTCGAGTCTTTAAATTATAGATTGTAAGGCTATACAATTTATAAAAATAATTTACTTTCGCAGCAATGCGATATTTTTGTGGAATTGCAATTATCAAGCTCTATTTATATTAGTTTGACATTTAAGAAGTTTTAGTATTTGGTTTATTTAGGCACTGCGTGACTAAGCACAGAATTACAAAATTTAATATTTTACATACTAAGAATTAATTTTATTTGTTTTCAGCCATGGAGAGCTGTACAATCCGAGTCAATGTTACATCAATCTAAAACAACGAATTGGGACATGGCCTCATCTGATGAGTCTCATAAACGCCGAAGACCTGGTCGAAAGCGAAAACGACGCCCCATAGAATTAGCTACAGAAGAGGCTATATTAGAAAATAAATATGTCTACACTAATGAACCGTCACCGTCTTTTCATAAACCGAAATATATTAACTCTTACGAAGTAACAGATGCACCCAGGAGGAGACGTAAAAAAATTAATACAAGAAGCAATCGTTGGACTGATGAGTCTGTAGATACAGAAAAACCTGTACGTAGAAGAGGATATAGAAGGAAACGACCGACTCTAGAAACGTGGCCTCAATTAAGTGAGTTCTCTGGTCATCGGACAGATTCGTCTTCTATAGAAAGTGAGAAACTAGATGAATCAGATTTACAAATGGAAAGTAACGTATATAGTAAAGAAGATCGCGGAAGTCTGCCTTTCGTTAAAAGTAGAATTGAAAATGATGAAAGCAGAAATCTAAAGATTTCTGATATCACGCCAGCATCTGAAGATCGCGAAGTATTGGAAGTAGATACCAAGGATAATGTACAGAAACCACAAATGCTGGAAGATAAATCTTTATCTGAATTTTCTTCAGAAATATTTTCTGAGCCAAAAACAAAAGCAGAAGACGAAGTGGTAAGCAGGCAGAAAAAAATTAAGGAAAAGGCACTGAACATAAAAAATGATTTAGATAAATTACAGGTAAGTTTTAAAGTCTTACTATTCTTATATGTGAATTCCAGTTTGATGAAGTAACTTAGTATCGAATTTTTTAACAATAATATGATTTATTATTTACAGTATGATATAAATACAATATCCTATTTAAAGGCGACCAATTGTTATCTCCATTTTATTTATTTTTAATGTTATCATTTAGTATTTTTAGTGACTTTAGAATTTTGTATGAAGCTACAATAGTATCAATTGTTTTAGACTTAAATTTTTAAATATAGTTTATGATTTTTTTTATATCACTTAGGCGGCAAACAAGCATACGGCCCAACTGATGGTAAGCGGTTGATGATCTTCTCCAATAAATATAAAATCGTTGTATAGTAACTAAGTGGCGCAAATTGGTGCTCGTATTTTTAAATTTGTCTATATTAACGTTGCAATATTTCGAAATAGTGTAAATTACCAACATTAAATTATTAAATTTAATTAATTTGAAAAAGTACATTAAGTTTAGTTTCTGATGCGTTTGATTTTACAATGCATGCCGAAATGCAGAAAACTTAAATTTTTTTTTTTAGTTTATCACTTTTTTTTAGTTCATTGCTCTTGAAAGTAATTTCTTTATATTACAGCTTATAGGATTACAGTCATGAACATATAATTATTTATACGAATGTGTTGCATCGAAATTAGTAACAAATTAATATTAATAATTTAAATTCTAAGACAAATGTTTATTACCTCAATACAGACATAATTTACTTGACGTTAAAAATGAAAATATTGTTTTACGCTATAAAAGATTCAATAGAGAAATTTAAGTGCAATTATAAAGCTAAGCATTCTACTAGTTCACACAATTTAATATTAGCAAACAGGAAGAAAACATCCATGATTAAATGCAATAATAAAGTACGACTGATATATGATAGGAGGACGATAGATTCGAATTTCTTTATTAATGGAAGAGACGGTTGGGCGTATACGTATACTTTATTATGTATTTGTATTAACGAAATAATAGCAATCAATAGCTCATATTTAAACTTCATAGTATTTTAATCACTATAAAAAAGAAAATAATTGTTAATTGAATGCAATTTCATAGAATTTTAATCACTATAAAATACTTCTGTATTAAAAAATAATTCAAATTTTTACTGTTCCTTTTAAACAAAACTGGAAATTCCGAACAATATTTTGTACATAAGTCGATTATATGGGATATCTTACTCGTGTTTCTCTGTCGCCAAGGGGTTGTTTTGTAAGGCATTTTGAAATACATAGTTTATGATAAGGCAACGTAGAAGGGCTGCCATTGCATCACCTTGTATTCTGATATCCATATTGCTAATTATTTATTTATTTAGGCGAACATTACCTTTAATTTCCATTACGTGGACAATGAGTGTGTCATTCCAAGTTGTAGAAAAACAATTGGCTAAAGTAAATTGAGCTGTTATATCTTGGCTATCTAGAAGTTAATATGAATATAAATTTTTTTTGTTACCTTTTTAGTAAGTTTCATGTATAATGAATATTATTATGCTTCAATTATTATAATATTATTGTGATTAACTAATAAATAAATAGAATTCTAACATGACGTTAAAAAAATAGATACTAAATTAATAATATAAACTAAAATAATTAATAATAACCGTTAATAATTTTCAGGATGGCGGACCTATTGATCCACTTACTTTAAAAGAAATATTAAAAAGATCAAATGGAACAAGTTTAAGTGAAATTTTACAACAACACAATTTGTCTCTTGCTGATTTACTTCATGGAAAAGAAAATGTTTTATCGATACTGAAAAAAGATGCGTCCTCTTTGGAACAGGAAAACAGTCGGCCTGTCCTAGATCTTGAAGCAGATGTGCCTTTAATTACGAAAGATGAAACAGAAGAGAATTTTAAAACATTACCACCCATTCATGATCGAACGGAAAATGCAACTGTTAATAGAAATGTTTCGACTATGAACCTAATACAAAATCTAAACAATACTAATAAGGAAATAGATTTAAATCCTATACATCCCAAACAAGGAATAAATATAAACGAAAATATCAAAATTAGACAAAATAGAACGCGATTTATGAACAGACGACGTTATCCTTTAGGTATTCGTAAGAAATTACGAATGAGACCAATGGTAAACAGTACATTTAAAAATCAACTAAGTAGAGATATGATGGCTTTAAATGTAAAAAGGTATTATAACAGAAGAAATGATACTAAATCTCAACAATGGAAAGAGATAGTACCATTGATAAAAAACGTTAGTATAGACAATGAAATAGATGATAACACAGAAGCTATAGAAACGACAACAGTATTTATAACAACTGAAGACACAACAACAGTATTAGATTCGGAAACGTATCCTTCTACAGTTACTGAGGATATTAATATGAATGTTAATGAAAGCAAGAATGCCATTGAAATATCTAACATAGATATGACAGAATCTACTACGACAGAAATAGGTACCACCGAAACTGTTACAGATTATATCATAACAGACAAACCGATAACAACGCCAACCGTGCAATTACTTAACGCTTCTACAATAAGACGACAAGCGCATAATAATAGACTAAAAAAGAAACGCTTAAAACAAAAGATTTCAACAGTAACGACGCCTCGAGATAGTATAGTAAAAAGTAACATCAGTACTGTTGATACATTTATATCATCAGAATTTATCGCTAAAGCTAGACCAGATTTAAACACTATAGATGAAAGGCAAAATTTTGAAGTATTAGAAGATTTTCTAACCACATCGTCTTCCAAAAACGTTGAAAACAATGCTATTTTAAAGGAAACTTTTTCGAGCAGGCCTTCAATTTCTAGAGTTTCGTTATCAAGTACTACAGAAGAAACAGCTAAATTTGAAATTGAAGAAATATTAAATGATACTCGCAGTAAGTATTTACAATACAACAATTTACAAACAATGTTAATCTAAGAATTTTAGACATGAGACTCATTTAATAATAATTTTTGTTTGTTTTATTACAGCTAGCGCGAGACTGTCGAAAATATTAATGGAAAGAAATATGACTTTGAGTGAACTTGTAGAACACAGAGAACGAGGATCAAGTCATGTTCATTTGGCAGATATATTTCATAATGCATCCAGAGAACCGAACCCTCCTGAGCCTTTCCTCTCTAAATCTCTTATAGAACCAATATCAAAAGAGACATATCCATTGAGAGCTTTATTAGATGCTAATTTGCATGATCCTGTAACTAAAGTCACTACAACAGTTCCTTTACAATTACAGGAAAAATATATGAATATACCTGTAGTCATGAATTTCGGTAATAATGTCAATGAGAATGCAGAAAATATGGGTATAATGTCATTATTTAACAATTTTACAAGTAATGATACAAATACAGTAAGTAAAGTTTTACAAAAAGATTCACAAGGGGCACTATACGAATCATCTGTAACAACTATAAATTCCACAAATATAAATGATGGAGTAAGGGAAGGACGTTTATTAAACGATAGCCAGGATTTAATGAATTGGAAAGAAATATTTTCAATGATAAGAAAAATTGGTAGCAATAAAACAGAAAAAAATTTAGATACTTACACAAAAGGTAATTAATAAAATATAAATTATAACATATGTTTGAATCTACCATTTTTGTTAATTGCTTCTCTCTGCCTACTCCATAAGGGACTTGATATGAAGACATATTTCTATACATAAAAAGAAGCTATTGTAAAATAATAATCCAGGCTAATACTAATTTCAATATTTCAGAATTATTGCCATCAGAAACCTACAAGAAAATCACATTAAAAGAAGATATTGATGGAGATGGATTGATAGTTCTGGAAGATTTGCAACATCTTAGAGATTTTGATAGCCATATAGCACCTGATTCCAATGAGAATCTGCAAGTGAATTCTTATGAAGAAACAGATGTGCCTACAAAGCCAGGTATCTTAGATAAAATACCCTATAACACAAAGTCGGTCACAGTTGCTATCGCGAGTATCGTAGGTCTTGCAACAATTTTGTTTTTGTTAACATATGCTACGTTTAAGTGGCGACAACAGAGGAAAAGACATAAAAGGCGTAGTTTTTGTGACGGACGTATCCCCACTCCTGTTTTTGAAAATAGAAAAGGCAATAAAAATAACAGCAGTACACGAAGTATCAGTCCAATGCTCTCATCTTCTAACATTTATACAATGAATACAGTAGATTCACATCACGGAAAGGATTCTCCCGAATACATGTGGGATACATTAAGAAAACCATTTCAATAATTAAAGTATTAGACTGAGCTTGTAAGTATAAGGGTTTGTAATACAGTAATTCAGAATTAATAAGGGCCTTTTTCACAATTAGTAATTATATTAATAATTATGACATAAAATGTGAAAAAGACTTTTTGTATTGATTTAACGTAATTTTAACCTAGTGACCTGATTTTAATATATTTAAGGCAAATGAAGTAAGATCATATATGTTGGTTTTCTTTTATATTTATCTATAAATTATGATAATATTAATAAGCTAAAACAAACTTGATCTATTATATTTTATTTGACATATACTAAATTTGCGTCTTCAGTATTACGTGAATGTAATGTGAGATATCATATATAAATTCTGTGTGATTTCAAATTCCATAGCTCCTATTTAGGATAAAATAAAAGTAATTCTTTTATGACAGAACTCTACTATTTTTATTTCTTACCTGTAGTTATCAAATGTGAAAATTTCTTGGAGATTTTTCAAGACTGGTATATTAGAAGTATGTATTTTATTGTAGAAATATGCATATTGTCTTGCAATACTTTTATAAAGTTTTAGAGCTGACTCAAAAGCTGGAGAAGGCTGTGTGATAGAAAAAAAAAATATTGTAACTACAATACCACAGAAAAACGTAAGACAAGCTTAAAAATATTAAAACCTAAATTTATAATTTGAGTAAAGTCAATTTATTACAGTTAAAATAAATATCTTCTCTATAAGATTGATTATTAACTCCATTTAAATCATGACCTAACAAGCCTTTAACATTCCTTTGCTGGACAGGGAGATAGATCGTTATTACCATGTTGGCTAGGCGGTGGCGAGATATAGAGTATTGATTCCAGTTTACTTTTTCTTGGACTTATCTATTATGCATTGCACCTCTAGTTACTTTAAGAAGCAATAAAAAATAATGAGAGGGATTTTCGATAAAAACCTATCACATTTATAAGTTTATAAGCAAAAAATTAAAAAAAATATATAAATATCCATATCATTTGCATTTTTGTAGCAGATTTTTATAATATAATCAATAATGCAAACTATATATATTTAAAAAATTCTAACATTCACCAGAATTAAAATAGTGGTTAAATATTCATTTTTTTAAGTACAATTAAATGTTAAATTAGAAATTCATAACAAACATTAAATGAGTATAAATAATATCAGAAAATATTACCCTGAGTTCAGCTAGTTCTTCAGCGGTGAAGTAAAGGATGGTTGAATATTTTTCTGGCAGAATATCAATATATGGCTTCCAAAAAGAATCTGAAATCAGTAAAACAGAAAAATTTAACTTAAATACAGGTAAGTTTTATTTTTATGTTTCTTATAACATAAAATATCTAGAATTTTATATTTTATTTACTAAAAAAACTCTTTAATCATAACAAAATCATTATGAGATCTAGATGGTAGAAAAATCTATGGAATGCAAAAAAAACACTGAAATTGATTTAGGGTGAGTGACTGTGTTATACATTTTTATGGAACTTCATTATAAACTGAACAACAGAATAAAGAGTAGGTATAAAATCAAAACCTTAAATATGTGAGAAATTTTATTCACTACAATGATAACAGTTAAAAAATATCTTCCACTACCATATATGTAATATTAAAATCTTTTGATTATTTAAACTAGCAAGACCTATTAATGTAAATCATACTGAAGAATGTTACTGAAACATTACACTTTAATGTAAGTACTAAAATGGAGTAAAAAATTTCAGGTCCCTTGACCAGATAGATGAAACTGATTATATTTTTAAAATTTTTACTTATTTTGTTAAATTGTAAGAACTAAAGGCACCAAACATAATCTCTTTATTTATTTAGTACTCAGCATGTTTAGTAAATATTATAGCTTTTTAATTGAACATTTGTTAATAATTAATGTTATAGTGAATGTCACTGTCTCTAATACAGTAGTACAGACGGGAGAAAGGATTGTTAGTAATGGGGATTAGCAACCTCATTGCTAGCAATAAATCCTATCAGTTCGACCTCCTCGCAATGCCCCTTTGAAGTCATTGTGATTGATTTACTGTTAAATTCATCATGAAGTAGCCCTTCATATTGAATTTAACAGTAAATAAAACTACTAACCTTCTTCATTCTCACTTATCATCCTTCATTGATTAAATCAACAAAAAACTTTTTAATTTAGTTGTTTATTGAATGCACTGTTATTTTAATAGAAAGGTAGTTTTTTTAATTATTAGGGGCTTTTATCTTTTTCAGGTCTATCAGCCATATCATACTCTGAACTGATTTCTTAGATACACATTTGTTAACTTTGCCTGCTCGCAGAAAGAGGAATTAATAGGCATCAATAATTTACAGAGATGTTAAAAAAATGTATAAGACCAATATTTATTTTATTGAGGTGACAGTAGCACACAATTCCTCTTTTAATTGAATTTATACTACACTGTAATAGTATGTATTGCACATCATATATAGTATCACAAATTTGGTTTACTAACTATAATAAGTATATAGAAATGGATAGTAGGTACTTAATAAAATGTTCTAACTATGCAAATTATGTACAGAAATTAAATTACTTGTAAAGATATCCATTCTATGTGACTAATTTACTATTAAAAACATAATTTTATATTGGTTTTAGTCATGTTTTCTTTCAATATGACTAATTAATAATTAGAAAAATAATTGAATACAGAATTAGATGCTCATGATTACCTGGATTATTTTTTTCCAATAATAAAAATAATGACAATGTTATGTTGGGCATATTTTGTAGAAGAGGATCCACACTGATAAAATCTGATAGTTCAGATTCCTTGGCATTTTGTACAGTCAACATAAGTTTACTGGGCACTGTGAGCAATAGTGAACCCTCTTTAAAGTTCTTTGTTGCTTTTAAACCAAATTCATAGCCTTCAAATTCACCAATTTCCACACCTGTAATATTTGTTAATACATAATTATTATATATTATAACAAAAAATATTAAGTAATTATTGTTGTATGTAAAGTATAAAAACTATAATTTATAAAGAAAGGTGGATGTTATAATTTTAAAAAATAATATGCATAATCAATGGAATTTTTCAAAAAAGAGTTCAGACTTCTGACAAATAAATGCAAATACTATATGTAAATTAATATTATATGAAACTATCTACATTAATAGTGATACATGTCATATTTTTGATGTAAATATTTTATACTAAAGTTAGTGGTTTAATTGTAGGTAACAGTGAGTAGTCATAGGAGTATCTTATGAAATATATTCACGGCACTACATAAACACAATATATTATAATGTTATTGAAAGAATACCTTCAAATGTAGCTACATTTTCGTTTAACCATTTTAAGAAATTTTCTATATTTAAGTGACGTGGATTTTGTTTTGTTTTAATATTGAATGGTGCTTCAATAATTAATATTTCTTTGATGACTGCTTCAATTTGTTTGTGAAGTTCCCAGCTATTTCCAATGTTAGACACTTGAGTTATTATACTTGTTAATCGAAGTAGTTTATCCGCAAGAATCGCAAGTTCTTTGCGCTTTTGTACTATTCTATTATTTTCCCTGTTAGCATTCTTTTTAGAACTTAGTTTTGACTGTGATTTTCTTCCCATTGTGTTAAATATATTACTGAAATAATACAGCCACTATTTAATAGAAGAAATCTATGTCAACACCAGATTTATGAATATGTAAAACGTGCGAAAAAACTAAAAATAGTTTCTAAAAAAATTTAAACATTTGCACAATTCCATTTCCAAGTGAAATGAAAGATGAGATGATATGACTTGACCTCGAGATGACAGTGACAGTTGACGTTGACAATGACATAATCTTCATACTTTTATTTTTTATCTTCAACTTTATGATAAATAGGTAAAGGGAATAAAGCCCATACAGCCTAGTCTGGTATGTATGTATCTAGGTCTAAGAACATTGAATTCCGAAATCTAGGCTGTAGGTAGTTTTTTTTTATGAAATTTATAACTAGATATTAAATCTGCTTGACTGTGTTCTTGATGAAAATATAGATAGAAAGATAATTATCTTTTAGTAGCTCTATAGTGTAGTTCGAGAACTCTCTTTTGGAATTAAAGATGATTTTCCGTAGTCTAATTATTTATACTAAGTAAGCAGGACAGTTGGTAATATTTTTATTATAATAGCGACATCGAGATATGCAAAGAAATATAAACAGGTGTAGGTGTACAATCTATAATTTATATTTCTTTGGCATAATCATTACATATAACGTATTGAAATATGTTTCCCCATTGACTATCTAAAGTAGCTTTTCCCAAAATGAGCAATAACGCCCCCTTGTAGGCGCTGCAGGCCTAAAGGGAGGCGGTAAGAGACCCAGAAAAAAAAATGGGGGCGTTGTGTAACACACAGGTGCCACGCTAGTATGTACCCACAGCGTTGGCGTGATTAGCATTACCAGTAACCCTCTCTTTTCCTTTAAAATATTAGTGTAGTATCATATTATCTGTATCCGGGACGTGTGGGTCTCCATGATGGATTTTGAGGCTAAAATTAAAAAATAAAATGTATGAAATTTCATAATCAACGAAATAATAAGATTATTGACCTCTTTATGAAACATAAGGGACACATCATTGCTAAAAGTAATGAAGTTAGAGTTCTAGGTATAATACTAAACAATTATTGTATATGGAAGTCGCATATACATAGACTATGCAGTAAAATTAATATATTTGCATACGTCTTATGGCGTATAGTTAATATAACTGATATAAAAACTTTTATTAGCATACCATGGGCATGTAACTTCTATTCTCAGACATTGTATCTTAATATACAAGTCGGTAGATGCAAAACAAGCTTTCATTGCCCAAAAAGTGTATCCGTTCTATATGTAGAATATCTCAGAAAACAAGCTTTAAGACATTAAAAATATTGCCAGTGCCTAATGTATATTCGTAAAAAAGCACCTATATTTATTTGAAATAAACTGTAAGGTAATTTACAACTACCGTAGAAGATTCCCTAATAAACTGGTGCTGCCCGTAATGTCAAGAACATTATATAGTGACACCCGTTACCCGATAGCAATACCGTTCTACAATAAGTTACTTTCGGAAATAAAAAATCTTCCGATAAAGAGATTTTAAACAATATTATTTAACTTTCTTTTATTTTTATCATTTTTAGTGACATTATTATTTATTTTTTTATTTTTCATGACTGTGACATTGAAAATTTCTAACATTGATAATTGATATTGTATTTAATAAATTTATTGAAGAGTTGTATAACATTTATATGCGACGATGAAACATAGCTATCAAATTTATTTTTATATATAATATCATGTAACTAAATACTTATATTTATGCAAATAAGACTTGAAAAACGAGAGTAAGTATTATTATTTTTACTGTAGTTATTATCAAAAACAAACAAATCCATGACACCCCTTTATATCTATGGTAAGCTACAAACTAGGTAGGTACTTTTAATGACGCCCTGGTTTATGGGATGTCAGCTCGTAAAGACCTAGGGAGGCAAAGTCAGTTCACTGTAAGTAATTAATTTTGCCCGAAGCAGCAAAATACTTTCCACTCCACACCTTATTTCTTCTATGCGTTATCTACACTACTAATCAAGGTAAGTGAGTTTTGAACACACTTTGATCTTAGTAGTTAGAAATAATACAATAAAAATATTTTTCTCTTGCCATTGAAAAAAAAGAAAACATCTAAGAAAGCGCTTCAAATAAAGTTACGAGACAATGTCACAGTCGATTAGACATTGACTGTTAAACTTTGTTTGGCTGGCAGTGGCAATGATGCCGCGCTCACTTGGCAGCTATGCGCTCAGTTCCTCGAAAAGTTATTTGAAACCGCCCCAGATTTCGAATTATGAAAGAATTGCCCTCCAAATTATTTGCATTAAGAAACTTTTCAGCTGCGGCAACATGATTAATAGAAGACTCGCCTTCCATATTTTAAAAATATTAAGAGACGGGAATTCACGTTATCTTGTAGACTTGTAAAATAACATTTTAAGTAACATTAGCTAGACATTTCAACGTTATCATAATCGGGTTTATTTCCACTTCTTGGAATCTTTCAATAAAAAAAGAAAGAGAAAGACTTCATTACAGTGGGCCAACTGACTTGATTTCATTCTCATTGCTTCATCTGCCACTAGTGCTTCGTATTTGTATAAAATGGATATATGCTGCTAAATTTAATCTTTAGTCATTCAAAAGAAGCCGTGTAGGTACCGGCATAGAATAGGCCATCCTTTCCTTTCTCGTGGGTGTCGTAAGAGGCGACTAAGGGAGCTTATGATAGAGGGACGGGCAGCAGCGCCCCTCTTAAAACATTCCTAAAATTCTAACTGCGGTGGCCAACCCGCTTACCAAGCGCAAGGCTACTACTGGCAAAACCCCCCTAATGTTGGTTAGAGAAGGGATTGTTAGTAATGAGGATAAGTAGCCCATTGCTAACAATATACTGTATCAGGTCGATCTCCTCGTGGTTTCCCGTGGAAACCATGATGATTGATTTATTGTTAGATTCCTCACGGTGGAGTAACTGACCTGCTTCATCTGCACTTGTCATCCCTCATTGGTGCCCAGTGTATATCGATAGTACAGGCGGTATCATTCCATTATCATCCATTAAAAAAAAATAGGGGAAATTATATTCAGCAGTGGACAGTTAATGGCTGATACAACACTATTTAAAAGAAATTGACAAGCTCACGACGTACAAACTGTACAGTTGGTAATTGCGTAGATACTTAGTTTATGTGCCATGTAGCTAATATTTGAATACTAATAAACCTAAGTACCTAATGAGTGCGGAATGCAAATGAGTTCAATAGGGTATAGTTGTTATAAAGTGTAGATAGATTGGGTTATCCCATGAGGTAACAGTCTGAGCATCTGGTAGGTATACTAAGTCAATGTCAGTTAATTCCCATTATACACTCGGTAATGTACTGCTTGCATAATTTGAATGAAATGAAGTTACCTTTAGAGTTTTAAGTAGACGAAATATGTTTTTTGTCCTGGTTTTACCTATTACAAAAAACTTTGTGTCGTCCCACCTGAATGTTAAAGATTCTAATACGATAAATTGAGCACAGGCCACGGCTATTCAAAAGATACTTATGCATTAATTAATTATTAATGTCCATTAATTTTTAGAGCTCTATCAAGATAAAGAGAAAAAAAAAAGAGAGAGTGTAAATTATCTTCAAAATAATTTTAGTACTGATTGTAAATTAAGAATTCGGTAATTCCATCCGTGTAGCGGCATCTCTCTTAAAACATCACCAAAGCTTAACTGTGGTTGCCAACTCTCCTGTCAAACGTAGCAATTACTGGCAAAACCCCCAAGGAGGAGGCCTATGTTCAACGGTGGACATTGATTCAGACGGTGCATTGTTTACACATATTTAAATACACTATCGGGACTAATCGTGATAGTGTGTCTAATTATGATATGAATGTCTATTAGATAAACTTTTTTTTTTATATATACTAGGTCTACCTGATAAAAGTGATAATTGTTGCATACATTTAGTCAAGAGTAACACCACAAAAATAAGAATATGAAAATATTAGAAATAATATGCGCTTTTGGCACCTAGCGTATAGCGTTGCTCGACCTCCTAAGGACTAATGTGTTATGTCTCTCTTGAGCAAGATTACACTAGCAATCTTCAGAGTCCAGATTAAAATAACAACCTATATATTATTTCTTCACAGTGGAAGTGTGTAATATCATAGTGTAGAGAGTCTAAGGTATTTTTTTATACTGTGGTAATGCGTTGAGTACATGCCTAAGACGAGTAATATAATACTCTATAGGTACAAATATTATCAAAAAGTACGCATAGATCACCTAATTACGGAAATGTGAAATATCCATAAATTGGATCTCAAGTATTCCTAAATATATATACATATATTAATTCACCAAAGTTTGACCAATACAGTATATGTTTTAAGAGAAAAGCCATCTGTTTGATGGCTCTGGACTTCCAGTCAAGAATCGAGTCGTAAGTGATGTCTTTAAAGAAAGGTAAAGTTAGTATAAGAAATAAAAAACACTACCCAAATATCGTTTGTAATTTTATGATTATTAGTTCCAGAAAGATTATGTAAATATACTAACCTATGTTATATTTATGTTGCAGCATGTCGAATCGCCGCAAGAATTCCTATGCGAAACACCTTTCATAATGAAGTCAGCACTAGACCTAGGTTAGGTTTAAAGTTTCTCCGCGTAGTCTAATGTCTATAATGCGTTGAAACATTTAAGCTGATTGAGAATTCTATTACAGGCTATGAGCTCAGCACTCGTGGAATATATTAGCGACGCGTGAACTTTATGCAAAGCTTAATATCTTATACCGTTTAAAGGCGGCTAAGTACTTCAAAGAATTTAATCTATAAATGCTTCAATAATATACCTGTTCAATTAAATTTATTCTTGCTTTTATGGATTTTGTAATTGCATTACGTAAACTTCGTTATAAACAAGATTCTGTTAGTATTTAAAGTAAGTAGCTGCTCACTTATTTTTATCTACAATAAATCTCCATGTAATCTCCATAAAAATCGTGTAACCATATAGGTTAGATGATTTCTATATAGTGTTAACTATACCCATCATGTAATAGTCACTATTTTGTTGCCGTACTAGTAGAGTCAACTGCTCCGTTTCACTGTCCATCTATAGGTATCGTACCTAATAGATAAAAAAGTAAAATAATCGATATATAGGCAAGCATATTGTTAGTTAGGACATTGACGATACAAACCCTCCTGATATAGGTAGTAACTATTTTAAATATATAATCGGGACTTATTGCGATTTAAAATATGTGTAATTAATGCGAAAGTTTAAAATTAACTATAGTAAAAACTATTGACAAAATTTCTTGAGAAATGCACCAAGTAAAAAGAGGAAAATGCATAAAGTTAAAACCTCTCCGTTCCCAGCGGATCTTCTTGATCTCGAAGTTGAACATGTTGTAGGAAAACGATGTATGAGGAGGACAATACTTTCATAAACGATAAAGAACCTCTATATCTTAGATTATACAGGTAAAATTGCAATCGTCAGCGACACGTAAACTAAGAATCTGGACGAAGTAAGAAATATATCGTATCGTCCTTTTTGTCCTCAGGAACAGAGTGACTAAGATAAGATTCCTATAAAGAAAGTTGCTCAATGCCAATCACTCAATGACAGTGGAGTAGACTTATTATGACGTACCTATATGATAATGAAAGATAATTATTATGGTGGTTCCGTTATAATTATTGTAGATACTCAAATTCATACATAAGACCTCTAAATAGGTTTCAGAGGTGTTTCCTCTCTTGAATTCTCAGGTTCTCGAATGAATTTTCAGCCGAGATTTTCCCTAGGGACTGCAAAGTGGTGTTCTTTAGAAACGGCGTAATGAAATATCTTAAAAGCTGGTAACATGTGATTGTATTAATGGATATTGTCTACGGTAATCGTATACTGTCAGATGGGCTGTATGCTTTTTTGTTAGTAACAATAGTATATAAAAAAAGATATAGAATAGAATTTGTTAAAATGGTTTATATACGAAATCTATGAATAAGAGTGGTTACTTGGTTAATAAATGTAAGTTTGCTTAATGACGACGCCGTAACTACATGCTATCCAAAGTAAGAAACAATATTTTTTTAATGATCCAAACTTAAATTTCACATCCATTAAAACACTATTCTTAATAGATTAATCCTGAAAATCGATAGAAGTAAACGCCTTTCCATGTAAATTTTACAATATAATGGTATCTACCTTTATTCCGTTACATATTTATTTTAGATAAAATTATCTTTATAATCTAAGTAAGTACTATAAATATTGATACAAAATCTTAAAATATTACTTTAAAAATTTCTCTAAGGTCACTGCCAATTGATAGAGTACCTAGGGGACTATAATATGAAATATAAGATATAATATATGTAATTTAAATATTTAGTCACCAATGACTAATATATTAATACCTAAACTTTTGTTTACATGCATCGAAAAGCTTCCTTCATCTATATTATTAGCTGGAATAATAATGGCTAGAATGAAATCATGAGTACTTTAGGTATGACAAAAAAACTGGTTCAATGAGATAAAACTACTTTAATACCTATATGAATAATATACTTCAAACATAATATATAAGAAGAATTAGAATACGATCTGTTAAGAAAAGCTAACTTACACTACCTAATGTCATTAAAATGTTATGTTTCTATGACTTGAAAGTTAAGACTGAATTTATTGAAGATTATCTTTTGTTTACGAAACTCACCTTAATAATATCCTTTTAAATCATATATGATTTTAAATAAAAATGTACAAAAAATAATATCCAATTATGTACACCATATTGGCATTATTTGACAAATACCTTTGACTGTAATCTTTAAAAAAATATTACATATGACTATATTATATTTATACATATTATATTATATTATATTGCATAGTAGTAAGTATGTTACTTTTTGTAAATAATGTACAGAGTTCGGTTCATATTTAGGCTAATTTTGGATTCGCTCTATTTATCTTAAGCTTAACTTGCTTCGAATTGTGTTTTATTGTTATTTGATTGTTATGTCATTAAAATGACACATACCCCAGAAAAAGCCCTCCATTTTGACAGTTGGGTAAAAATAATGTTAAAGGTCTTAAAACAAATAACTTAAACTTAGTTATTACTTTATTTGTGTGTCATCCCACTTTCGTACTAGTGATGTGATCGTTGGCCGTGGCGTCATAAATGACGCTCTTAATTTGTGACGACGCGAATACAACTTGTGTGTTGTGCAAAAATACGTATCGATATTTCGATTGTCGAAATATTCTAGAATATTCTATAAAGAAATAAAATATATCCCAATTACAAGGAATAATTTATGTATATTGGTAGAAGAGTTTTTTAGGGCTCGTCTGGGTAAGTACCATGGTTATATCTATCCCTGTCGTAAAACAGCAATATCTACGTTTCAATCAAATCAGTTGTGGAAGACATTGTTGGCACAGTATTCTCTGTGATGCATGTTAGATTACCACTTTCCACCAGTTGAATTTCCATCTGATTTATCATTTGATATTCGTAATTTCATAGATAACTTATCTTGCTATCTCATAACATGTCATGACGAGTTTTAAGTTAAATGCATACTTTTTATTATGTTTAATATTTGGAGGCCACGATTAGGTACTGTATTATTAAATCACGATTTACTAATACTACTTCATATACAATACTGTACAGGGTCACAAGGATTAGATGAAAAGTGCGTTCTCATAATTGGAAGCGTCTTCTAGAGAGCTTAACTTAAGATATACTTAATAAAAAAAAATATTTGATGTCATTACATAACGTACAAAAGCTTTTTTATCGACATTTTTAGTTGAACACGAAATCACTAATCGAACGTTAGAAACGAATCATCGAATCAATTACGAAGGATTACATCACCGAAGGATTGAGTCATGGCCGATGTCTATTACATGTTGGTTAGGTCCTGTTGTCCGTGGGCTGCTGATCCTTTAGTCATCATGCCAAACCGTGTAAGTCACTACTGACCGCAATAATGTAAACAATCATTTTGTTAGCGCACATCTGACGTTCACGATGATAAGTGATGTTTAGGGTTTTCGATCTTTGATCAAACAACAACAAAAAAATTATGTGAGACTCCTCGTTCGAATCGATTTAACGATTCGAATACAGAATAAAATAATCGGTGTCTAAAAAATTAAATATCGTTAATGTCTGTTGATATTTTCATAGTGGGTCTCTATACTTGTGTTTAGAAAATCATGCAGATCTAAAAGTAGGTACATTTTACTTTTTCTTAAACTGATCTTATAGTAAAGTAAACATTAAAATTTTAGTCTTTTTAAATAACTTTAATTATAACTCTATTTTTAAAATCCAAATATCAAAACTATTTTATCAATCTTTAATCTGTTAACTGCAAATGATATAAATAGATAGATTGGTATATCGAACATTAGATAGATCGAATAATTTATTAAAAAATCGAGTACCTACCAAAAAATCGATTTTCGATTAACTTGAATTTAGGTCGGAAACCCTAATAATATTCAGTACAACGATGCACTCCGGTCGTGTGGCGTCGCAATTTTATCACCCCCACAATTCCGGTGTAACATGACTCCCGTTCAAGGAGAAAATTGAATATTCTAGTCGTTTAACCTATCACATAAGGAGTCGCCCACACATATAATCTTGTGCAAGGTTTACTTTCCTATCCGTATTTATTGTAATGTATGGCAGATTATCCTATAAAATGATAGTGACCACTCCTTATTCTAGGCAGGTACTTAGTATACTATGGTATTATCTTTCAATATTTGCATTAAATACGACTGTTTAGTTAATATTTACTTGACTCAAACTGATATTTTCTCTCTATGTCGTTGTTTTTCGAGACTGTAAAGAAAAGATCGTAAAAGCGAATGGAATATGTTAATTAACTAGATTGTAAATTCTCCTGATGTATTTTGTCGATATCTCAAACGCACAATAATAAAGCTGGTGAAAGCGAGTTTGATTGTAGTTTTCTGACACATTATCTCAGTTAATCGACATGAAATTTACTAAGAAACTTTTTTTTATGAAACTTGGAATGGATAAACAAGCTGACAACGGACCTGTTTGAAAGTGATGAACTGGATATATAGTGATAAACAATAGGTATAGTCACCATGAACATCACCGGTACTGCCATGCTCATGGTATCCATCATTTAATACCATTCCTGAGGACTAAAGTATTATTCATGTTTTAGGTTGTAGGTATTATTATGATTATATTCATCACAATTTTCATATTTCAGTAGTATTTCCATGATACTAAAGAAGAGCCTCTGTATGACCTCTTTGTTTAATATCTAAATCCTTTGCTTTATAGTTCCGGAGATTTAATAATTAGTCCTTGATATACATAGATTGTACCTTGGGCTAGGCGGATTATAGTTTTGCATGGTTATGTATGAGTCGATTAGTCATAAGATATTTATAACTATTAAACAATGTGTGAGTTTTTATGATATTTTTTTTTACAAATAATAAGACGATTGAAACGGTAATCCGTAAATCTTTGCATTCTTCTCTATTTAGGTAATGGCAATTAAATTTAAATTTATTTTCGGATTAAATATTACGCGAGTACAAAGAAAACATATTTATTTTTAACTGCAAAATTTCAATTATGATTATAACCAAAATTTTGCAGTTATAGATGTAGTCGAATATCTTTTTTGAAAATAGCTATTTTTTTCTACTTTGACAGTTATGTTCCCTTTGATCTAAAGGCGAGAAGCTAAGAGGCTACGTTTTCAGGTAGCAATCTTGCTATAAGGCTGTTAATGTGACTACACGAGAATAAATACTTGCATTTTTTCAGTAGAAAAATATGTGTTTGAAAATATAATATTCAAAATATTTTATCAATATACATTAGAACTTTCAAGGTTCTGTAAAATTTGTGTGTATTTCAACGGCTTAAATTTACTTACTGCAAATAAGTGTTTATCAAGTTACTAAATATTTTTCAAAGAGCTTACATATTGAGAATATGTATGTATGTATCGCCTCTTCATTTATTTTAAATGTCAAGGACTAGCAACTCAAAAATCTACTTTACAAGGCAAAGCTTGGACCATTACTAGCAAGGAGTTAATTTATTAACCACTTCAAAGGAGGAAATTCTTAATTCAATTGTATTTTTATATGTATCTTTTTTAATATGTATTTTATATGTATATCGATTATGAGATATCATCATCAATTACGCACCATTTTCAGGGATTTTTACAAAAGACAGGATCTTCAGTTCGTGTAGAGTTAGGTAGGGGTAATTTATCTTATATTTATTTCAAACTATTTTTGCCACAAGTCAATTTAAGACTGACCTTTTGGGAACTTTTCGGAAACTTGTGGAACTTAATTTATATTATACTTTACAATAATATAATAAGATTTTAGAATCTGGTAGTTAATTGTATTACTGCAAATACGGTTAACCAGTATAACAACTTTTGTTTTCTGATAATGTCAATTGTTTTGTCGATGATCAGTACAGTAAAATAAACTGTTCAAAATATACACATATTTCAATATAATATATACTATTAAGTAGATAGAGCGATTAGCAATTTATTTTATAGAAGATTGTAATAAAAAATCGAACTTTTGAGTGGGCGGAGTAGTCGACAAAGCTTCAATATTCTTATTTGATTTTTAATAAAAATACTTTTAAAACAAACCGACGGTCATTACAACTATAACCTTGTAGGCAATTAGTAAAATATTAAATATTTGATATTTAATGCAGATTATTTATTAAATGATTATTTTACTAAGTGGTTCAGTCTTCAGGTGATGGTTTATGCTAATTTTGATTTGCGTATCAAAGAGAACCGAACTATTTTAAATGTAAAGTCAATTTGTTTGAATACATACGCTCACTAAATATTTAATTAACTGCGATAGTTAAAGAGCCAAGAAGTTTAACTATGTATAAAACTACTGACTATATATAAGCAGTATCTTGCTGCTATTTATATGTATATATTCCAAAAAAATTTTAACAAAAAATAAAGATTACCTTTAGAGAAGGTTAAAAATGCGTACACCGATTTAAAATAAATTTTGTGTACCTCAAGGAAGTGTATTAGGTTCAATTCTAGATAATATTAAATATCCGGAATGACACTTGAGTTGAATACTTACTATCAATCATAATAATGATAATAATGGGAAGTCAATAACAGTTAAACAGCGCTGTCTATTATTGGCATCAAGTTAGAATGCAAGTTATAACCATATTTTTTCTCTGTCGCATCCGGTTCATGTTACAAACGTAATTTATGCAACCCAATTGAAGCGTTAATTATTATGTTTACCATACATAATTCTTTTGCAAACTCGTCGTATTAATCAGATAGACAATAGACCTTGGGTATTGCTTAGAATTAACACCTTCGAACCGTGAAGGTCTCCAAAACATTTAAATTAATTTTGTATTTTTGACTATTAACTTATCTATCAATCGCTCTCGTATTTTTGAATTCATAATGAATAAAAAAAGAGGACCTAGATTTTTTTGTAGTATTAGAAGAAATCTTTATATAATCTGGGGATTTATACTATATTCTTTATTTTTTATTGTACACAAAATATAATGTTAACCATAATTCATTTGATACATAATGTACAAAGGCGAGCTTATCTCTATAATAAGAGATTTCTTCTAGCAAACCTTTTCATGTATTTTGTATGTTATTTTAAAAATAAAAATAGTCATATGATCTGCATACATTGTATAAACACATAAGATATGTATACACAAAGAATAATACAAACTACACTTTATAAATTACATAAAATACAAAACCCTGTAAACATAAACATATACTTACATATACATACATATATATACACATATACATAATACATCAGCATAGTGATAAGTAATGCTCCCTTAGACGACGCTTAAACATGCCTATACTTTTCGATTTCCTTATTTCGGATGGCAGACTATTCCATAGTCGAATGGATATAACTGTAAAGGAATTCTCAAAAGCCTGAGTATGATGTGATGGAGTTTTTAGAAGTAATTGTGTCTGAGGGCGAAGTGGTTTGTCTCTTGAATATAAACATTCATAACGCTCGCGGAAATAACAAGGAATGGAGGGAATATGCAAGATATTGTAAAGAAGCATCAGTATATGGACATTCAATCGAAAACGTGAAGGTAACCATTTTAATTCTTTTCGATATTTAGAGACATGATCAAACTTACATTGACATGAGCAAACCATAAACGAAACGAATGCATAAATTTTGTAGACGGTCAATTTTAGAAAATAACTTTGAAGTAGCGTCAAGAAAACATACATCTGCATAATCCATAAGAGGAAATAATAATATTTGAGCTAAATTGACCTTTGTTTTAATAGGTAAAAATTTTTGTAGACGTCTGAGTGAGTAAACAGTCGCATGTACTTTTTTACTTATCTGGTTTACGTGAGACGTCCAGGAAAGATTTCTGTCAAAAAGTACGTCCAGATTTTTAAAGACATTTGTATAAGATATTATTGTCCCTTCATACATCACAGGTGGAATAGTCATACGATCTAATCATGTATCTGCTTCCGATAATAATAACTTGTGATTTTGTTGGATTCACTAATAGACCATATGCATTTGCTCATCTTGAAATGTTTACCAGATCATGATTAATCAAGTCTATAGCAGTACCGATATCACAAATGTAAAAAAAAAAACTGTACAGCTGCAAGTCATTTGCGTATAGATGAAAGTAGGATGAAAAACGTCCTGCCAAGGAATTAATGAAAATAGAAAATAGAAGTGGTGACAGGACGCCACCCTGTGGAACGCCGGTAACAAGACCACACCAGTCGGAGCTGGTTTCATCCGACTGAACACACTGCATACCCCCCACAAGATAAGAATTATCATACCAGTGGAGATATATTAAGTAAGTCAAGATTACCGAGAAGAATATCAAAATCTATTGAATTAAAGGTACTAACTACTAAAATCGAGTAAAGTGAGAATACATAGCTGTTTCCTGTTGTAATAACAATATAATATTAAAACATAGAATAGATGTAAATCGTTTAATGTTAATGTAATCGTGACATAAGTTATTAATGACAGATCACTTAGATGATAAAAAGCCTATGATAGTAGGAGGTGTTATACCACATTACTCCCCCAATGGAAATACAGTTTTTAGAAACCGTAACGTGCTGGTATTTTCCGCTGGCGTAGCGAGCGACGTGGTAACTGTGGCCGCGGATCAGTAGGGGTAATTTCATCGTTCCTCGATGCTGAGTTGGTAACAAAAATACCATCATGTGGTGTTGAACCTTCAGGATGTTGCCTGCTGGTAGAGGGTACTGGTGATGATTGTCTTCCACAATCACCACTATGTTGTAGTCGAGCTTCTCTATTTGTGATTCGTTGATAGTGAGTATATGCTGGAATGCCATCTTGACTGCTAGATAGTCTTGGGCGTAAATGATCGGAATGTTTGCGCTGTCGGACTCCATTCGAAAACTGTACCTCATAGGAATATGGTCCGTTGCGTTTTATTATTATACCTGCATCAGATCCCTTCCCTGTGGGTTTATTTACCCAAACTTTATCTCCGTGTTTGTATGTTGGCGGAACGACTACCTTCTGTGTTGGTCTTAATTCTTTATACAGCCTCATCCGTTCTAAGTCGTCTTGTATGTTGGGTTTTAATAAATCGAAGGTAGTACGCATTGGCCTTCCAAACATTGCTTCAAAAGGAGTTCGGTTTGTTGATCGACGGGTTGTGTTCCTATAAGCTTGAAGGATCCTGCTAAGTCGTTCATGCAAATCGATACTCTTGTCCGAAGCTAACAAACGTTCTTTAAATGTACGAACAGCACGTTCTGCTAATCCGTTTGTTCTAGGGTGGTATGGGGTCGTTCTAATGTGTGTTATACCAATATTTTGACAGTGAGTTTTAAACTCGTCAGATATAAATTGAGGACCATTATCGGTAACGATATATTTGGGCACGCCAAATGTTGCGAATATAGTATCTAGATGAGATATTGTTGATCTCGATGTTGTTGATTTCATTGGTATAATCTCTAGCCATTTAGTATAGGCGTCTATCACTATGAGCCACATATATCCAAAAAATGGGCCCGCAAAATCTATATGTAACCTATACCACGGTTCTGGTGGAACTCCCCAAGGATACACTGGCGCAGCATTAGTATTACTCCTTGAAGCTTGACAGAGTGTGCACCGTTTTAAGAAATTTTGGATGTCTTTGTCTATGTTTGGCCAATAAACATGCAGTCTCGCTAGTGACTGCATAGCATTGACGCCGTTATGTCCGTCGTGTAACATTTCAAGCATAGCAGACTGTAACTTCTTGGGTATACATAATCTTCCGTTCCACAAAATTATTCCATCTTCAAATGACATTTGTTCTCTTTTTTCGTAATATGTATGCATATCGTTTGATAGTTCTTTCTTTTCTGGCCAGTGGTTCGTTAGATATTGTTTAATTTTGTTAAGGTTTGTATCGCTACGTGTTTCTTTTCTGAGCTCATGTTTTGTTACAGGTATGTTACTTAGTCTAAGGTGTAGGAGATGTGAAAATTTCGGCAATCCTATTCGTTCTTCTATTGTTGTATCACAATTAGGTAGTGGCAGTCTTGATAATACATCAGCTGGGCTATTTTCCTTGGCTGAATGGTAGTTAATAGTATATTCGTAACTATTCAGAATCATGGCCCATCTAAGCAGGCGATTGCTTGCAATTTTAGGTGTCTCTCTATCTTAGCTAAAAATACGTTCGAGAGGTTTGTGGTCCGTTAAAAGAGTAAATTTCCGACCATAGAGATATTGGTGGAACTTTGTTACTGAGTAGACAATACCTAATGCTTCTTTATCGATTGTTGAGTATCTACGTTCCGTTTCAGATAATGTTCTGGAAGCAAAAGCGACGGGTCGCATTGTATTGTCTATTTTATGGAAAAGGACTGCACCAACTCCCTTATCGGAAGCGTCACTGCTGACGTAGATGGGTTTACTCTCATCATAGTGAGCAAGGGTTTCATTCGATGTCAGAGTGTTTTTCAGATCGTTTGTTATTTGCGTGTCCTCGATGGTCCACTCCCACTTTTGATTCTTTTTTAAGTGGCGATACAAGGGGGCGCATCTAACATGTAAATTGTCAATAAATCTACCATAATATGTAATAGAACCCAAAAAGGATCGTAATTCAGCTACGTTGGTTGGAGTAGGCATCTTCTTGATGGCTTCAACTCGTTCTGATGTTGGATGTAACCCATTTTTGTCAATTTTATGACCGAGAAAAGTCACACTTTCCTGTAACCAAGAACATTTGGAAATTTGACTTTTGATACCTGCTTTTTGTAGCCTTTGTAATACTGTTCTGACTCGTTTTATGTGTTCTTGACGAGTACCAGCTGTAATTAATATGTCATCGAGGTAGCATACAACCCCATCCAACCCACTTAGAATTTGGTGCATGATTCTTTGGAAAACTGCTGGTGCAAAAGATATACCAAAGGGTAATCGTTTATACTGGAAGTAATCTTTGTGTGTTGAGATAGTTAAGTACCTTCTAGACTCTGGATGTACCAATAGTTGAAGATAGGCATCCTTAAGGTCTATTTTAGTGAATAATTGTCCTCCTGCTAGTTTTGAGGTAATTTCTTCAAATCTCGGTAGTGGGTAATCATCTACTTGTACGTATTGATTGATTGTTACCTTGAAATCAGCACAGATGCGTACGTTTCCATTTGATTTTATCGCAATAACTATGGGTGATGCCCACTCAATCGGCGTTGCCATGGTGTCTATTTGTTCTAAGACCCCCTCACGTACTAAACGCTTCAACTCCTCATTGACTTGTTCTTGTAATGCGAGAGGAACTGGTCGCGGCCGGAATGCCTTCGGTCGTATATTACTGGGAATATGGATTTTCGCGCTATGACAGTTAATTGTTCCCAACTTTCCGTCAAACAATGTTTCAAAATCTTTTAGAATAAGATCAATCTCATAGCTATCTTTAGTGTTCATATCGGACTTCGTTTTTGTTGTGGGTTCCTTAATGTTGCACAGACGGGCACCAGGTGGCATAGGCAAGTTGAATTGTAGACACCAATCTAAGCCAAATAATGGCAGGTCATTATGTTGTGTCACATAAGCCGACAATACTTTCACTGTGTTGAAAGCCTTCACGGAAATGTCACAAACCCCTAACGTTTCAATCTTAACGTCAGTATAGGCAACAAGATTCTTACATGTTTTTAATGATGGCCGTCCAATTGTTTCCCAAAGTCTTTTACCAATGACGGAGCGTACAGCTCCAGGATCATATAACATTTCAACTAACTTATTGTTGAGTTCTGTTGATATCATAATTTTGCTAACCGAATTTGGGAAGTTAACTGTACAGGTATGTATGCTCTCATCCCCTGAATTTTCATTCTCACTATCATTGAGATTTGATTGTTTTTTTGAAAGAAATATGCCTTGTATTATATTTATTGATTTTAAGATGGCCACTACTTATGCAAACGTTTGAGAAGTGGTTCAATTTGTTGCAAGCATTGCATCTCTTCCCTTTTGCAGGACATTCGTTTATGTTTTGGTGAAAATTTCCTCCACAGAATATACATTTTTTTGAAGAATTTGGCGTTTCTTTTACAGATCTCTTGCTGGTTCGAGTATTGATTTTGTTTACGGCTTGTAATTCGGCAGTTGTTTCAATGGCAGTGGTATTTGTTATACGTTGGCTCTGGATTTCTGCTTGTTCTAGTTTGTTCAATGTAGCTATAACATCAGCGAGTTTGGAATCATTTGTTGGGTGTTCTTTTATAAGTTCTTGTTGCCATACAACATTATTGATACCAATTACTAATTGGTCTCTAATACGTTCTTCTAGTGTGTTACCAAATTCACAGTACCCGGCGAGTGAACGAAGTTGTAATATGAATTGTGAAATTGTTTCGTTTTCATTTCTATATCTTGTTGCAAAAGATACTCGTTCGGAAAGGACATACCTTTTTTTGCCGTAATATTCATGAAGTACTTTGACAAGTTCATCGTAGGTTTTTGACGTTACTGCAGATGGGCGAAAATAATCCACAAGTATCTTGAAAGCTGTTGAACCAACTCGGGAGAGAAGTAATTGTTTCCTCTTGTTATTGCAATCTGGGGATCTTCCGTCCAGGCCATGGAGTTGCAGTTCTATTTCAAATCTTTGTATATAGTATTCCCAATCTTCTGTGTTATTGTCGAATGTATTAAAATTAAAACGTTCTAACGACATACCTCGTCGCCAGATTAATGTTGTAATAACAATATAATATTAAAACATAGAATAGATGTAAATCGTTTAATGTTAATGTAATCGTGACATAAGTTATTAATGACAGATCACTTAGATGATAAAAAGCCTATGATAGTAGGAGGTGTTATACCACATTTCCTATACTTAGCGAGACGAATATCCTCAGTTACTTTTAGTAAGGCAGTGACAGTACTATGAGCTGTACGAAACCCAGACTGAAAAGGAGTAAGGAGTTCATTTTTAAAAAGATAAGATGACAATTGATCATATATTAGATTTTCAAATACTTTAGATAGAACAGGTAAGATAGAAATAGGACGATATTCGGAAAGGGACGTGGGATTGTTGGTTTTGGGAAGCAGAATAACGTAGGCTTTTTTCCAGGCAGCAGGAAACGAACCTGTTTCCAGAGAATAATTTAAGATGTGAGAAAGAATTGATGCAAGCTCATCTTACAGAAGACGAAGCATCTGAATACAGATTTTGTCATCACCAACTGCTTTGGAAGTAATTGACAAGATGGATTTTTTAATATCACACGTAGTAATAGTTAAGAAGGAAAATGATTTACAATTGGGTTTAGGCATGTTTTTGAGTTCTCTAAGAATAGTCTTTTTAATATAATAATAATAATAATAAAGCCTTTTATTTATTTCCATATTCCTAATATATATACAGTATTGTTAGTATCTAATCTATTTTATATTTTTTCTTAATAACTAATTGTTAGTGTAATTTTTCTTCGATTCTTGGATATGGACCCCTCTTTGGGTGAAGGCCTCCTCCATCTTTCTCCACAACTCTCTGTTTCTGCCTATCATAAACCAGTCTTTTCCTGTATATTCTAATATATCATCAGTCCACCGTCTTATTGGTCTACCAACGTTCCTCTTACCTCGTGGTCCTGTCCATTTCGTACTTTGAAACGTCCATCTATTATCAGTAAATCGTGAGATGTGACCCGCCCATTGCCATTTTATACGTAGAGCATGTGTGACTGCATCTGTTAATTTAGTTCTTTGTCTGATTTTTTCATTTTTAATTTTATGTATTTTTCTTAATCCTAATATACTTCTTTCCATAGCTCTTTGTGTTGTTGTAATTTTTTGTTTAACTTTCTTTGTAAAAATCCATGTTTGGCTAGCATATAATAAGCAAGGCAAAAGACAAGTGTCAAATACAATTTTTTTCATATTTATAGAATAATCTCCTTTTAAAATTTCTTTAAGGGACCAAAATTTTTTCCATGTTATGTTACATCTTCTTCCTATTTCTTCTTCGTTGTTTATTTTGTTAAATGATACTTGTTTACCCAAATATATGTACTTATCTACGTATTCTATGTTGTTTTCCCTTCTTTTAATTGGTATTTTTAAGCTGTTGGTCATTATTTTAGTTTTTGTAGTATTCATTTCTAAGCCTACTTTGAAACTTTCCTGATCTAGAGTATATATCAAATTCTCCAATTCTTTAGCTGTCTCAGCCAGTACAACAATATCATCTGCGAATCTAAGATGGCTTAAATAGCACCTATTTATTTTTATACCCTTATTTTTCCAGTTTAGGTTTTGGAAAATATTTTCTAATACAGCAATAAATAATTTAGGTGATAAAGGATCCCCCTGTCTAACTCCTCTTTCTATTTTTATTTTACTTCCTTTAGTTTCTAGTTTAACTTGACTATAATTATTTGAGTATATGTATATTAAAATATTTATGTATTTTTGATCTACATTAAATTGTTTCAGGGCAGTCCATAAAGAATTATGGCTAATGCTATCAAAGGCTTTATTATAATCTATAAATGCTAGGTATAAAGGTCTATTAAATTCATTGTATTTTTCTATTACTTGTTCTAATGTTTGTATATGGTCTATTGTGCTAAATCCTGAACGAAAACCGGCTTGTTCTATCGGTTGTGCTTTATCAATTTCTTTTGTTATTCGTCTTAATATTATAGATGAGAAGAGTTTGTATATACTCACAAGTAAGCTAATTGGCCTATAATTTGCTATATCTAATGGATTGCCCTTCTTATACAATAATACGATATCTGACATACACCATTGTTTTGGTACTATTTCAGTATCTAATATCATGTTGAAAAGCTGTGTAAGGTATTTAAGTAGAACAGGTGTGCTAATTTTCACAATTTCATTGCTTATTCTGTCTGGACCAGGGCTTTTATCAGATTTTAGTTGTTTTATTCTTTCATATATTTCATTTTCGTGTATTACATCGATAGTTTTTATTTTACTAGTGCACTTTATTTCTTGTTCTACTTTAAATTCTTCGTCCTTTTTTGTATAAAGTTCCTTATAAAAATTTGTTGCTTGGACTAATATATCGTCTCTGGATACTATTGTATTGGATTTGTTACCTAGCCTTTGTATCCATGTATTATGCAGGTTTAGTTCTTTAAAAGCTCGTTTAGTGCTTTTATATTTTTTAAAATTTTTCTTAATTATTTTTTGTCTATAATCACTATAGTCTTTCCTAATTGACTTTTTTGTTTCTTTATACAGTTGGCTTAATTCTACTTTCATGTCTTTTGTTTTATTTTTTGTAAATGCCAATTCTGTTCTTCGTTTTATTAGGGACTTGGAATTTTCACTGAATATTTTATTTCTGTTCTCTTTAACTCTACTATTTGTATTGATCGTTGAACTATATAATATTGCTTCTTCTATTACATCATAGTAATTTCTTTTTAATATGGTCCTCCATAATTACCGGAGGCGCCGAAAAATGACTATTCAATGCGTTGCTATCTAAATTAACTGGATACGAGTTTAAACATTTATCAATACCTTGTATTTCAGAAGTTTCCATAGTTGGGCTGGCTTAAGACTATCAGCTGATTCATGAAAGTATATATAAAATTCGATTACATCGGTATAATGACTAAGATAAAAATAATATTATGATATAGCAAGAATAATATTTTATTCAATGGTGATTTTTAAACAGTGAACCTGCTAGTTAATTTGAAATTAACTGACATTTAATAAATAATATTAAATAGGCAATAGGTGCTTAGTCTTATAGTAAAATATATTTATAGGATTAAACATCTATCATGTATATTAAAGTTTTTAAGTACTAAATAGATTTTAAAATACCTTAGATGAAAAGAAAATCATTAAAAAAAATTAACGCTGTATTAAAATTATATAATAGATAAATATTTATTGAATTTATTCGAAGGAATTAATTATCTGATTGAATTGAAAGAGGCGTTTTATTTCTCTAATACAACAATACATACACTTGACACGTCGATTAAGAAAAATAATGATTCCAATTCAATTTTTATAGATACAATAAGTAGACGTTCACAATAGATGCTAATTCACACGGTAAATGTCAGACTGTCAGGTTTAAAAGCGTACATACAATTATTTTGATCGCTACTTGTTGTTGGTCAATGCCAAAATATTGACAGGCATTATAGAGTTATTGATTTCATTGACAGATCGTCGTGGCCATGCTCTTTGATTGCTCATGCGTTTATTAGCTTTTAATCGTATGTCAAAAGTTTCTGTGAAAATATCAGCTAGGTATAGACAAACAATACGAATACTTGTCAGTAAGATTAGGTACTGTATTTTCGCGCGATTTTCTCGCAGACACTAGGTCCTGGCATAATTGGCATGATTAATAACATTTTTAAAATTTTAAAGTCAAACTATATATTACTCATGGTACAGTATGTAGTTTTATCATCGTGGTATCAAAAATTAAAGTAGTTTCCTTTTTTTTAATGTAATAATCTTTTATTACATTTTTATCTATTTTTCTATAAATTTTTTTTTAGGGTATCAAAACTAAGCACCAATAGAGTACAAAGTGTCGGCTTAATGATAATAATAATTATATAATAAAATAATATTCTATTATGTATGTTATCGTCAAAATTATATCAAATTTTAAATTTATGGTAGGTTAGTAAAGCGGCGGTAATATTTATTAAGTTTTATTAATATCGATACATTTACTATAAATAAGCGAAAAATTTAGATGACAATTTTTCCTACCGATTATATCTACATCATTACATATTTAAAGAGGCACATAAGTTAAAAATAACAACAATTTAGACGAGTTGTTTTTTTTTTTATAAAATCCCATTACGTGACATAATTTGTTAAACCTATAGTATGTCGCTGTCGTAACTCAAACATGACAGTAGGCCATTAATATTTTTGAATACCAAATAATCTTAATGTCTTCCCATTATCAGGGAGCACGTGTTGCCACTGAGAAATTCTTAACATTTGGTTATTTTTATTGATGGCACATTTGGTTATTAACGATAGAGACGTAACACCCTCTGTCGCCGCTAGATTTACAACTTTGAACAAAGGACATCAATTCTAACGTGACATGTGAACTGAAATACGAGTACGTCTGTGATTCTTTGTGAAAATGCTTGTCGCGTGCTGAACGATAGAGTTGTATGGATTCATACAAATAATACGTTCATTGTTAATAAAGTAGCCTATAGAGGTTTAATGAATTGCCATAGATTATTCATTGGCAAAAGATAAAACCCGTAAATATAATGTTATCAATAAGGTATAAAAATTGTTTTATTTGTTTATATATATATCGTATCATTATTATTTTTATGATTTTGTTAATAATATATATTAATATATTCTCTTAGTCTTTGAACTCTACAATAATATTTGATATAATTGATCTAAATAAAGGCGCATTTATTTATTACAAAAACAGCTGCAGCAAATTGATAAATTAGTAACACTTCACACACTGAGTAGTTTTCTTATCGTCACACACTTTTCAATTGTATAAAGTTATGATTGTCACATAATATTTATAATCATGTTATACCGCAGATAAATTATTCCTCATAAATTATTTAAGATCGATTCTCTTTTGGGCCAATTCTAGATATTATTTTATGTATATTAATTTGAATAGATATGATCTGAGTTATAGGTACCCGGACACTA